GGGGGGGCGACACACACCCCGATTCCCAAAACATCTCGACCCCGGTTTCCCCCCTCAAAAATTATAACATGGCTTTCCTTTCCAGACGTAGATGGTACACTGTGGCCAGAGCCTCCTGGGAATAGGGTGAACCGATCAACCAACACCTTTTATCCTCGCCGCCGTTGTCCGTCGTCCTGTCTTTGCCTGGAGCAAAAAAAAGAAGGGAGGAAGAAAAAAAAAGCAAGGGCGGATATACCTTCCACTTTTTTCCCCCTCCCCGTACACAACAGCCACCCCCAATCCCAGCCCCCGACACAAAAGGGAGAGAAAAAATGAGACAAAGAGTGGGAAAAAGGAACACCGTATATAATATGCAGTATATGTAATATGCCGACGAGGGCTCCATCCCTCTTGGTGAAAAAGACGAGGCCAAGACACAACTCGCTTATATATCCGCGCATAGGCCGTGAAGGTAGAGTTGAGACACAAAAGGAGAAGAAAAAAGAGAAGAAAAAAAAGAGGGTATGAGAGGCATGACGGGATGGAATAAGAGGGGAGGTGACTCTTCCCCTACTCATCAGATCCAGTCACCCCCCTTGTTCGACGAGGATTTGGCCGCCGGAGGTGGCTGGGCCAGGGTGGCAATGCGGGGCGGGGCCGTGGTGGCAGCCGCAACTCCTCCCCTGAGGCTCCTCTGGCTGCCCGAGGCGCTGCAGAGCGTGCCCTGGCTCGGCTGGCTCCTGAGGCTCCTCTGACCGGAGCTGTTGTACCTGGACACGGGCGACGTGAAGCCGACGCCCCTCGGGCTGGCGAGCTTGGACTGTGCCCCGCCATTGGGGCTGTAGACAGTCGGGCTCAGCGTCAGGAGCGGGGCCGAGCTCTCCTCTTGTTGGATCGCCGACACTGGCTGCGCCAGCGGCCGCGGCGACGCGACCGGGGCCGGAATCGTCACCACGACAGGCGAGCGCTTGGGCTCCACCACGGGTGGAGCGGGCCTCGTCGGGGTGCGGGAGGAGGCCATGACGGCGTCGTCGTCGAGCGAGAACTTGTCCGAGTCGATGTCGGACTCGACCGTAGGCGGCACGTAGACGGCCCTGGTCAGCGAGCTGGGCTTGGGCACCAGCTTCGGTGTCGGCATCAGCTGTGGCTGCGGCCGTAGCCCCGCGCTGCTGCTTCCCATACCCATGCCGGTCTGGTTGACGAGCGGAATGGTGCACATGCAGGGTCCATCGTCGCCGCATGGAGAGCTGGAATCGCACGACCGTCTCGGCTCCATGGGTGGTATGTTGTCCAGGTTCGAGAGGCGCAGGCCCAGCTGGACTGTGATGTGGGAGGCTATGGAGGAGTCACGCCTGTGGCGGCCCACGCCCAGCGTCTTCATCGACGGCGGCGGCTTGAGTGTCGAGAAGTCGAAACGATGAGGCTTGACCGCCGTGCCACCCGTGGCGCTGCCGCCTGGTGAGTATGTAGTTGCGGGAAGCAGAGTGTTGGACTGCCTCGTCGACTTTGGCCTGAACACGGACAGCACCGACGACACAGACTTGGTCCGGGCGCGGGGAGGCTCGGGCTTCACAGGCGAGTAAGCTGACAGGTGCGACGGCTTCGGCGGTTGCGGGTACAGCGCGTCGTCCTCCTTCGTGTCGTACGGCGAGGATGCTTCGATATCCTTCTCGTAGCGGCTAGCCATGCTGCTCTCACTCTCCATATGGCGGAGACCGTTGGGCGAAGTGATGCCGTAGTCGCTTACGTCGTCGTCGGGCTTCCCACGGCGGATCTGGGTCTTGAGCTTCTGGTGGTCGTCGTCGATCTTCTCCCTGGGGGCGATGGCGGTCATGGTGCTCGATCGGAGGAACAGGTGCAGCCCACCCGTCACCACGCCCGACACCTCGGTCACCACCGAGGCGACAACGGACAGAGTGAGGCCCTGGAACCTCGGGTCGCGCTGGTCGATGAAGGCCATGTGGTAAAAGAAGGGCAGGAGGAGTACCTGTAGGGTTTGTCAGTCCAACACATCATCTCGCACCTCGGCCCACACGCTGGAGTCAGGGGCCGCAACTCACATTCGAGATGGTGGCCAGTACAAGGTAGTAAACCATCCTCGAGGCATCCACCCGCTCGGTCGGTCCCACGGCGGGCGAGCTCTTGAGTTTCATGAAGATGGTGATGACGGAAAGGGTAAGGATGACAGAGACGATAAGAAGGATGATAAAGCATCCGAGGGAATAGTTCGCAATGAACCAAAACTGCGAGGCGAAGCAAAATGGGGGTGACCTATCCACGTAGGCCCAGAGAAAGGAAGCGAGGAAAGCAACAGCGACGCCCATCAGGCATAGCCTGACTGCCCAGGGGCCCCGCTTGAGAAATGGTCTACTCCGGACGGCGCGGAAGTACGTCTCGAGACCGAAGATGACCTGCACGGCAGGAACGAGAAAGAGGGCTGGTGTTGGAGTTAGATGTTAGATATCGGATCCGATGCGGCAGGGTTCAAGAAAAAGGCTCACCTGGCAGCATCGCCTGTGCAATCAGAGCACAGCCGGTGGCGAAGAGGCTCTCCAGCCCGGCCCCTTGTGCCACAGCAAGCATTATGCCTTGGATGGTGATAGCCACCGAAACGAAGAGAGGGTAGACCTCGGGAGCAGATACGAAGTTGAGGCCATCGCGCCTGCGAAAAGAAAGGGTGCTCCAAGTCAGTACTTTCGTGTTCCCTCTCCAAGTCGACCCGAATCCACCGGCTCATGGATTCGTCCACACATCAAAGGTCCCTCCCGGCGGCGCCGCAGCCGCCCGGACCCGTCCAGCGCCCGTACCTTATGGAATAGCCCCTCGTCCTCTTTTCCCTCGAATAGTTCTCCCATAGTATCCCCAGCACGGCCGCGAAGGCGGCAATCGCATTAAAGGTGGCCAATATTATCGTCGAGGTTCGAATCGATTTGGCGGCGGCGAAGCGGAATTCGTTGATCAGCATCTGGGGGCTCGTCGCGTTCCTCTGAAGCTGCAGGAGGGCCGTCGTCTTGTTGACCACGGCGGTGAAGTTGTCCGGCCGGAGGACGTCGGTCGCCCGGGGGAGAAGCCAGCCGGTGGCGTCCATCTCGAAAGTTCCCACGTCGTCGTCGTGAAGTGGCATTTATAAACGAGCGTGAATGCCTCTTCACGGGCGACCCGGTGGGTGCAAAAGAATCGAAGGGTGGCGTCAAGCCACGCGCGGTGGAACGGTAAGAAAGGGGGTTAATGCCCTGCTTTAGGTCGTCGTCGTCGTTGTCGGCGAAATCATCTAGTCAACGGGTGGCCTTTGGGCGTGAATGGAGATGGTGAATTAGGAAAACTCCGCGATACCTGCCCGGCGGCGAGATGGGGTGAAAGGGGGAGAGGGAAAGGCCAAGGTAGGGCGAGTGGTGAGGGAAACGAGGGAAAAGAAGGCAGAGTGGAGCAGGACCAGGCGATATGGTGCGTCTAAGTGGGAGTGGTGTGCCCAGAAACCCAAGAAAGCGGAGGCCTACCACGGACCAGACGAAACAGTCCCTGACCCAGTGCTAATGGCCATTTTGGGCGACATGGGGCAAGGCAGGCAGGCCTAGCAGGCCCAGCAGGCGGGTGCACCCACCCACACCACAACCCACGCCATCCACCCTGGGTCGCCGGTCCAGACAGGAAAAGACAAAGAGAAGAAACGAAGAGCACGACCCACCCGACCCTTGCCGAGCCAGGGGCATGCAGAGCTGGGGGGACGGGAAGGGCCCCACACGGTCTGGATTGAGCCTCGATGGGTGATGGATGCACGCCACGGCGAATGTGCGCGGCGGCTTGCTCGCGATTGGCATCCCCCATTGCAGCGCTGTTGGCCATGTGTGGTACCGATGAACTACAGCTTCTCCCCAAGACGGGACAAGAACGAGACCGCACGGGCAATCATTCATGCCTTCAAGGCTCGTGAGTTGCTCGTCCCATGACGGCGACGCGCAGCACCACTCGGCAGCGTGGGCCTCGGCACCCCGATTCCTTAGGGCTGCCAGCAGTCGGCTAAAGACACAGACGCACAGAACACAGACACTCTGCGCAACTAGCGACAGAGGGACAAACGGCAGAGACACGTGCTAGCAGAACAGCGACAAGCGCCCAACGCTGCTGACGGTTGGCAACTGCCAGGATCGATGCTGGGATATCCCGCGCGACAGTGGGAGAGCCAGCAGCCCACGGACAGCCTTGGGGGCGGCGAACCAACAATCCACGCACACCCCCCACTCTCGCGTCCCCGAAGCGAGGAGTGGGATCTGGGAACAGGCCAGAGAGAAAACATTTGGCGCAGTTCATCCGAAAAGTGGTGGCGGCGGCGCGCGCTCACTCGGACAACCCGCCGAGGTCGATGGCGAGGGAGGACGACCAGCAGCGGCATCAACAGCGGCAGCGCCGGCAGCAAGGCGACCTGAACAAACGGGCGCACTAACGAAAGAGCGAGAGAGAGAGCGAGAGAGAGAGAGAAAAAACGGGCAGAATGGTGGGCTCGGCAGGTGGGGAGTGGGGACTGGAAAGTGCTCAGCCGGCGTCGACGAGGTTTGAGGCATTGATGTGGCGATGGGTCTTGAGGCAACTTTGACACACGCCCTGGTTTCGCAGCCTGGCTCGGGCCCCTCCCTCGCTGGCAGTGACCGGGACTGTAGTCGAGGTTGCGTTTGGCTGTCTGCAGCCGCTGCGTTAGTGCGGCGAACGTGTGGACCCTCGAAGAGCCCCAAATGCCCTGGCCTAAGCCTGATCAGGAAAGGCGCACCCCGGGAACGCCGCCGCAGGAGCGGGGTGGGTGGGGAGGGGGGCCTTTGCCCACACCAAAATATTGTGCTCCCTCCCTTTGGAAGCCCAAAAGGCGAGCCACCAGTCAATCAGCCAGTCGCCCAGCCTTACGTGCCCAAAGGAAAAGAGAAGGCTGCGGCACAGGCCAGGCTCTTTCCCCGCCGCGGATCTTCCATTTGTCGAATGTTTTGGGGGGCTGCGCTCGTCAAAGCACGCTGGAGACTGCATGGCTAAATATCGATTTTTTAAATGGGCAGATGCTGCAAACTCGTTTTCATCCGCGTGGCTCCAATGGAGCTGGTGCTTTCGGCTGCCCGTGCTCGTGTCTATTTGCGGACAGGCCGGCCATCACTCAGCACCGCCCTGCACTGCATTGCAGACATCAAGCCGCTCGTCTTGTGCATCCTGCTGCCCATTTTGGCTCTGGCACGCACATTAAACTCGGTAGTTGACGGGTATTAATTATATTACTGGTTTTCTAGCGCGGCATCTCTTGCGTTTGATGGACTGCACATCAACGCATCATGCGAGGTGGGCTTTTTTTTACTCTTCTTCCCCTCTCACACCCGCTGCCTTGGGGACACCCCTGCCAGACCGTCCAGGATGACTTATCCACCCAGAACTTAAATCCATCTTGGCACGAGCAACTGATATGACCCGCGCCCACTAGAAAATGTTTCGGCGACGCAAGCTGGCGAAACGGTTTGCGACTGGCGTCGACCGCACTCGAGCCGGGAGCCGTGTCCGTGTCCTGTTCTCCAGCATCCACCTTTTTCAGGTCCCCTTCTGGCCAATACGAGCAAACCCCCATCGACAGAATCTCCCATGTTTGTAGAAGCACGCTGGCGGCCTGCAAAGAAGAGTCCCTTACATTCTCGTGTTGTTCGTGCTACCAAGCAAGAAACTCCCCAGAGCGCGGTCTACACCCGAAGCGTTTCCTGTATCAGAGCAAGCGAACGGCAATCAGCTCTACCCTCCTATGCTGCCTCGCTTCGCCAATCTATCCCACGGATCTACCCCCAGCCGGCTGCAGCACCGCCATCCATGGGACAGGATTCCCTCCCCGGCTCGCCTACGCTCGCCGGTTGGCCCTTTTGCTCTCCCCTCAATATTCCGCATGTCTTGTGCGCGCGCGCGAGGTCGCGCGGGGAGAGGAAGGGGGGCCAATCCATGGCGCCGGCCTCGAGACGGGATGGGGCTAACAGATGACATTTGCTCGATTCGGATGAGGCCTGACGACAGACCGGTGTCCAGGCAGAAGAAGAGGAAAAAGGTGTGGCCAGCTTTCACAAAAGCCTTGGGAATTCTCCTTGATCCAAATCTCCGAGGGCCCCTTTGCCGGTGTCGAATAGATTGACAAAGAAGCTGAATCATCAAAGTGTGGCTGGGCCTTTCCACCAAGGCGCCCGTACCAGGCTTTAATCAAGGCTGCATACCTTGGGCTTCGAAACCAACGACGGGACCAACGCTTCTCTCGAATAGAGTAGACTAGGACAGCCACTTTTCTCCCAGACTCAAAGTGGTCTTGGCATCGTGATACGCCCTACCGCCACACTCCACACATGTATGCATCCACTCCAACACAGGATCTAGACAATCTATACGTGACCTATTTGACAGGCACGCAATATCATACAGCGCCATAAGATTGCCATCCATATAGCGGCCGCAGGCAATGTCTCCCTCGATTTCCCAGGCACTAGTCTGGATGCACACAAAACAGCACAGGCGACGGCCGGGCACGGGCACTGTACAGGACTGATGGCCAGTCAGCTCTACCGTCGCAGGCCAGGTTTTGCTGCATCCGAGTCTCGAGTCTTATTTTGGGAAGGCAGTCCCCGGCGGCGGCATTTTTTTGTCGTCTTAACCCGCAGGCGTAGAATCCTTTGGGATGGACATCCTTCTCTTGCTTCTCTGCCTCACCATGACGGGTGGCGGGGGGGTTGACCCTTGAACCGCCGCGCAGCTTCCTGGGTCGCTCGAGTCGCTGGGCGCCTCTTGCGATAGCTGGCGCCGCTATAGCGCAAGAACTTCGGATGGCATGTTGATCCCGGGCGGCTGGCAGATAGAGTGGCCCTCTCTATCTTGCTTTGTTGACCCCTTTCCCTGCGGGCAGCACGGCCTTTTCGCATTGAACCTTGTAATCGACGATCTGGCTCCCTTTCGTGCACATGTATGTACACGACGCAAAGCCAAGCAAACCTCCTCCCCTCGAGATAGAGATAAAGAAGCGGTAATCAACTGCGCGAGGATTGCAGGGACGCAGACGGGGTTAGGTTAGGCCAACGACCCGACTCGTGGCCTTCCCTCTCGCTTTCGCACCAGCCGTTTCACGCTTGCCGCCCGCAACTGAGGAAGTGCTTGCGTGCCCTCGAACGCTAGTCCGCCCGCCCGCCCGCCCACGCCTTCCCCGAGAGAGACAGAAAAGCGCGGGAGCCCGCTGGGCGGGCAATGGAACAGCCTAGGCCAGGACAGACCCGAAAGTGGATGCCCCCCGTGATAAATCTGCCACAGGGCCGGGCTTTGGCGGAAACGAGAGGAGAGGCGCAGCTGGGGAAACATTTGGGGTGGGAGCACTGCTCATCCAATCGTATTCTCGCATCGCGATGCGCTGGGGAGGGGCCGGCCAAAAACAACCCTACCCAGTTCGCCGCGTGGCTGTGGGCCGTCCGCCGGACCAGACATTCCTGACTCGCTCATGCTCTCCCTCAGACGCCTTTCCTTTCCAATTCCACGGGCGGTCCTGACAGAGGCAGCCAGCCTCCCCCTATCCTCATCTATCGAGAACCCCCTATCCAGCGCGTCTGGCGCTAGCGGTGACTCCGCCCAACACAGCCACCTCGATGTGAGATTCCTGTCACGAACATGTCTCTCCTGTAGAGGTTCTAGAGCCACGCTTCCCGGCCGCATACACGTGGGCATTGACGGGGCATTGACGCGGGCCACCAATGCATGGGCCTGGGGCTATCGGGAAGAGGCCGAGTTGAAAGACTTGCATGACCGTTTACATGCCCCCCCACATATGCGACGATCACCAACGGGACATGCAAGGGCCCGGACTCTCCCGCGAGCCAATAGGTATTTTTACCGCCCCCCGCAGTGCCGATGCCCTGGGCTCCCAATGAAAGGCAAAAGTCGCAATCAGGGTTCAAAATAGTAACAAAAGTTCATCGCACCGCAACGCCTCAGTCACCATCCCATTTGGGTTCCCGCCTGCCACCGTAGGACTTGCGCCGTCCTATGGCAATGTGCAGTATTTCCGCCCTTTCCATAACATCGGCTTTGCAAACCCGGATGCGAATGTATGAATCGCCAGTCAGTCCAGCGACAACCCCAGCGGGAAGTTGCCACGCCTAAACTGCCGGCACTGCAATACCATCCCGCCCATTTCCGTCTTCTCCGACCGCAACTCACTGTCCTCCCTGCCCTGCTGCTTTTTTTATTCATCCTTTTTGCTTCCTTGCGCGGTGGTCCTCACGGCAAATGCGTTGGAAATATCCTTGACCGCGACGAAGATGGCGTACAGCGGGATCCAGACCCAAAGCCTGTCATGTTCAAGATAGCGGTTAGTTTCGGTAAAACCGGCCGACTGAGGCACACAGACAGCTCAAGCGGGTGAACGGCGACGAACGTGTTGAAGAAAACCAGGTAAACCCAGAGGTACATAAAGTTGCTCGTGTCGAGGTTGATGCTGCCGACGAGCCACTCCGGGCAAAAGGTCATAAATCCGCCGTACAGCTCGGCCGTCGCAATCACGATCATGGTGATGTTGGCGCGAGGATTCTTGCGGGCGATGTCGTAGCAGACGAAGAGGGCGGCCGGCCCGACGACGAAGACGGTGAGGAGCTCAAGGCTGATGACACCCTGCAAAAAGAGACCAGATAACGCGGTTAGTAAAAAGCCTTTCAACGCCAAACGGAAGAGGCCCGAGGATTCATCGCCCACGTACTAGGTCGGCGCCAGCCCAGCGCTTGTCGGCCTTGGCGTACACCATCCATAGCTGCGCGAAGGGATTGTCGCCGCCAGCCTGGACACCCCAGATGCGGCCTGTGCTGCCGAGGAAGTTCTCCGGGCTCGGGTAGTACTTTGAGACCTCGCCGACGGTGAGCTGCGACACGGGTAGCGACGAGAAGAAGCAGTGGTAAAGGAAGCTCCCCTCGAGGAAGAAGTGGATCAGCGCATCGAAAGCATGCCAGATGAAGAGGAACCGGAGCGGGCCTGGCGTCGAGGAGGCCAGCGCCTTGAGAGACGTCGCGTAGGCTACCGCGAGGATGAGAAGTGTCGATGCCAACGACACCAGCGTCGTCTGATCGAACAGGTCCGGCGGCAGGGCCGAGTATATCGCGTCAGAGTTCATATTGTGTTGCTATGAGCACGACTTTGGTGATTTCCGCGAGTGGTGTTTGCAAGACTATCGAACAAAGCGAGCGGCGATTGACGAGGTGTTGCGAGCTTCCCGTAGAATCGTGTTGCGCTGTTGAGGTGTTCTCCAAACATTTCCCCATGTCAAGGTCCGTGCGGGAGGGACAATTCCCGCCCCACACTGTCAATTAAACTTGCCGTCAAATCAACTCTCATCAACGTCGTCTAGCGCCGGGGTCAAATATCCATTGAGGATACCCATCGGCAGCACGGCAAATTGACATGGGAACTAACCTACCGACCTGAGTGAATAGGCCCGCTATAACATGCAACTGAGCAGAGGCAGTCGCCGGTTTCTTGCTTGCTATGCCATATTATTCACACCCAGAAGGCAAACATTCACATAATGGCAATTGTTGTACTCTTGTATGTCGGTCTTGATTATAGGTCTAGCTGAACAGCTCCTAGGGTATTGCAAGAACGCGACGATCCCAAATCCTAACCATGCTATGTTGTCCTGTATCCCGTTCCCTCACTCGTCGTAAAGAAGAACCCGAAACGCCTTCCCAAAGCTGCGAGGGCAGTGCGTCCCTGTGCATCGCCGAAGTGTCATGGTTGGTGGGGTGCTGCAAAGGCAGACTTAGTGGGTGGCCTTCTGCTTGTTGACCTCGGCGGAGGTGTCGTGCTTGTGCTCATCGACCTTGTCGGAGATGGCATCCTTGCCAGCCTCGAAGCTGCGGGAGAAAATGATGTGTTAGCGGGTGAGGCTGTAGATGTGTCCGAGGTGATGTCTTACCGAGTGCCGACCGAGGCGTTGCCGTCCTTGGCGACCTCCTTGTTGGCCTCCTTGGAAGCACCGGCGGTGGTACCTAGTGAGGCAGATCGAGTTAGTAAGTTGAGAAATGCCAGCAGCCACCGTCAGACAAGCGTGCGATGCCGTCAACGGCGGCCATGTGCGATATCGATGAGGAAGTAGAGTCGGAGGAGGGGAGCGTACCCTGGACCTTGTCCGAGACGTAGTTGGCGGCGTTCTTGACGGTCTCCATTGTGAAGTTGGTGGTGGTTGATGCAAAGATTGCAGAGGTGGGCTTGTTGATTGTTGATTGGAGTTGGCAGTGAAGATCCTGAGTTGATTGTGTGATGGTGAAGGAGAAAAGCTGGGCGAGGAAGAAGAGGAGGGAGAGAGGGTTTAAATAGAGATCCTGGGCAAAGATCCCGGAGCGTCAAGTCCGGAGCTCCAGGCAGAAGTTTGCGTGGGCGTGTTTGCTCCCGCCTGGCTAAGGAAGGTGCGTTTTCGGACGAGGGATCCAATCAATGGTGGAAGGAGCTCCTTGCAGTGGTGAAGCGCTGTTGCTTGTGATGCGATCGATCAAAGCCACCTGGTAAGAGCAGGGCACATGTCAACAGAGCGGATTAGGCGCTGGCTACGTCATAGACTTCTGCGCGGGATATTTCCCTCTCTGCGGCTCTCCGCGGTGCACCTCTGCGGGCTGCCATGGCCAATCGGCAAATTCCAGTGTTCCCAATGTAAAAAACGTCATACCGGGCTGCGCAGCTCTTTGGTTCTTTGGTTGCGTTGCATTTTGGTTGCAGCCGCAATGACATCACGTCTGGGGGCTCACCCTCTTTGCCACACCCCGCTGACAGCCGTCCAAACAACCCACCAGTTGGCTGTGGCTCAGGAGAAGGTCTGATGAGGCGCGTCTCGCGGATCCCTGTCACCGTCACGGTATTCATCCAAGCCAGGCGGCCACCATGTACCTGTCGCCTAAAACTATCGCGCCTTCTCTATGAGGTGGCCTCGGAGCTTTAGTCCATTGACTTGCTCTGGCGGAGGAGAGCTTCCGGTAGCTGAACTCAAAGCTTGCTAGCTCAGACCGAGCGCGCTAACACAATGACTGTGTTCGGGGGACACTCCGCGTCGTGACTTCCTACAGGCAAACAGCTCAACCTTCCAGATCCCGTCCTGTGGCAGGTGCGTTCCCGTACAGGAATTCAGCTGTCAATTGAGCTCCGCACTGGCCGGCCAATTTGGCAGCGGCGTCCCGCCCTGCCGGAGCTAATGCGTGGGGCTTGCCAGCTTGGCACAGGGGTTGTGACGCCACACTTGGAACATGAGCGCCTGTGTTTCCTCACATGTACGCTTATTGGTTAATTTTCTCCAGCACCCACGCCAACGAAAATAATGACGACACGACTTTTTCTGACGCGCGAGGAAGGTCCAACACTGCGGGCAAACAACTGCCAGCTGTCAGACAACGACGGCTGATTCCAGTCATCTGGACCTATGCATGGGGGCACAGCAAATCACGGCTCGCTTTCGAGGAACCGGCGCAGCCAGGCCCGGCCTAAGCAAGGGGCTGGAAGTCAGGCGCATCTTGCTTGCAGTGGAGAAATCTCGCAGGAATCGGCGATTGCTTACGTATCGATCATCTCTGTGTCCGTGTGTACTTTCCGCCCCTTGCCGCCAGTGCTCTACTGCCTGCCTCGGCACGGCAAATGATAAACCTTCCTACCGGGGTCTCTTGTCCGGCCGCTTTCGCCTTCCAGCGTGTTGCATGGAAAGCTCCGAAGCGGGCACCCGGTTGGCTTCGTCACGGATGGATGTTTCGCACTTGACATCATAGTTGCGTCACCTTTTTGGTTCTTTGTTTGGCGCTTTCGACCCGCATCGATGGCCCTTCGCCTGCTGTCTGGGCGTCCAAGAGTCCAGTCTGTGGGAGCTCAGACCCTTTTCATGGAATCGAGGCTCGATTTGGCGGAGCGGCAGCTGGGGAAACAAAGCTCCAAGCTTTAGACCGTTCCAGATGAATACACGAATGCGGCGCTAAGCATGATGTCAAAGCGTGGCTGACGGGAGATCACCCAGGCAGCAGCGAAGCTTGGAGTCTGGACCAATGCTAGGGGTAGGCGTGAGAGGTACCTGTGTCTGCGCGACAGAGATCCCGAGGAGACGACGGGACTCCGGCGTCTCGATCGGCTGGTACCTTGCTTAGATTACGTGGTATGACGGTCTACAAATGTCGGCCTACCTACCATCTTGGACACACACAGAGAACGAAGGCATACAGAAGCATGGCTCATTCCCAAACAGCTGCTGCGTATGATATTCTTGCAAGGTCGCAATGGTGGGCTGGCTCAGTGCATTGTAGAGACTAAGCCAGTAAGGTGTCTGGTGCCGTCAACACATGTCACGGAGTACATCCACCTTTTTGACGATATGTTATCTGCCGGTTGGATGTAAATACTACTATTTCGGTACCCAACGTAAGGCCTCATTTACTATATCCTACGGGACGAGCCCGCAAAGTACAGCCCTAAGTGAACTTGAGGGATCTGGATGTCGGTGGTGGTATTCATGGCTTAGCAATCAATCATATTCATATTGTTACTTCTGCGTCCGCAACATCTCAAGGGAATGAAAACAGCGGGGGATTGCCAATTCCTTGCTGTCATTTGTTTTTTTTTTTGGCCAAACGGTTGCTATCCCCGTGTTTCTCACACAAACCTCTCGTCTAAAACGCCAATACGACTGGCCGACCGGGGGAGGGACGAGGTGACGATAAGTTCCTTTCTCACAGTGAAGACAAGAGTAGTTCGAGTTCTCCAACCATTTCAGTGCATGTGACCCTGGGCCCTTCCAAATGCTGGACGACAAGATAATGAACCCTAGGGAACATCCAATCACGTGCTGGTCACGGGATCAACTGCGCACAAACACGCGCCGTTCCTGATTGGCTTCGGCGGCTCCCGTTGGGCTTCCGTGCATGTCTGGAGCGGCTCGCGTCTCCTCCCAAGAGCGGAAAGCAGCCAAGCGAAGGCAGAGGGTATTGAGAGCGGCAGGTGCTGCACGTGGTGACATTGGATGCTGCGCGGGATCGATGGTCGACGACCCCCTTTTTGTAGGGCTGACGCGTGTCTCCGGTGCTCATAATTTCAGGCCCATTCCCGCCCTGGGCTAGCCGGGATGGCCCCTCGCAGTGAATTGAGCCCGACACGACACGCTCCACTCGGCGTTGGTCCGTCAGCCGCGCCAGGAGCTGAGCGATTGCGACGCCAACGCACAAAAACTGTTCCAAGACACGCTGGTGGGCCTTCTCAAGGACCGGCCAAGGGTCAGGTTGACGTCTCCCCTACAGGGGTGGCAAGGCTCAGCAGCATGCGTTTGCAGCAGAATTCTTCGCACACTCCTCTTCGACTTTTCCTTCTCCTTTTCATGTCAGCCTTCGCACGGCATCGGCATCATCGTCCATCTCACATTGCAGCTCCTCAGGCTGGAGCCTTTGAAGGAATAAACAGCGTGTCATTTGGATTGATTACCGCCCGACGAGAGAAGCCCACTCCCCAAACGTGGCTTTCTGATTGCTTGCTTCGCCGCCATATTTTCGATGCTCAAGTGCCTGCCTGTTGACCGGGGCTCGTTCAGCCCTCCCATTCCACCCACCTATATCGACCTCCCTTATCCATTGTCTAGCAGTATATACACCAGCCGGCCGGCCCGTGGCCGCTAGACGAGATAACCCTGATGGTGTACCAGGTCCCCAAGCTCCAGGTCGAGGACGATGTGTTTCCACCGCCTCCAGACTGGAAGCCTCGCAGGCCCCCGCCACAAACTGTGACGTTCCACGACAAATATGCCATCGAGTTCGATTTTAGCAAAATAGGTCCGCCTTCCTCAGTCCTGCTATTTCGGTTCGCGATGATGCCTTGATGTACTGACCCGGACGTTTCAACCTTCTCCAAACAGATGAGGACCAAGCTCTCAAAGAGCTCAAGGAGCTGCTCGACGACCTCGAAGGCATCGGCCTGCATACCGAACTCCGAGCCGGCCACGGCCAGAGCATCCTAGTCTTCGTCAAAGCCCCGAGAGAGCTCCTTGGACATGCCGTCTACAAGAGCAGGGTGAAGGACTGGCTCTATGGAGTCTCGTCTGAACAGCCCCAGGTTGGGGGCAAGCACAAGATTGTCGACGGAGCCTTCGAGGCCGAGGACTTGCTGTCAATGTACCACCTCGTACACTGGGACAAGAAGCTGGGCGGCGCCGGCATAACCCCCGGGACGGGTAAGTGGGAAAACGTCAAGTCCATCTTCCCGCTGCACAACGAGAAGGTCAACCAGGAGCTGCTGGTGCACCTGAGCAAGCACGTGCTCCTGCGGAACGAGGACCTGGACAAGATCCGGAACCTGTTCGGGCCCAAGGTCGCCATGTATTTTGCCTTCCTGCAGACCTACATCGCCTTCCTCTTCTTCCCCGCCATCGCCGGCTTTTTCGCATGGATGTTCTTGCCCAAGTATTCGCTGGGATACGCCCTGGTCATCGAACTCTGGTGTATCGTCTTTCTGGAGTACTGGAAGCTGCAGGAGGTCGACCTCGGCATCCGCTGGAACGTCAAGGGTGTCGCTACCCTCAAGGTCAATCGCCTTGGCTTCAAGCCTGACAGAGTCACCAAGGATGAGCACGGCATGGTGCAGTACCATTACTCGCGGTGGAAACAGGTGATATGGCAGACACCACAAATACCCTTCTTCGTCGGGGCGCTGGCCTGCCTGGGTGGCATCATCGCCGTCGTCTTCGCGCTCGAGATCTTGATATCAGAGGCATACGAAGGCCCGTACAAGTATTATCTCGTGAGTGTGATGGTTGTGGGACACAAGCCTAGCAACGGGTGCAAAGTGATTCGACTAACCACGACTGCTCCAGGAATACTTCCCGACTGTACTTCTTGCCGTTGCCCTCCCGTACGCGTCCTCGTTCCTTGAGGAGGCCACTACCATCCTCACGGACTGGGAGAACCATAGGACGAGTGACACGTACGAGATGTACAAGACGCAGAAGCTCTTTGTGCTCAACTTTATCGTCAGCTACACGCCCATTTTCCTCACGGCGTTTGTGTACGTGCCGTTTGGGGATGCTATCGTGCCCTACCTCAAGACGTGGATCCACCGTTTCGTGTCGTCCAAGCATATGACCTCGTCCTTCCACTCGGACCCAGACAAGCTCCGAAACGAGGTGATTGCGCTCACGGTGACGGGCCAGATATCCAGCGCGGGCGAGGAGCTCGTACTGCCGTATATCATGCACAAGCTGCGTAGTTGGTACCGGGAGTGGCGGTCGGCACGGCTCAACAGGGCCAAGACGGTCGACTTCAAGATACTCATGGCCGATGACCCAGCTGAGGAGGAGTTTCTGCGGAGCGCACGCAACGAGTCTACACTCGAGGAGTACAATGTTCAGGACGACTACCTCGAGATGGTGCTGCAGTTTGGCCACCTGGCCCTTTTTTCGCCTGTCTGGCCGCTCGTGCCGATCGGCTTCCTCGTCAACAACTGGTTCGAGCTCCGGTCCGACTTCATCAAGATCTGCCACGGTAGCCAGCGGCCAGCGCCCGTGCGGGCCGACTCCATCGGCCCCTGGATCGCCAGCCTCGAGTTCCTCACGTGGCTGGGGAGCATCTCGACGGCGGCCATCGTGCACATGTTTGGCGGGCCCACGATCGGCCTCGGGATCCTCCCCGGCGGCGGCGAGTGGTGGGCGCTGCCGATGACGGTGTTCATCAGCGAGCACGTGTACCTGCTGGTGCGCACGACGGTGCGGTCGGTGCTGGACAGCATCGGATCGGAGCAGACGCGCAAGCTGCGCCAGGAGCGGTACATCATGCGCAAGCGCGTCCTGGACGAGCTCGAGGCCAGCAACAACGCGGCGGCCGGGCTCGACATCAAGGAGCGCGAACGCCGCAAGTCGGTCCTGGTCACGGGCGCCGACGTCTTCTGGACCAAGCAGGTCGAGGACGGCGTCAGCTTCACCGTCGGCCGCGAGCTAGTCCAGGCGCTCAAGAACGACGAGCACGACTGCGGCTCGCCGGCCCGGGGGAGGAAGGAGGACTAGCCGGCTCGTGGGCCATGGGCGGGTAGGAGGGAGGTTAGCTCTCGTCGTGGTACCAGCTGACCGCGTGAGGAACGGGCGGGATTTCGAAATTTGGGCGTCTTCGGATTTAGGTATGTCTTTCTCCCGTTTCCATTTTAATGACTCTGCCAAGTATTGCGCAACCGCCGTCGCACAAACTATGCTTCGATTCTTGTTTGTCTGCAGGCGGAAGTTCTATGACCACATTTCGGTTACGCTGAATTTAAATCAACATTATTTTCTTTGCTTTTCCTTCCACAACTTTACCGCCTTTGAGACCAACCTCAGCAAGGTGCGTCTCCGAACCCTCACATCACGCAGCTGGGCTAAAAGAGCAGAGAGTGGCTGGCGACTGTCGCGGCGACCAATATATCTTCTCGTTGAGGATGCTCTTTCGATGACTCTGTGCACGAGGCATTTCCTTGATGGCAATATGCCGTAGCCGTAGGCTTCTGCCTGCCATGTTTATGGAGCAAGTCCGCGACAGTGGATGCGTCCATGTTTATTGGGGAAAAATTGGAATAGACGCCACGATTGACGCATTCTGGTGCATGCGCTGGATCGCGTGGCTGGACAGAAAGAAGGACTGACTGGAACAGCGAATAGATATGCCCAGGCGTGCTGGCACAAGTGAGCTCGCCGGCCCCCTTGGCGAGCGGTAAATGTTTGGATTGCGTGGCACGTAGGAAAAGGCACCCAACAACTAACAACGGATACACCAAAAAGTAACATAAAATCCGAAACGAAAGTGTCATCTTGTCGGATCGATATTCCGGCGCATGCAATAGGGAAAGATTTACTTGTTTTGGGCCAAAAGATGGACTTAATTGCAAGGCTTGGACCTTTGGCTTGGGCCCGTGGCGTGGCCCGTGGCTTGTGCTTGTGGCTTGGCCCCAGGGCCAAGCCCGAGGGCACGGCCCCCAACCCTTGTATATAAACCCTACCTCTGGCGCCCTTTCGGAGCCAGAGGTTCTTCCTCCTTATGCTCAACACAAGAATGCACAATATAGGACTTTTCCCCAGATCACAGAAGATCGTTGTTCATCACCTTTGGAGATTTCCGAGCCGTCTAACAGGAGTACCAGACTCCTACCAACACATCTAAACATTCCATGGTCCAGAACACCGACGAAAGCATTCCACCCCCGGATCTGCTTTTACCTCCTGCGTCTTTCTATTCCTAAATGAAGCTAGCCCTCCACATTGACCAATCTAATCCCTAGGGCCTTACCAGCATCCTTTTTTATATCTTTATATTTTTATTTTTAGGTGGAATGGGCTACCATTTTTCTTTGTGGCGGGCGTGAATAGGTACCACCCTTGCCCTCCCGCGGAGAAAGGGGTCGCATATGGGGCCATACAAGGCGCCTCACCAGAGCTCTACACGGGCCGTACAAAGGGGGTCCTCTGTAAGATACCTGCAGCGACAGCACGTCAACCCTAGGAGGCCCCGCTGGCCGCATGGATGGCTCCCCAGCGGCTGACGACAACCTCCAGGGGAAGGTGCTGCGCCTTCACGTAGCTCACCATGCCCTTGGCGTACCCGGCGCTGTCGAGGGTGCCCAGCAGCCCGGCGGCGTCGCCGGCGCGGAAGTAGGCCTTGCGCTGCAGCGGGATCATGACGAAGCCCGCGTACCCCTTGCTCGTCGCGTACTCGCGCATCTTGGTGGCGGCGTCGGCGAACTGCTTGGGCCCGTCGATGTCGCCCACGTCGAGCACCTCGGCGTCCTCGGAGGGGTTGCTGATGCGCAGGTTCGTGTCGGGCCAGGTCAGGAAGGGCGCGCGGCTGTGGTCCGTGGCCATCCAGCTCTCGAGCAGCACCTGGTACTCGAGCAGCCTGGTCGCCAGCGCCGCGCCCTCGTGCATCTCGGCCGTCGCCTGCCCGAGCTCCTTGGTGAGCTGGCCCATCTGCCCGCTCGCGGCGGCGCGCATGTCCCCCAGGCCTTTGGCCAGCGCGCCGAGGTCGCCGCCCGTCATCTTGAGGCCCGTCTGGGCCGCCAGCCGGTCGAAGAGGGCCTGCGCGCCCTTGACGACCGCGTCCTTTGCCAGCGTCGTGTTGGCCACGACCTCGGCCGCCTTATCGGCCATGCTCTCGGCGATCTTGCGCGCGATGATGTCCCACGAGAGCTTCTCCGTCCCCCACGCGAGCCCCTCCTCGGCCGTCTTGACGGCGATCTTGGCGGCCCCGGCCTCGCCGGTCGCGGCCGTGAGCGCGCAGGTCGCCTCGGCCGCGGCCGCGTCGGTGACCGGGTTCAGCCCGCCAAACACGGCGGCGGCGGCGACGGCCCCCGCCTCGATCAGAGCCGCGGCGGTCACGGCGGCCATGGCTACGTTGGCTATCTGTATGAGCCGCTCGACGTTCTGCCACGTCGCCACCTCCTGCACCGCGTGTTCGATTGCCTGCAGCACCACGTGCAGCTCGGCCGCCTGCTGCGCCAGGTCCTGCTCCACCCTCCGCTTCATCATGTCGAACCACGGCGGGAACTTTGGCATGTCGGGCCACCCCAGCTCAAAGGGCTGGAATATGGGCCGCACCTCGAGGTGGAGCTTGCGCGTGGCCGTGACCTTGGCCGGCTTGTCGCCATTGAGCGCGATCGAGATGTCGAGGCTGAAGTCGAGCTTCTTGGCCCACCCCTTGAAGACGCTCGTCGGGATGATGACGCCGGCCGCGTCGAACAGGGGGTCCTTCCTGCTCAGCTTGGCGACCTGCTTGGAGCTGCTCTTCTTAAGGTCGGCGACCGAGATGTCGACCTCCTTCACCTCCGTGTAGGTGTTGTCTGCCATCCCGGTCCATTGCGGGAAGACGGATGCGTGCCACTTGACCGTGAAGCTGAACTGGAAGTCGTCTGTGTTGCCCTCGCCCAGGTCGAGGTGGCCGCCCAGGTCGAGGTGGCCGCCCAGGAGGTTGACCGTCGTTTTGCCAAAGGACAGGGAGCCCTTCACCTTGAACTCCTGAGAGCCACCCCCAAACGTGATGCTGCTCTTGCTGCCTTGGCCGGCACTGACTTTTATACCCTTGAGCTTGACTTTGCCGTCGATAGGGCCTCCCTCCTTGTCTCTGGACAAGTGGAGGTCCCCTACATCCGTTGGAAAGTCGACGTCGAACGCCCTTTCGACCAGCGCGGCCCAGGATCCGTCTTTCCCGGCAACTTGGGTGGAGGATGACATGGCGGCCGCTGTATAAACCCCCGAAAAGTGGCTGTGGCGTGTGTGTGCGTGTGCGAAACAGAAATCGAGGGATGCCCTGGGGTTGGCTCCGTAGAGAGGAATCGGCCAAGTGGTACCGACATCTGGAGATGTTTAAGTAGAGCACCCAGGTCCCGCCACAATTGTCTAATGCGGGATAGACTTGTTGTGTTCCATGTCAGGTTGGCACATGAAGCGAGACCTCCATACAGAGATCTCCACGTCACTGAGGGGCTTGAGAGTCCGGTCCAACTCTCGCAGGACCAGCCAAGTCTAGCCCGTCCAGAATCAGCCCCGAGGCGTGGTGCAGAGCGATCGACAAGCCCATGGCCAAGCAAAACCCCAGATCCTGCTATTCCACTGGGCGATTCCACCGAGGTGGCTGCCATGGGCTGGCTGACAAACGTCATAGCACCCAAAGCTGAACTTGAGCAGAAGACCCTATTTCCAAGACGGCATGGCCCATGGAAAGCGCATCGATCAATGCCTATTTGGATGAGGCGTGTTCGCATGGACAGTTCCAGGCCGCCGCTAGTCCCCTTCTGGCGAAGACACACGTGGGATGCAAATGCCCCAAGGGAGCTTTTCGCGCTTGTGTCGGAGCTGAACATTGAGTCGCCGCACTCCGGATTGGTATCCTCCTCGTGCCGCTACAGCTCTTGCAGGTATCGCGCACCCTTTCTCTGAATTTTCCGCTCTGGCCAGACATGGACTGGTTCACGCCAGACTATCCTTGTCAATAGCCCCCTTCCTACGCCTGCCGACAGGTGCTAGGAGAGACTAGTAGCGCGATCATGTGCGGTTGATGCCTGTCAAGAGGAAGAAGGCCGCGTCGTTGTGGCGGTCGTGAGCGCAACGAGTGAGCTGGTCCAGTCCTGGCAAACGCCTCGCCCCCAACGCCCCCTACTCGGCAAACCCATCATGTTTTGGTCAGGAGTGGCTGAATTCTAGTGTGGTAGCATAGGGCTGTCCTATCTGGCCTGTAGTTGATTGACGAATCGATAAGCCTTGGCTCGCGTGGCCAAGTTTATGAGCGCGCGCTCTCGGTCGCAGGGGCGAATAGACACGCCTACATGGCACACATGCACCACAGCCACAAGAGATCTGCAGAGAGGAGAGAGTCGCATAGCGAGGCAGCTGTGCTTAGAGCAGCCCTGAGGGACTGTGGTGCAGCAGAGGCTTGGTCGACACGTCGAAGGAGTTGTTGCTTGAGCTGGATTTATGAAGGAGGGTATCCAGTGTACCTAACCGATTGCTACTGTTAGATAGGCGGATAAAGAAAAGGAAAAGTCGCCTCTGGCAGTATAAAATGTAATATCCGAAGAGAACATTGCTGCACCACCAGCTGCACAGGCGCACGCGCATCCATCATTTCATTCCTAGGCTGAGAAAAACAGGGCCAGAAATCTCATGGCTCCCCAGCAATGTTGTGGTGCGCTTGCTGGCGCCAATTCGGCTGGACAAGAATTGCAGCCGTATAGCGACATCTCTGGAACAGGGCTAAGAACGACCCATTCGTCCTCACCACATTTCCCGTGCGGAGTCATTGACTGGCTGCTCTAGGTCCTCGTCACTTTTGTCGGGGCCACCACTATGGCTCTGCTTCTCCTGGTTGGCAACTACTTGGTGTCTTTCGACCTGACGGCGAACCCATTCAAGACCAGCTCAGGCGACGATGCTACCTCGACCCTCCCGTCACCCATCCAGAGCCGCACGAAAGTGGCCTCACAGGATAGTTTAGACTGGTGGCGCCCAAACCCAATCGATCGCGTGTTACTTGCCTGGGTCCGGCGCAACAAAGGTCCGCGTCGAGATGTTGAGGGTGCCTTCGTCAGTGTAAGCGCCCCCTGCCCCTTTTCTTTTTCTGTCGGGGCACATTCTCCCGAGCCGCCCCCTTATCCCCCCGACCGGAAACCATCGGTGTTTTACACAGTGCATCATCGATGTGAGCGACCTACAAACCTTCACTGGCATCGCCATCCTCACCAGCGGCTCCCTGTCACTACAATGCGGCTCCGACGCCGACGCACCACCCCCCATCTCGGCATACCGTTGGAGCAAACTGGTCCAACTGGCTTGGTTTTCCACACTCACGAACCTGGAGGTCTTTTCTGTCCTGGGCAGTCACTCCATATCCCATTAGCGCACGCGACTCATCCGCTTCTTGCTGTCTTTCGTCCTCCTGGTACTGCTCTATACAGCCATGGCCCCGACTTTTTTCTTCACCTGGCGTGGGGAGAACGATGTGCCGGGGCGCAACAGCGGGGTCAACCCATATTCCCCGGCCATCTGCTTCTTGGGCTTGCGGTATGCGCTGTCCCATTTCAGTCAAGGCTACAGCCTATACACTTCCTCTACGTTCCTGGGTACCGTCTTTTCAGCAGGACTGTTGCTCTTTAGCTTCATGAGCAGGACAGTGAAGCTCTTCAGGCCTCTTTCCCACTTCTTCAATACCTCCCTTCGGCGCCTAATCGGCGATGTTGCGCGCCGCGCCGCTTCGCGAGTCCTGACATGGACTCAGCCTTCAAACTCTCAAGGTGCGAGTTTTTATCTTTGGAAGCATTTCTGCTTGCGGTCAGTGACGGCGTTGTTCTTGGCATCCCGCGTGATCGCCAACCTGTTCGCGTCGCTCTTGTTCGAGGTATGGTGATAATTCATACGTGCATCAACTGCAACTTCAGCCGCTGACTGTCTGCCATCTTTGAAGATTATCATCCTAATATTCTCGCTGGTTTGGGGAACAGCCAAGCTGTTTTCCTTGGAGAGCAACCCTCGCATCGAAAGGGCCGCAAAGCAGGAGGCACAGTGGACATTCGGTCGGACCTTGCTCGTGATACTGTTCACTTCTTCGGCCTTCCAGCTATGTAACTCTTTCCTCTCCAATATGGACTGCATCAAGCCCGAGAGCCCGGAAACTGGTGTGGCCAGTGGGGGATCATCAACTCAAGGTGTTAGCCCAACCGGGCCTGGGGGTACTCGGCAAGATCAGATCCAGCTAGCAGCCGCAACGACAATTCCAGCCCAGCTGAACTTGAAAGCTATCCTCAATATTGACTGCCACACGACAACATCCTGGCTGGTCACTTGTGTTACCATTTTGACTTTGGAATACATCCTCAACTTCGCCATGTTGCTGGTCCAAAGCTTCGGCGATTTAACACCCCTTTTATCCCTCATAATACGGCCCGGGTATATTATCCAATTCACACTCAGTGTCCCCATGCAACTGATTGGGGGCATCCTACTCGGTCTCGCTATCGACCAGCGGATGGAACGATTAGTCGGAAGAAAAAGGACCCTCGTGGCGTTCAACGCCATACTGGCATGTGCTTTCCTCATTAAATGCGCATTTCAGATCTCCGTGATGTCGGGCAGTAGTTCCGAGCTTGAAAATACAAGCGCCCCGATGTTGACTGTTATTTTTCCTTTTGGCTTTACCATCTTTTCGTTGCCATTCTTCCCTTTCTTCGTGCGCATATGAAACCAAAACCTCCTCGATCCCCTAATGTTTCCGATTTGATTCCATTTGTGTTTGAGCGGACTAGAAATTTGCCAGGTTGAACCGGGGTTATCTAACGGCTGTGGTGAGGGCTGTCCAAATTCGCACTCCTTTAAGGCACAAATCGTGTTAGCAACTAGAATATGATCTAGATCCTGTATGGGCGCATGGCGCCGGTGAGAGGCTCGCTGGGAGGGTACGAATATGTACACCTCGATTTCTACAAGTTTTGCCAAAGCGATAATAAACAACTTGCTGTAAAATTCATAGTGCATGACGAGGTTAGTTTGAGGTTGAAGCTAGATCTAGATGTGGCGAGGGGACCTGCGAAAATATGGCGGTTTGAGGGATCCGACGATAATTTCAGCCCAAGATTGCCCTTTAAGCCTGCCACGGAAAGCGCAATGCAACGCAAGTGACCTTTTGGCTGATCAGTCCTCCTCTTCCTCCTCCTCTTCTGCTTCGTCATCCTCGCTGTCGGCTAGGCCCGAAAGTCCACCGCTATTGCTTGCAGTGCCCTTTCCCAGCTCATTTAGTCCTCTCTCGAGCTCATCGGGGCAAAACAACTTGCAGAGGGTTGTCATGTCTTCGTAGATTCTGTGAATTGGGCGGTTAGCTAACACCTGCAGAACTCGGAAAAATCCCGACCCTCAACCTACATCTGCCTTTGTGTGGACCCTGGGACGTATAGCGTGTTGCCAACATTAAATGGCAGCGAGTACAAGATGTTTCTTGCATCCCAGTCCTCCACTGCAGTTAGATGTGATTCCGAGTTAGCTGCAGAATCTTGAGCATGTTCCCATCGCAGTTGCTTCGGCCCAGATACGTACCTGGTTCCGAAGGCGGAATCGATTTTTTGTAATAACGGATATAAGCAGGGTTGCTAAGGCGATGCCGGGGCGCGCGCCAGTTGCCCGTATCGTATTCGTTGTGCGCGTAAAACGAACAAACGTCGAAGATAAAGGCCTCCCCCGTCCTGGCGTCTATGGCCGTATTGCCGTCCCAGCAGTCCCCGTGCACGAGCGAGGGCTTCAGGGTGCGGCCCTCGGCCTGCAGCGGGAGGAGGAGCCGGGGGACCACTCGCGAGAGGGTCAGATCAGCCACGACGTTGAACTCGGGCCACCGAAGGACGGGCTTGGCGAGGTCGATGACGTGGGTGAGGTGGCTCGAGTAAACAGCGCACCACGAGTCGTCCCAGAAGTCCACGGCCTGGTCGATCTGCGTGTGACAGGTCCGCATGTGGAAGCCGAACTTGCCCGTCGGGGACCGCGACTGCTTGTGCAGCTCGGCGAGCCCTGCCGCTAACTTCCGCGGTTCTGCTGGCTGTGTTTTGAGTATCAGCATTGGGGTTGGGATGCAGGGTTAGGCACTACCGTAGGTAGGTACCTAGTGCTTGGATCTAGCCCACCTGTGCGCCGATGTCCCGGAACTCGACGAGCATGAAATGAGTGCCGGGGTCGTTGGCATACGCGCCGTGCGCATAGGGCTCGGGGCAGAAACCAGGGATGGTGGCGTGGATCGCCTTGAGACTCTCAAACTCGCCAGTGCACATGAGCCGGCCCGTTTCCCCATTCGACACCACCTGTGCGACAAAGTGAGAGTTGTAAGAGCCGGGATCATACCCCCCCTCGAGCCATCCAGCCGAGATTTCTCATCATTAATACCTACCTTGATGAAGTAGTTGCGACATTTGCCATCTGGCAGCTCGACGAGAATCTTGGCTGTTGTGCCCCACAGCGATTTGCCAAATTTGGCGGCGTGGATTGGCTTTGCTCCAGCATCAGGGAAGGCTGCAAAGACGCTAACAGTCAATGAACGGCCCGGCCCGATCCAGCCCCACCAAAGAACAAAACTGACCAGCAATGACATTTGCGTCCAGTTCAAACGACCCAAGCGGCTTCGGAAGCTCGATCGGATCCGAGGGAGCAACCTCGCTTTTCTGGGCTGGACCGATGTCGATACCCCTGTTCGCGGCGACGGCGTGGTCGCTCTGTCGCTGCCACGCCTCTGTCTGGGCGCTTCTGGGGTGGCTTGCGTCGACGCCTGACCCCAGGCCCTGGGCTACAGCCTCGTCCTGGACCGGTCCCGGGGGCGCTATAATGTTGGCATTGCCGTTCGAGCTTTGAGGCGTGTACGCCATGCTTTCGTCTTCACGAGTTAACGCGAAATACACGCTGCTGTTGACTACAGCGTGCCCCCGGACACACCTCTCTCAGGCCCCGCGGCCGGGAGGGGCGGCCTTTATCACTACGGACACAGAAAGGAAAATTCCTCATGCAGGTGCCAACCACTCGCAATGATACCTCCGATGTTGGCACGGTCTCTCGGGCGACGGGCGCAGCAGGGACTCGGCAACCGTAAGCGCCCCTTGGCGGCGCAGCCTGCGCGGGAAACATCGCAGGCGGCCAATCGCAGCCTTTCCTCGTTGCCTCCTATTAGCGGCTTTCCCTGCTACCACCTCTCCCGGAACTCAAGTGCGGGGTCGCGCGTCGTCGAGTCCAGTCGAGTCCGGACCCTGCCGCTCGCAGAAATGGCCTTCTCCGGATGCCTCCATCGACCATCCCAGTCTCATCGCACGGGCGAAGCGCGGCCAGTGGGTCTGAAATAAGGGCTCTAACAAATCCCCCTGGCTGTGTTTGCATCTAGCCGAGGTGCTCTACACAAATCATGGTAAATTGGAATCATTCTGCCTCATCTCCATTTGACGACGACGTTGTTCCAGGACCAACCGGCTCTAATGTTACTCGTAGTTTCGTCTCGGCCGCTTCCGGTCCGATCCATCTGTCAATGACAGCGCCGACGATGACAGCCCGCAGAACCATCCAAGAACTCTCCCTTCGAAGGCCTCTATTAGTCAAGGAAGTATGAACTCATTGGGGTCAAGCGCTGGGGACTCCGATGTCGCGATTCGGACTCGTCCAAGGCCACAGCTGCGTACCAGCTACACATCGTCGTCCTCGTTCAGCTCCCGCCCCGAGGGGAGCGGCAGTGGCGCCGCCGCCCCAGACCCCCTTGGCCTCCAGCTCGTGCACAAGGTTGATAGCTCTGTCGGCGACATTGTGTTTGTGCACGGGCTGGGTGGTTCTGCATGGCGTACCTGGTCGTGGAATCGCGACCCGACTCTGTTCTGGCCCGACTGGCTTGCTGAAGAGGGCGACGTGCTCGCCAACTTCGGAGTCTGGACCTTTGGTTACAATGCAGGCTTCCGAGGAGCAGCGACAAACCTGACCATACTGGACTTCGCCAAGGATCTGCTTCTGCAGCTCATCACGGCGCTCGACGATGGCCAAGATCGCGCAGCGGACTTGAACCTGCAAAGGCCCATCATCTTCGTCGTCCATTCCATGGGAGGCCTCGTTGTGAAGAAGGCCTACACGATGGGCAAGCATGACGACCAGTACGCTGGGCTTGTATCCAGAATCAAGGCAATCCTGTTTCTAGCCACTCCTCATCGGGGCTCTCAATATGCCAAAATCCTGAATACCATCTTGTCGACTACCCCCCTCGCTACGTCCTCAAAAGCCTATATTGCAGGACTGGACATGCAATCCGACACCATCCAGGACATCAACGAGGCCTTCCGACAACACAGTGATGGCTTGTTGCTGTACTCTTTCTACGAGAACTTGAAGACAACCATCGGTTTCACAAAAGCAATGGTAAGCCTTCATCGCACGGACATAAAGCCGGGAGCCTCCCGCTACTGCTAGGAACGAATATGCTGAATCCCCCTACAGATTGTGGATAAGTCTTCAGCTGTTCTGGGGTACCCCTCGGAAATGTCGGTTGGCATGAACGCCGACCACCACAACGTTTGCAAATATAAGGATAGATCGGATCCGAACTTTCGAACGGTCAGGGGTGTCTTGAAGAGATGCGCGCTCGATTGTGCGCCACGCAGTAAGTTACCGTCTGTATGCTAAATTATCTGCCTTAAGACTCTGTAGAGCCGTCTTTGTCCATTGGGCCAAAACGCTAACCACAGCCCATCAGCTGTTCCTGCCCCTATCAACATCACAGTGCCATTTGCCCCTGAGATCTCTTCGACTCTTGATGCTGAACAGCGGATAGCCGATGTTTTCGGCCTCAGGGGTATTGTCGACGACACCGGGGCTGGAACGAGCACCACCGGACCTGGCACATCCGGGAGCTGGCTTTTCGAGAGACGAGAGTTTCAAAGCTGGCTGCCAGGTCCCGGGGACGAGACCGGATGTCAGCAGTTTCTCCTCGTGGGCCTCCCGGGGACGGGCAAGACAGTCCTCTCCCGGATGACGGTGAATCGCCTCAAATCGATGGGCCTGAATGTTCAGCACCACTTTTTCGATCGCACAAACCACCTGAAACGAACGAGGCAGTTTTGCTTCCACTCCCTAGCTGCGCAGCTGGCTCTCACCAACAAGTTGTTCAGAGACGAAGTGCTTCGGCTTCATGACAATACGGGAATTTCATTCGACCTACGGGACTCTAGTATGGATTTTCAGACAGTTTGGGAGCGCTTCTTTGAAGGAATTCTATTCCAGATCCGCTTGGAAAACCCCATTGTCTGGGTTCTGGACAGCATAGACGAGTCTGACGCTCCCAGTCTCCTGCTACCGCGACTCACTGCCATTCAGTCCCGGAGCCCGATACGCATTTTCACCACAAGCAGGCCTCTGAAGGGGCTCCCATCCTGGGACCAGACCAGGACGCTGACGTATTTCATGCGGCCCTCGGATACGACGGAAGACATGGCCAACTACGTCACCAAAGCGGTTCAGGACAGCGTCCCAGATGATCCCGTTACACAGAAGTTCGTGAGGGACGAGATTCTTTCGAGGGCCACTGGCTCTTTCCTCTGGGCACGGCTAGCCTTGGAAATCATACAGGATAGCTGCCACATCAAGAACGACATACTCGCGGCACTCACAGAGGTCCCGAAGGGGATGGCGGCAATGTACAGCCGGATGATGGCTGTGATGGAGGAGCAGCCGCCTCGTAACCGAAACCTCGCAAAAAGGGTGCTGCAATGGGTTGCGTGCAGTGTCAGAGCCTTGTACGTGGACGAGATCGCCGCGGCTTTGCAGCCCGAGTTTGGCGAGTTCGTGAACCTGGCCGTCTCCCTCACGCAGATATGCGGGCACTTCATCACGGTCGACCGCTCCGAGCCCGGCCGTCCCAAGGTGTCCCTCATCCACACGACCGCGCGGGAGTTTCTGCTCCATGGTGGCGACGACGGCAAGCCGCCCTACATCGACGCAAAGAAGGCTCACGAATATGTTGCCCTGGCCTGCTTGGGCTACCTCAGCGACGACCAGTGGAAGAGGCGATTTGGCGCCATACCGCCCACATGGGGACAGGCGGAGACCTCGACGGGCTCGGAGCGACTCGCAGAGATAATGAGGGAACACGCCCTTTTGGAATACGCGGCTTCACAGTGGGCATATCACCTGTCGCGCTCGGGCGTCGACAGCTCTGCTCTGATCGAAGCCCTGGAGAGTTTTCTGCTTAACTACTGCCTCTCCTGGATTGAAGGGATCGCCCTTTCGCAAAGAATGGCAACTCTGGTTCGGTCGGCAAAGTCCCTCAAGAAATTCGCCAAGAAGTCGAATCGCCACTTCCTCCTCGACCCCAAGCAGACCATGTACAACATTTCGGCGGCGACGAGCCCGGTGAGTCCGGTCACCCAGGACTCGCTCGACTGGGTCCAGCTTTGGGCGACGGACTTTATCCGGATCGCCGGCAAGTTCGCCGCCAACCTTGTCTGCAGCCCCTCCTCGGTCTACCGGAACATCCCTCCGATGTGCCCTGCACAGTCCATGATCGGCAAGACGTTTAGCGGCTCCATGCCGCCGTTCGCCAGGTCTGATCACTTGTCGGTGAGTGGCCTGTCGTCCGAGACCTGGGACGACTGCCTCGCCAGCGTCGTGGTCGGCAACGACGAGTTCGTCAACGGCGTGCTCGCGACCGAGAGCTACTTCTTCACCCTAGTCAGCAGCGCCGGCTGCATCACCGCCTGGAGCGCCCACACCTGCGAGAAGTTGCGCAGCTTCAATCATGGGGAGTACGTCCCCGTGATGGCCGTCGGGCGAGCCGGCAACAAGCTGGCCGCTTCAGGCTTCAGCTCCTATTCTATCTGGGAGGTTTCCACAGGGCGGAGACTGCACAGGATCCCCAAAACCCATGATGCCATTGTACGAAGCCTGGCGTTTGGCCCCGGCGAGACCGAGATCAAAGCAGCACTCGACGACTGCACAATACAGTCGATAGACCTGGAGTTAGCCAAGGTCGAAGCCGTGCAGCTCGAAGGCCTTGGCCTGGACCTGGGGTACCAGGGATCGCCTTGGAGGCAGGCACTCAGCCCCGACCTTACTAGGGTGGCCATGGCGTGGCGCGGGCGGACTCCCATCGTGGAGGACCTGCGGAGCCGGGGCAAGCAGCCGCTGAGATGCCGCAGCCGCGGTTCCTCGGACCCCCTGATGTACCCCGAGCAGCTAGTGTGGCACCCAGACGGTAGCCAATTGATGATTCTCTGCAACGACACCAGCCTCTGGGAATGGAGGCTCTCAGACGACGACATCCTCGAGCATCCCAACGTCCGGGCCCGCGACCTGGCAATCTCGGAGGACGGGTCTCTCCTCCTCACGATCGAACACACCGGCACCATCAGCATCTGGGCGACCCCGCACCTAAACCTCCTATACCGGCTGGTCAACAGCGGCGATCCGAGCGCCGCGGCGGCCTTCAGCCCCGACAGCCAGCGCTTCTACGATGTGCGCGGGTCGATCTGCAGCGCCTGGGAGCCGGACGCGCTCGTGCGGTCCGACGACCACGACAACGAGGACGCCACGAGCACTGCGGGCAGCTCCATGCTGACGGAGCCCGTGATATCGGCCCAGCTTAGTCCGAACTCGACCATTACTGCTATCGCCATGGGGCCCGCGGACAAGTTCTTTGCCTGTGCGCGTGAGGACGGGTCCGTCATCATCCACGACTCCCTCGACGGCGGGAAGCGGCTGCGTAAGGTGCACTCGCACCCTCCTTCCTCCGAGGTGTGCTTGCTCGTGTGGTCGACTTCTGGAAAGTACCTGGCCTCCTGTGACGAATCCGGACATCTCATCGTGAAGAAGCTCCAGACCAAGGAGGAGGACAAGCCCGCAGCCAACGAAGCCGGCGGCAGAATAAGCGGACCATATCGTGCTGCCGAGGCTGGCTTTAAGGGCAGATGGGCGGTGTTTCCAGCTCTAGACTGCCGTCTCGGCGAGCCCGCCAGGCAGCTCATCTTCCACCCGGACGAGAAGCTGATCTGGATCAGCACCGGCCGGAGGGAGCGGCTCTGGGACCTAAAGAGCAAGAAAGAGGTGTTCGCCTCTCCGCCCCGCGAGGGAAGGGAGCAGTGGCACTGGCGTCAGCACCCGATGCAGCCGGATCGCCTCCTCTGCTTCCGTGGTCTGGAAGGCCACGCTGTAGACTGGCTGTCGGGGAGGGATCTAGATGTAGACGCCGCAGCTGTACAGACAGGGGCAGGCGTCGAGGAATCCAGCCCGCTTCTTTCACCAGACGGAGGCCAGGGGGAGCCCGCAAGACACCGCTCGCCGAGCCCACATAGGTTCTGCCGCTGCAAAAACGTCATCTGGTCGGCCACGGTAAGCGACGGACACCATATAATCCTAGCCTTGTCAACGGCCGATGACCCCTGGGCGATGACTTCTCACGCGGGGGTCGAGCTGCATCTTGTAAACATCCAACAGTCCCCAAGGGACGTTGGCGCGGCAGCGGTTACCTCACCCACTTTAAACCGGTCTTCCAGGGATGGTCAGCGCATAAATCAGCCGGAGATACCAGCAGAGATATGCTCCAGAGTCAGGCTACTCCTTGGATCGAGAGGGTCCAGTTTGATCTTTCTAGGGCTCGACGGTTGGGTCTTCTCGTACGACACCGGCTCGATAGGAACCATGTCAGCCACGAGGGGTGGTGGTGGCACTTCAGGCAAGACGAATCCGAGGTCGGACCTGGACCTCGTCGGGCTGCGGCGGCATTTCTTCCTGCCCCGGGACTGGCTCAACACCACGACGGCGCACATGGCGTGTGTTGGAGCCGGCGGAGACGCGACCTTCTTCTGCCCGAAGCAGGGAGAGGTGGCCATTGTAAAGAACGGCCTGCGCTTTTGAGTTTGAAGCTGGAGAAAGTATAGCTCATATACATAGAGAAAGATGCTGTATGACCGGAACTGCGTAGCCCACTGAAGGAATCATTGGCACTGACGCCGAGCCCTCCGTGAGTCCTACAGACAACAGCAACAAGTGATCTTGTGGGAATACTGCCGAGACCCGCACAGCCCGACAGTTGATGGCAGAGTTTAGGTCGAAATTTAAAGTTGGGAAAAAGACCCAAGGTGACCTGAAACATCTAACGTGAACGCTGCCCACCAGGCAACAACCTTGGCTACACTATCTACATGAACATCCCCCAGTCCCCTCCCCCCTCCCATCTCAGCAAATGTCGTCCCCGCGGCTCGCCCTGCCGTACGCCTTGCTGTACGCCGGGATGCGCACCATGCCGGCCCTGCCGCTGCCGCACCCGCCGTCCATGATGCCGTTGGCCTGGTCGAACTCGAAGCGCCAGCACCTGTTCTCGGCCGCCCCGTTGCACATGTAGGCTAGCGTGCTGCCCCGCGCCACCACGATCCCCACGCCCGCCGGGAACGACCGCCCCTGGTCGCACACGGAGCTGAAGCCCTCCCGCGCCGCCGCGAGCTCGCTCCCGTTCACGTAGCCGGCGCCGCACTGCAGCACCGGGCTCGGCAGCGGCGGCGGGCCCTGCTGGCGTCGGGCCAGCGGGCGGGTGGGCGCGGCGCCGGCGCCGGGAGTAAAGGCCCAGGCGCCGTCGTCGAGGTCGGTGGGGATGACCAAGGCACGCGCCAGGCCTGACAGTAGGATGCTGGCGGTTGTGGCGCTACGCATCTCGCTGGAGTTTTTCCTGTGGCGTGACTGCTGTGTTTGGCCATGTCATCCAGCGATCGCGACCGCAGGTTGGCTGATATGTACGATGGCCCGAGTGCGTCTCTAACATATGAGAGTTTCGTGTGACTCCTGCCTTGAGCCTGCTAAGAAAGAGGATGGGAACTGAGGGGAGCCTCGGTATTTTTATCCGCCAGGGGCTTGGGTCTCAGGACACCCCCTTTACGTGGTGGCCTTGGGTAATTCCGGCTCCGCGAACAGCAGAGTTGGGTCATGCTCGCACGTGGGTTCGTCACCTCCCCGAGTTTGACGGCTGCTCCAAGCTGCGATCACCAAGTCTCTCCACACTGCCACAACGAAGGAAGAACCCAAGAGGCAGGCGCACAGATGTCTCTAGACCTCCCCCCGTCCCCGCCGTGGTTCAGATGACAGGTTCACACTGCATTCAAAATTGGGACCGTCTGTCACGGCGATAGAGCACGACACGGCAAGGACCCTCTTAAAGCTCATCCACGAGCCGGGCTGCCCGCTGTCCGGATCATTTCCTGGCAAGGCCATTGTTGACACTGGGCATTGATCGCAATGGAGCTACATTTTCAGCCGCGTTACCTTCCGGTATAAGGAAATATAGGTAGAAGTCATCCCTCCCGCTCAAAATTCATTCATCCACCCGTGACCCGGCTCCATCTAGAGCTCGCCGTCAAGACTCATGGCGCCAGTAGCCCTGACGAGGTCGGACAGCTCGCACACCACCTCGCGATACACCGAGTCCTGCAGCCGGGGTTTGGCGATGGAGTGCAGCCGACGGCTGGTGCTGCTCCTAGCCTCAAACTCGCAGTCGAGGCACTTGAACACCAGCTTATCGTACCTAGGGCCGAGGCGGCTCGCGGACCCGTAGGCCAGCCGCCGGACCTCGGCGAGGTCGCTCTCCTGGACCCGGGTCCAGCGGTCGATCTGCAGAAGGACCACGGCAAGGCTGAAGAGCGGCAGGCTCTTGACCCCGTGCTCAAGCATGGCAGTCGATAGGACGTCACAGGAGCTGCCGCCCCCGTCGTCGGCGTCATCATCGCTATCGCCCACGTGGCCTATCGACGATGGCTCGGCTTTTACCTCATTGACGCCCCCGCCCCCCTCGATCCCTTCCATTTTCATGGGCTGGCCTTGCCTTGAGGGCTGGCAGTCGCGTGTGCCCGGGCTTATATCGACGCGGAGGTGCAGTGTCTCCAAACATCGCTTGATCTTGGCGCGATCCTGGAGGACGAAGAGGCTCCTTGTGCTCCAGATTTCAGGCATCCAAGGGGTATGGAGGAACTTGAGGAATGCCAAGGAGACACTGTGAGCCAGCCGGAGCTGGTCCACGGGCGTGAATCTGGTTTGGAGGTCGTAATCAAAGACCGAGTCGAGTGTCATGAAGTTCCTGGACTAGTCTTGAAGCTGGGCGTGCTTCGTGTTTGCTTCAGCGCGAAAGGTGTGTCGGAAGTCGTCCAGCGAGTCGATGAACCCAATACAACCAGACCCTCCAGCTCGACTCTCCCGACCCTTCCCCTTCTCCTGGGCTTGGTAACCGCGGTACAGATCCGCACACAAGGAGGCGGACTTCCCGAGATCCACCAGCTGGCCGTTTTCCTGCTGATCCAAGCCTGGATCTGGCGTTGTGTTTGCACTGCATGGGGTGAGAGGAGGTGGAGGCGCAAGTTCGTCGGCGAAGCGGACCTTACGCCTGGTTGGCTCTCTCCCCTCGGTGCTCTCGGGCGTGAAAAAGCCGCTGTCGACCCACTCCTTTCGAGACAGCACCTGGAGACAGAGTCTGCTCTCGGCCAACAGGCTGTTACAAGAGTCAGGTCAGCACACAGCACCAGGGCTCAATCTAGGGATGCTCTCACGATGCTGCCAGCTGAGAGGGCAGGATATCCAGTCACTTGCCTGTCGCACCGGCACAGCAGCATAACCGTGTTGGTGACACTATCTCTTTCATTTGAAGCATCGATGAAAAGCCTAGCGCAGTGCGGTGCTGGCGTCTTGGTGGCCGCGTACGCTGTGGCAAGCGCATGGTGCATGCTCCGGCTTGCGCTGCGGATCTTGAGAAAAGAGTCGAACTCTTGTCGTGGCCGTGGTGACTGCTGCTCGCCGCTCCGGGCCGCCCCCGGGCGAGAGTTGGGAGCACAGGACTGACTGAGCTCGAGTCTTTCCTTGCGGAGTCGCTCCAGGTCGAGGTTGGAGGCGCGGAGGCTGGTGAGCAGCTCCTTGCATTTCGCTTCGCTGAAGGCGTACTTTAGACCGGCCCTGATCCGATCCTTTCTTTCCTGTAGTAGCTGTCAGAAAGAACAAGAAGAAGAAAAGTTGATTGACAAGCTGGCCATCTTACCGGCTCCATATCAAGATAGGGGCTCTCGTAGCCATCCAGCTGCTGCTCAAGATGATTGACGTCGGCTGAAATTTGCTCAAAAACAGCCCGGCACGGCTCGTAGCTGTCGGCAAGACACGCTTGCAGCCTTTCCTCGAGTCCTAGCTTGGCAGCCAGCTTCTCGTCGCGGCAGCCCAGAATGGCCTCAATATCCTTCTCGGCGCCATCTCGGTCGTCCAATGCCAGTTGAAGCACCAGTCGTGTCTGGTTTCTGAAAGACGCTTTTTCCATGTCGAGAGAGTTGCTGATCCGCCTAACCTCGCTCGAGTACTTCTGGAATGACCTGAACTTCCTCTTTGCCGCCCGAACGCCCGCGTGGGCACCCCCGATCAAAGGGACCAGGCCCAGGACTCCTATAGCCAGCTCCGCCATCGGCAAGAAATCCGCCGCGGGCAGGTGTATGGTCAAGAGATGCTATCGGATCGGGGGATTGAAGGTGTGAACGAACACAGATTAAATGGCCGGATGCAAAGCGCCGTTCGGTGGTGGCGGTGTTGGCAAAGCCCCCTCAATCCCTGCTGCAGACCTGCGCTTGTGTTTCCTCACAATTCGCTGGCCGAATGCTTTGGCCCCTCAGGAAAACGCGGAAGGTCCTCACAGAAAATCCTACAGAAAATCCTACAGCCTGACCAATCTACAGCTCGCAGCATGCCCTACTCTCTAGAATTAACACAGCAATGGTCACCCATATGGATCAAACAGCATGCACTCTACCGAAAAGCAAATAGTTTGTATGCGATTGCTACAGTAGCCTTTGCCTCTTGCTGAGCTAAACCTCAAAGCTTTCAACTACGGGAACGAATTCTTCGACGGTTATTCGGTGTTAGCGGTGTTCAGCTGTTACCTTGTCCTACTGGTTGGAAAACGCAATCAACTTACCTGAGCCCGGCACTTGAGCATCTGTAGGGAACAGCACGCGCCACAGTTCTTCCCAGGTTTTTATCTTAAAGCTTTCCCTGCGCCCATTGATACAATCTTCGACTTCTCGGTCGATTCCGTCCTCGCGGTCTTGTTGCGATGTCGCTACTGTACATATCCCGATTTGCGTTTGGTGCTCTTTAAGTCTAGTAGCAGTCTCGAACTGCACTTGGCAACGGAGACACCTATTCTTGGGGAAGGAGAGTCGGTGATAAGACTTGATGTGGCGTCTGATTTGACTGTCAATACGGCGCTCCGATCGTAATGCCTATTAGGCTATTTCCAATATTGAAACAGAGAACCTACTTCAGACGGGACATGTTTAGGTGCCCCTGCGTGGCGCAGGACTCATGATCTCTGATATTAAATCGTTGGGGATTTCGTTTCCTGTAGGGACATGACAGCAGGGGTGGCCGTCCAGACTGTCGCTTCGGTTCTTGCTCCTCTTCTAACGCTTGGGCAGAGTTGGAGCCGACTACAGACGGGTCAGGGTCGGAGCCGACTATGGACGGGCCGCAGGCCAGTGCTAGTTCTTCGAGATGGTACCGAAGATGGTCGGTGATCGCAACCAGCCCATCTTTCATTTGCTCGCCACACAAAGGACAAGGCGCACCAGCCCAGTCCTGATAATGCTTGGAGCCGAGATGGGAAATCCAGGAATCGCGAGTCTCGAAAACATCTGATTGCTGACAAGAGACTTCAAGGCAGATATAGGGTTGGAGGTCTGAGAGGAGATGTTGCCTAAAAGCAAGCTACAAGTTAGCAATTCTCCATGTCATCACCGCGATCCGCAGTCGCAGGTTATTTTCTCACTTCCACGCGACATCATTGAAAGCCACGATCTGCTTCCCACAGATAAAGCACTCAAAAGGCTCTCCTTTTCGAGCCTCATCCGAGAGCGAGGGAATCCGTCTCGTTTTCTCGTTACCCTGTCCGTAGGACATGACTGTTTTGGCATATCTGGCGAAGATGTGGTCTGAGGGCTGCAGCCCGAGCGAGGTCCCGACACCCGAATCCTTCCACTTCTTGGATGGAGCCGCAGTGGCATTGACTGCAGCTGCTTCTACCTCTGCGTCTGTAGCAGGATGAGCGTCGTCTCCGTCCCTTTTGTTTTTGCACCGAAGATAGCGTGTCATGCTTGCATGCCCTAGACGTGCAACGAGGCTCTCTTGCGCGCACGGAAATCGCTGAGATATGCGGTCGCGATAAATCTGGTCGGCGCTCCAGTCTTTCCACTCGGTGTCGACAGGACTGCTCGCCTGATCATCACCAGCCGATTTGACGCCGATGGACCTCATTGTGGTGTTATCCGGTTTTGGGTCCGGAGGAGGGTTCTTGTAGAGCAAATCCATGCCCATGAGGCATTCAGCGTGTGCGGCGAGGTTTTTGGACACTTCCGAGGGATCTTTCCAGTCAGGGATGTCGGTGGAAACACTAGAATCGTCGTCGCTGGATTCGAATGCGTAGTCATTCGCCTCGCTGCGCGCGCTCTGCTCACTGGCCTCTTGTAGTGCCTCCACATGTGGCGTGAGCGAGTCTGCCTGAGGAAGTGAAGCAGGGCCTATCGACAAAATGAAGTCAGTTTAGGCCTGATCAGGCCTTCAGGCGAGGAAAGTCACCTACCCTTTATAAGCTGCTCCGCAATCCTTCTGAGGGATTTGGAAGTGAGGCTTCGGACAGTTGAACTCAGGGCCAAGACGGAATCCAGCCCCCCATCCGAGACCTTGTAGGCATCATCCCAAAGCATGAGGGTCTCGTAGCTGCGCCGGAGGCTGTTGCAGATCTCGCTGGGCATGGAGCCATGACGTTGGATGATTCTAACCAGATCTCGGAAGAATTCGCAAGTCTGGCGAACAAGGTGTGTGATGCTGGAGGGCCCTACACCCTCTGCTGCTGTAGGGTCGATAGTCTCGTCGGATGCAGCCAATTCACGTTGCCAGTCGGTGATGCGAGCGAAGGGGTCGTCGGCTGCCACCGCCGCCTGTTGCTTGTTCCAGAATGCTAACCAATCATCAAGTAAGGGAGGCCGGAACCGATTATCCGTCCGAGCTGGCTGCGGCTTTGAGCCTCTGTTCATGGCATCGACTTGTTGTGGTTGCTGCTTAGTCGTCGGATGGGATGAAGCAGAGAATAGGCAGGAGGCAAGCGAACACACGGATTTGCTATCAATATATGGTGAGGAAGGCTGAGAATGCAGTCACGTTATCCACAGCCTGCATGGGGGGCCAAGCAGCGAATCAACTAGGGAAACAATAGCTGCGCCACATTCGTCCCTGGAGCTGATGCGCTGGCGGAGGGAGGGGTAGGTGCAGCTGTCCATCTCACTTGGGTAGGTTCAACCGTCCATCACCTCGCAGCCGCAGCAAACCATGGCCCCCCAACCCGCGGTGGCCCAGGCCACCATCGACTTCTTCAACCGCCTCCGGCCGACGCACGCCAACGCCGCGGCCAACTTCGACCCGGGCACCGTCGCGGGCGACGCGCGGGCGACGCGCGTCGTCGTGCACGCGCGGTACCCGCAGCTGGTCGAGGACTTTTTGGCCTTCAAGCGCGAGCGCGGCTGCCCCGCCGAGCGCGCCCTCTACCACGCCGGCTGGGCCTGGCGCGACCAGGTCGCGCGCCTGCTGGCCCGCCGCCCGCTCGCCTTCCTCAACCCGACCGACCACACGGTCCTGCGCACGGGGGAGACGGTCGACTGCGCCGCGCGCGCCTGGGACCTGGTCGGCACCCCGGAGGAGGGCACCGTCGCCGACCCCGCCGCCGCCGCTGCCCTGCGCCTGCGCGACTACCTGAGCTACGACGAGGCGCTGCTCGGCAGCCTGCTGGGAGTCAGCGGGCCGAGCCACTTCATCAACGACGGTGGGCGCCACAACCGCGGCGTGCCCGGGGAGCCGGGCACGTTCGAGCCGCGCGGGGTCATCGTCGGGCTCGCGGGCCCGCGCTTCGAGCGCAGGGGCCGCATGGACTGGCACCTCGCCGTCAACAGCGGGAACCTGCCGGGCCCGTTGGCGGCCGCCTACCGCCGCTTCCTGGGCTGCGAGCTGGCGCCCGGCACGCTGCACCAGGACGGCGCGAAGACGGCCGTCCTGTCGGAGCGGGCGTACGGGGCGCGCGTGCGCGTCACGGCCGAGCTGCTGCTCGCCGAGGCCGCCGACCGCGCCGCGCAGGCCGGGGCGGGCGTCCAGGCCCACGTGTACGTCGTGGGGCTGGGGCTAGGGGTGTGGAAGATCGACGACCGCCAGCCGGACCTGTACGTGGCGGCGTTCGAGAGGGCGCTCAAGGGCCTGGCGCCGCCGGCCCGCGCCCGCGTCGGCGTGGTCGAGTTCGGCTACGTGGGCGGGACCGTCTCGGCCGCGGTGCGCGACTCCGTCGTGGCGACCGGGAAGAAGTACGAGCCCCGCGTCGACGTCGTCTTCTCGACGCGGAACCCGGCCGCCAAGCTACCGCCGGGGTCGTCGCCCAGGCGCCTGCTCGTGCTGAGCTACGCCTGGGACGGCAACGCGTTCCCCGGGAACGAGTACTGGATGCGCATGGTGGCCGCGTCGGGCGACCCGGCCGCGGCCTGCATGAGCACCATCGCCGACCTGCACAACCCGCTGCTGAACCCGGGCTACCTTGAGCGCATTGCCGTCCTGGGCCCTTGGGGTGGCAGTCTCAGCTGAGGTGTCTGACGCAAAATGTACGGGATTTCAAAGGGCACGAGTGATACGTGTAGTGACAAACGGACTTCTCTTGCTGCAACTTCGGACCGGTGCATGCACACACAGCAGCAAGGCGCAGGTACCCGAATTTCTGTGTTCCAGCCGGCCACATCCTGAGACGAGGCAACGTCCCACGTCAAAATGCGGTTAGGGTGTAGATAGATGATGATAGTTTATTCCGTCGGGACACGCCGGAGAAGATGCCGTTTTTGCCATGCACAAGCGGAACCCGAATATCGAATTGCCACCTCAATGAAACATATCAGATAGTAGCATCCCAGTGGTGTCACAAGTGTCACAAGTGTCACTCGGGCGCCCCTACTTACTGCGAGCCTCCTCAGGGCCACCCGCAGCAGCCACCCTGAGCTCGATCAGCAGCGTCGTCCCGGCCTGCAGGACCCCGGGCCTCTTGACGCTGACGACCTCGAGCCCCGGGACGGCGGCGGCGGCGTCGCGCACGATGCGCTCGATGTCGCGGTTCCACCAGCAGCCGAAGCGGGCAAAGTGGCCTGGCGCCAGCCGGTCGAGCGCGTTGTTGACAAAGTCCCAGTCGCCGCGCCCGTGCTCCAGCAGCAGGATCCGGCCCGTGCCAGGCTTGAGGACCGCCGCCATGTTGGCCAGCAGCCGGCCCGGCGACGCCACGCTGCACAGCCCGAAGGTCTGCACGATAACGTCGTAGTGCGCCGGCTCCTCGGGAGGGGCCGTCGCTGCGGTGGACGAGGGTGGCGTCGATGGCTGCCCTGACCCTGAGCTCCGCGAGAAGGAGAAGAGGCCCGGCTTTGCAGACGACGCTTCCAAGGCAGTGGATTGCTGCTGCTGCTGCTGCTGCTGCTGCTGCTGCTGCTGCTGCTGCTGGCCAGGCTCCAGCCGCCGTGGACGCGCCGCAGGCAGCGGGAGACCGTCCTGCACGTCGGCGCGCACCAGCCGCAGCTTCCCGTCCTGTATGTTGAGGACCTCCTCGACCCCCGCGGTCCTGAACTGCTCTTCGCCCGCGGCCTCGTCGACCTTGGGCCTTGCCTTGGGCACCCGGTGCTCCATGCCGGGGACGAGGTCGCGGATGCGGCGGCGCGCGAGGTGGAGCACGTCGGCCGAGACGTCGACGCCGGTGTAGCTGGCCATCTCCACCTCCCCGCCGTCGCCAGCACCACCTTTGCCGCCGCCGCCGCCGCCGCCGCCGCCGCGCTTCTCGAGCCGCCGGACGGTGCGCAGCTGCGGGTCGACGTCGGCGATGTCGTCCCAGTCGTAGTAGACAAAGTTGCGACCAGTGCCGACGGCGACCTCGAGCACGTCGCCGCGGCACTCGGCAGCCAGGCGCCGCCGCAGCCGCCGGTGGCCCATGACGAGCTCGGGCCAGTCCAGCCCGGCGTCGAACTCGGCCGCCGTGGCGCGCGAGATGGTCGGGGGGAGGCCCGTCGGCACGGCGGGCTCGCGCGCCGCCAGCTCCTCTTCGTAGTTGCGCGCCGTCGCCAGGGCCTCGGCGTCCGATGCAGGCGGCTCCGACGCCCGGAAAAAGACAGTGAAGACGTACGAGGTGTAGCCCATGAAGATGGTGCCACCGATCACCATGACGATGAACGCCTTGCCCCGCTTCTCCACGAGCTCTGAAAGAGGGACTTTTTGGTCCTCTTTGCCGCTCGGCGCCTGCCCCTGTGGCGGCGGCGGTGGCTGCTGCTGTTTTCGTTGATGCGACTTCGACTGTGACTCCGACTGTGACTTCGACTTCGACTGCGGCGGCTGCGGCTTTGGCGGTGGCGGCGGCGGCGGCGGCGGCTTCGGCTGCGACTTCGGCTGCAACTTCGGCTGCTTGGCCGGTGGCGCGACCTTGTGCTTTCCCGGAGCAGCCGGCGTGGCCGGTTTCTTCTTGCACGCCGGGGTGGTCACGTGTAAGCCCCGCGCCCAAGTCCGGCCCCGGGCGACCGGGCGACCGAGGAGTCTCGCCGGGGCCCGGACAACAGGGATCCGGGCGCAGACCATGATCCCTTGCTGTTGTGGGTGGAAGAAAAAAAAATTCACGTTGTCACCTCATTGCAAGCCAACCTCGCAATCCCCCAAAAAAAAAACCCGAGCGAGAAGCGGCCCCTTCGGTACAATCGTGGCGCAAGTGCCACACAACTAAAAGGGCTATGCTGGGCTTTTCTGGGCTCGCCGTCGCATTCGGGTGGGTGCTTGCAAACCCTGGGGCGTTTACTATCTTGAGAAGCTCGAAGGGCTCGGCTGAGGCTCGGCTCGAGGCTGAGAGGCGGCGGCCCCTGCTCGAAAGAAAGCTCCTGCTTTTTTCAGGGGTCGCGAAAAAAAAAACCAGTGTGGGGGAGAGGTGTGGGGCCAGTTCCAGGGGTGAGCTTCACCGCGTTTTCTCTCGCGTGCTTTGACGCAGGAAGGGTGCCGGGTTGGCACGGCTGGCGCTACCATCACGACATCAAACGCTCGTGCTAGCTGCTGGTCTTGAACGCAAGCCTGCCTGTCAAGATGCTGCAGCTCCAACTTTTTCCTCGAGCAGCATACGCGCGGGGTTCTATACCCCATTCTCGAGAGAAATATATACCGTCCAATATACCCTTAGAAGTGAGGCAGTAATTTTACCGTCTTTATTGAACATGCAGCAGTACCCAACCCCCTAGTCCAGTGTCTCGTATACCTCGGTACCAAAATGGGTGCATCTCGTTTCCTTGACCTAACCGAGAGACAGTTACGGTCGATCTCGATTATCCCTCCGACCAGTTGTGCTCCGTGCTTTTATTTCCCAGCGATCGATCTGAGCTGAGGCCCAAGCCTGGCACCGACACCGCGACAGGGCACGATGCATCATCACGCCATCAAGACCTTCCCATCAACGTCATCATGTACTACCAGAGCTCAAGACCGCTTCCAATCTACAAAGGCCACCACCCGTCTAAACAAGCAAGCCGTTTTCTAGCCGACCCAGCGACAAAAAATACCACCATAGTAGTACAGTGTACGTGAGAGTAAGGTGAGAGGTATCAACCAGCCATTTTTGCCCGCCTTTTCCGTTGGTTTTGTTCCGCTCGTTCCGCTCGTCCCGCCCAGGTCCCGCCGTCGCCGAGCTGCCCTCATCTCGAGGGAATTGCACAAAGACCCGCGGACCCATCGCCGCTTTTGTTTTATTCTGTCCGCCTGCTCCGCAAAATTTCCTTTTAAATCCCCAATAATCCAAAGAATGGAACAAGAGCCGACAGAAGCCACGAGGAGAGTCGGCCCCCTAGCAACAACGTGGGGCCTTTGCTTTTTTTCCTTCCCGTTTTTCCATATCCCCCACCCGAAAGGACCCAGCCGAACCGAAAAGAGAAGTCCCCGAAAGAAAAAAAGGCGATTGACCACAAGGACGGTCATGCGTCCCCAACGCGTGCCACGAGTCAAGGGAGTTGCCGAGCGCTAAAACAGCACGGCAAACAAAGGCGCCAAGTAAGGAAGGCAGCCAGGATGTGGTATCAGAAAGAACGAGACCTGGCATGACCAACGTCGACGTCGTCTGAACGCCATAAGCCAAGTGACGAGAGAGGGGAGACATTGAATGGGCAGGTCATTAAACAGAGACAAGCCAAAAAAAAAAAAAAAAACCCCGAGGACCACACGCGTGTAAATTCGTACCACCCAAATCCACTTCCTCAAGCCCAGGGACTCATGTAAAAGGCAAAACAAGCGACGGCTTATTCGATCAATAATTAGAAGCAATGGTAGAGAACAAGAAAGATACAGCGCCATACAACCGACAAGGAGCCTGTGCAATCCGGTCCGGCACGGAGGGAAGAGAAGCCGCAGACCAATGCTTCGGGACGTGGAGTAAATGTTGCAACTGGGTGTGGTGATGATGGTCATGTGTAACGAGGAATGGCCGAGCTTGTTTAAAAGTCGACCAGGAGTCCATCGAGCTCGTCTAGTTCCACGTTCTCGGGATTGCGGTCCCACTCCAGCATACTGTCGAGTCGGGCCCAACCATCGGCCTCGACATCCCTCTTCAGGCTGCCGCCGAAAGAGGGCCTCATCGACGGACTCGTTATGGAAAAGTTGATGATGTGATGTCCCGCCGTGGGGGACAGGGTCCTTGGCTGCAGGCCACCAAACAGGTTCTCGTCGCGGCTGTTGTAGGGGATGTCGACGATCGAATCTGCTGGTGCAGAGGCCAGGAGATGCCCAGTGGCTTTCCTCTTCTGCTGCAGCACGTTGGCCGTCTGCGTGAACTCCTTCTCGTCCTTCTCCAGCGGCGGTGACCCGCTGCGGTGGTGCCTGGAGTGCGGGTGGTGGCGATGATGGTGCTGGCGGTGCTGCTGGGACGCTGCTGGCGGAAACCTGCTCGAGAAGGAGCCGATCGGCGTCGTGGGCATGGGCAGATCGTCGTCAAGGTCATCGAACTCGGGTGCTGACAGGTCGACCTCGGGCGAGGGGCTCAGGACCCTCCGGCGCTCCAGGTCATCAGCATCCTCGGATGCTGAGGTGCCGCTTGACAGAGAGGGGGTGATGATAGAGGAGCGCTTGATTATCGGCGTGCTGACGGTCGAATCGGAGAACGGCGGGTGCGGGCATGTGGTGAGGTAGAAGTAGGTTCTCCTGGGATGCACCGTCTCAAGCTCCTTAGCCAGAGGACAGGGCGAGGAAGTAGTCCAACACGGGCGCTTCAAGAAGGTTGCTAGCCTCGACGAGATGATGGCGCACGGATTTGCGGACCTGGGTAGTTTGCAGCTGTTTAGCGCATGCACATTGGCCATGAGGGGCAGGTAGCAGCCCAATCTCATGGCGGAATCACACTGGGCGAGGCGAGGGGCTCTTACTGTTGGACGATCCTGAGCTGCAGCATCAGGATGGTGGCAAGCTCCTTGACCAGGTGAGGGCGGTTCCCTTGGCTGATCAGGACGCGGACGACGGCCTCGACAATGTCATCGTTGATGGATTCCAGATCTATAGGCTTCGGCTCGACCACGTCCCTGTCCATCATCTCGACCGAGGAGGTGGGCGAGGGCGGTGGCGTGCGCTCAAGCTTGGAAGCTTGCGGCCGCGGCGGCGCAAGCTTCCTGGGCTGGGACGCGGGGCGCGGGCTCTGCGAATCGCCATCGTGGGACGCCTTCCTCTTCTTGTTGGAGGATTGCGATTTTGGTGAAGTGGCCGTGGTTGGTCTTGCTGGAGCGGTGGTTGTGCTGGTGGGGGAGTTGCGGCGTGCGGCGTGGTGGTTGCCGGGCAGAGCGATACCGAGACTCGGCAGGCTGAGCGACACTTTCCTCGTGTTGTATCCTGCAGACATGATGATGGCGGGCGGGAAAAGAGGAGTAGAAAAAAAAAAAGGTAGCGGAACGGCAGACGAGAGCAACAGACAGAAAGTGCACCGAAGCAGACAGGAGACACAACTCATACAGGTCTATACGATTCGAGATGCCGTCGAAATTCAATGTAAAGATGGGTTTCCCAAACAATTCCTCCAGACCCCGGAATATGCAGCCAGAAGGAAAAAAAAAAAAAAAAATAGGGAGGCGGCTGCTGTTTGTGTTTCGAACTCTGGGAAGGGGGGAAGGGGCGGCGTGCAGGCCACACCCCGAGGGGAGCATTGGGTGGGGGCTTGTCAGCTGTGTTCCGGGACCCGCGTTGCTATTGGGCGACCGACAAGGATCTCAGGTTTGGCCATGACGGGACCCGCCCTGAGACTTTTTGCCTTGGCAAGCCACCACCCACCTCGATTCCTGGAGGTACATGGGACAACGGCTTGTGCAGCCCAGCCTAGCAAGCCGCGGTACTTGAGGGGCACATTCTGGGCCCCTGCCGCGCTAGGCCCCAGCACCAAGAGCACCACCAAGGCAGGGATAAAATCGGTGTAGACGTTCCTCCATGCACGCTTCATGCACAGACTCGAGATGGATGGCACGTCGAGGATGGGGACATGCCGTGTTGGGAGGCTCAGGCTCCGCGTCTAAAAGGCGGTATGTGAAAAAAAAGAGGACGAACAACCGATGCATGCATGAAATGCACGGCTGCAGGACGCTGCTGGCCACCGCCCTCGACGCATACGCTGCGAACAAACAACCGACCCTTCCTATCATCCGAGCTCTCTCGTCGGATGCATGTGCCTAATCGGAGGTGGAATTGGAATGTGTGAATGGGCCATGATGCGTGTGCATTGGATGGAGGGACTGTCCCGCCACCAGAAAATCCAACCTGACCATGACCAGTCAGTCTGATGTCAATCCCCAATCAGCACCAGGTCCTTGGTGTTCTCTCACCCTTCCTGGCTCGTACACACACTGGGCAGGCAGCCAGCCAGCCAGCCAGCCAGCAGGAGGGAGGAGGACGACGGCAGGCACGCACTGGCAGCTCCTCCTGATGCGTGTTCGACGACGGGGCGCCAAGTCCAGACCAGGCATGCCATACCGGTCCACCTTGCCTAAAAAAGGAAAGCGAGAAAAAAAAAGAAGCAAAGGGTGGGGTTGTTGGAGCGATGATGAAAGCAAGGGATGGGTGTCGGTGGTCGGGACGCGCGAGAGCGCCTCAGAGGGGGGAGGCGGGGCAGGGAAACAGCAGCTCCACGACTCGAGCTCCTGTGGCCATGTCCGCTTGCAGTGCGTGCTTGCTTGTTGAGGGGCAACTGTGTTCTGAATCAGCGGCTGGTTGGCGGGAAGTCATGATGTCGGGTATTGGTCGACGTCGAGGCCGAGACCTTTTTTTTTTTCTGGTTTGCTTCTTCTTCTTTTCTCCCCCATCTTATTTGTGTTACTTTCTGTATCACACAAAAAAGGGACCTGGTGCATGCGGCTACGCAAACGGATGCTGCGTTTCCATTACCCGGGGGCTGGCGCTGGTGTAAGTGCACAAGCTTCTGCGACGGCCGGTTGGCCAGCATTGATCGCGTAATGGAAAAATTATGGGCTTGGATGGAGGGGCCCAATTGTCAAGGGTCACTTTTCCCGCAGGAGAAATCGAATCCACGCCAGGGCCCAAAGCTCCGACGAGCCGCACTGTCTCAGCCTCTCTGTCTCTCTTTCTGTGCTCTCGCCCTCTCCGTCTCCTTCCGCCCGCCCGAGGCCTCGAGCTTGCTGCCAGCAAATGCTTGCAGCCTGTTCTAGGTGGGTTTGGACCCCTTTTTGGCGCAACCACACCACCAGTTCAGTATAGTGGTCTGCTCACGTGGGGGGGTTTCTCGGACGCTTTTTTAGATCTCAGCAGTTCAGGTCGGTCGTCTGGTGTCACACAGCCCGGAGAAGGGGAATGAATGCAGGGAAGACGGGCGGTGGTCCCAAGTTTCGGCGCCGTCGTTGCACCTGTTCTTGGCGCAGATCGGATCGAGAGGCGTGAAGAAGAGGGCAGAAGTTTCTGCCCCACACAGCCAGCCAGGGCTAGAGGAATTCGATGATGTAGTGACCGACCGCCGATCCCGGGGCAACCATCCGCAGCCGTGTCGGCCTCGGACGGGCTCCCCTGGGGGCTGTTGCAGCGAAACAAGCGCGCAAAGTTTCTCTGGAGGTAAGGAACAGGAAGGAGTGGAAGGGCAATGGAAGAGGCGGCATGCAAACCTGTGCAGAAACCGGGCAAACACCCAGGTTGACGTTGCATGCCCGAGCTTCCGCCCGGGCCACCATCCTTGCTTGACCTTGGCGGCCCTTGTGCCTCCAGATATGCAACCCAAAACTCAGCTGTTCGCCCGAGTCGAGGCAATCTACAGAAGCATGTAGCCCCATTTGGCAGCCAACCAGACAGTGTGGGATCTTGTCTTGGTTATCGACGAGACCCCCAACCTGCATCATGGACGACCCCTCGTCAGAATCTCTTCACGAATCGCTTTTACCTTTGGATTCGCGCTCACCGCACAATACTGGCCTGTCTCGGAACCTTTAGATAGCTACCTATTTTTCTCCCCCTCACGGCTAGACTATGCAGCGTTTATATAACAAGGTAAAGAAAAGGCCATCTCACCGCGAGTCTACCCTCCAAAACACCCAAGAGCGGGAAGGAGCCAAAAGATGAAAAGAAACCAAATGTAATGCTGTCGAGAAATGAATGCTGCTTTTCTCCCACCCTGTTCATGCCATTCGTATATTATAATACATAAGTTACATTACCATGCAATGCACCCTATCAACTTCCCCAGCCGCCATGATTCGCCCTCGGACTGGAGTTGGACCGAAACTCCAGATGCATACACGTGACCTGCTTCTCGATATATGTTGGTTTTGTAGATAGTTACCCTAGGAAAAGTAGACGAAGTCAAGTCCTTCGCGAAAACAGCGAGCTCATCTCCCGTTCAGCAAGCCACTACCCCCACATGGCCTGCCGTGCCTGGAAATGGAAACTTGACAAACGAAAAGGGGAAGAAAAAAATTGACCGCAGATGCGGCTTATGGTGAGGAGTTGTTTGTTACTGGGCAGCAGGGTAGTGCTAGCTTGTTGAAGATACGGCAGCAACTATATGTTGTCACGCAAGACCGTTCGTGGTTGGCATTAAATGCCATAATCGCCTCCTCTCCTCGTAAGAATCGTGAGGAATCTCTCAGCCACCTGCCGAAGCGAACACCTGTTAGATTCAACCATCGCATCACCGTGGACAGTCGCATGAAAATGAAAGGCTGGGTATATCTTACGTCAGGAGCTGCCTTGATGAACGGGAGCTCGAAGAACATGTACTTGTCGTTCTTGACTAGCTCGACAATCGTGACTAGCAGGCCCCAGGGCTGAGGGTAGTAGCCCACTAGCCGCTCAAGCAGGATGCGGCATATTTGCTGCCTAATCTCCGTCTCCTCGGCATCCGACATGTCGGTACCGAAAATGTCCAGTAGTGCCTGGCTGAAAAACGAGGTTTGCGCGTTGGCGAACCGGAGCCGGTGAACGATGCTGCTCAGGAGGAAATAGCGTCCTTCGGGGGAGAGCTCGTGCACAAGGATGGACAGGATCGAGATGTCGGCTGCGCCGGGCACAAACACCTGGCCGCCCTTTTCGACTCTCGACACGGCGGAGATGCCAATCAGGGCAACAATGGCTTCAACCACGCGCGGGTTCACCGTCAGAGGCACGTTGCCGTACACCGTCGCCTTCTGGTCGGGCCGCCCGATCGCGTGCGTCATGTGCGCTATGGCATCCTCGGATGGACCGGCTCGCAGGGCCTGCTCCAAAACTCCGAGCAGCCCTATCTGGTGAAGGAAGCCGCTGGGATCTCCCATGTTAGCTGGAGTCTCCCGAGAATCTTCAACCCGGTCGACCTGCACGCCGGGGTGAAGGGGGTCGGGAAGTTTCGGGTGGGAACTCGGGGCAGCAACCAGGATCATGTTTATGAGCTGCGTGCAGTGCGGCGGAATGCTCTCACAGAGCTCGATGTAGTTGGCAGCGAGGTAGTCCGGGAAGTCGTGCTGCAGAACTAGCAGCAACTTGAGCGTCCCACGGTAGAGATCCTTGGCCAGGTTGGACACCTCGAGCGCCTTCAACTGCTCGCCAATAAATTTCAAAAGCTGCTTCATCAGCTTGTTGAATCCGGGCCAACCCGCGTTCTCGGGCGTCTTCATGACCAATGGGAGGAAAGCCTTGTGCTCCAGGAGGGAGACCCATGCGTATACGAAGCCGGGGAATACGGCGGGCCCGAGGTCGTTGAACTTGGAAGCAAAAACGAGCGTCATGTCGCAACGCTCGCCATCAGTAATGGTGTCACACTCCAGGTTGTTCACCTCGTGGAGCAGAACCGAAAAGAGGCGGAAGAAAAGCCGCTGGTTGAATTGGTCCCCACGCATGAGGTAGTGCTGGTTCATCAGCAGCACGCCGATCGCCATGACCGAGTCCAAGAACTCCGCCCGCGGAAACTGGGCGTTCGTCTCGTCCTCGCTCTGTCCCTTGAGAAGAACACCGACCAGGGTTCCAAAGGCGTCGACGCCCAGATAGCCGTCGGAGAAGCTCCCACCAGCAAGCAGGTTGGACTCGCACATCTCAGCCGACTTCTCTATGGCCACACGCACGAACAGGGTCACGTCCTCGGTGTTGTTGATAACATGACGCGCAAACATCTGCTGGACGAAGATGGCGGCAAACTTGGTGCTCGCGCTGGGGTGGGTGTACAGTCGGACCCACTCTTCGAACACATACTCCATCTGGTCTTTACGGAGGGCGGCCATCTCGTTGTGGCTCAGTCCCGAAGGAGGGTCTGCAGGCGGCGCGAGAACCTTAGCCTTTAGCCTGTCGCCACCCGGTACTCCGGGCTCCTCCATGATCCATGCCCAGGCCTCGTCGAGACTGCGGACGAAATCGGCGTATAATGTGACTGGGGTATCGTTGAGGACGGTGAGGTCCATAACCTTCTCTAAAAAGGTGATGGAGCCCTCCTTGCGCTGCTTTAGCGCCGCGGCGATGGCGCTGTCGACGTTCCTCCAGTTCAAAAGGTCGGTCCCCATCAAACTTGAGATGAGCGGCAGACTCAAGAGGTTCACACCAGGCTGCTGCTGGAAGATATTGTTGACGCGCTGGTTCAAGGCTGGTCCAGCGATCTTGCGGAGCGTGTTGAGAACGTGTACAAACGTCTCAATAGCAAGACTGTCGTCCGTGGGGTTGTTGAAGAGCATCTGCGCAATGAGGTCCGATGCGTAGATGGTCACGTCCTCTGATGTCTGCTGAGCCTTGATGAGAAGCTGGACGACGGCATCGACAAAGTCCAGAATTTGATGGGGGCGGGGGATGTCGGCGAAGTGCTCCTCAGGAGCATCAGTTGCGACCCTCTGGATCTCCACGAGTAGCTTCTGCACACGGTCGGCCACAGCCCTTCCATCGATGTTGGGACCGTGCTGCCGCCCGTTCACCATGGCGGCCGAGGGGCCTTGCGACGAATATGGCGGCACCTGTTGCGTACCCAGGTTGGAGTTTGCAGGGGTCTCGGATGGAATAGGCAAGGCCGGCACCGAGTTGTACTGATCCTGAAGAACCTCGTTGGCTAGCGACCTTGATGCGTCGGACGCGGAGGCAGCGTGTGACGGCGCGGCTGGGGTTGCAGAGGTCCGAGGCTGCCTCGCAAAATCCTCATAGATGGCCATCTGCTCTGGGTTGAGACCATTGACGTTGGGAGAAAGCTTATAAGGGTTGGGGATCGTCCACGCCCATCGACTCATGCCCGGGTCGACATAAGGCTCGTTAGGCCTCGTCGCGCGGTGTCGTCGCCTTGCTTCAAGCTCCATCTCGAGCATCTCCTCAATCTCGGGCACAGCTCGCTCCTCGGCCGCCTTCTCAATCACGCTGGATGCTGCGTCCAGGTTGAGGTTGACGCACATGTGGATCGTTCCCTCGGGCAGCACCTGGGGGAGGTCGTTGGAGAGGCTGCGCATGTGGTTGCCAATGTTGACCCGGAGCGGCTCCCGAGACGTAACCAGGGCCAAGCTTCCAGCAGTCGCCTTGACCATGTTGATGGCAGACGTACGGACACGGTTCTCATCGGGTTCCGTGCAAAAGTCCTTATGAACCATCTGCTGGGTCGAGATGGCAGCGATCGTGACGGACCTATCAACGACCGGCTGGATTATATCGTGGAGGGCCTTGTTGATGGCTGTCCGGACAATCTCGGTGAGTCGAGAAGTGCTCACTACCATCTCGTTGGTCGGTGGAATCTGTAGGAGCGAACTGATGTCAGGAATCGACGGTGTGATGGCGTGCGGAGACAAGCCACCGCCAACTGCCGGACCCATGCCGTTCAGGGACAGATTCTCGAAAGATTCTAGGACATCGGGCGGTGTCATTTCCGCAGGCTCTTCCACCGCGATGCGGTTTAGGATCTCGCCGGAAGGCTCTATGCTCTTGTGATCAAGGCTTAGTCCCTTGCAGAGCACTTCGATCTCGAACTTCAAGTTGAGCTTCAGCTCGGCATTGTGGTATAGTTCGATGAGCAGGTAGATGATGTCCATGAGCCAAGGATTTGGCGGACGGAAAACGTTGGACGAAGCTCCCTGAATCAGGACCTTGCAGACGAAAGGTATGACCACGATGAGCCTCTTAGTATCATGGGCCTCCATGAGAAGCTGCTTGAAGGCGATGTTCTTGTGCTTGATCGGCTTGTCCCTCGCAAGGGTCAGCAGGCCTAGCCAGCCGCCGAGGTTCTTGAGGTGCGTACGCTCTGTCGAGTTCCCCATAGTGGCCTCGGCGTTGAGCATGCGGGCCACACTGGTGTACGTCTCCCGTAAGACCTCGGACCACAGCGACTTGTCCCCAAACTGCTTGACCAGTTCAAGGTAGACGTGATGGTAGTTCGGCTGCATCTTGGCCCGCTCCTCAACGAGATGACTGGCGAACCACTGTTGGTGCTTGTGCTCGAGCATGTCGGAGAGTTCATTGAACATGGTCTGGAGGGTGTTCTCGGTGATGTTGTTGAGCACGAACTGTATTTTGCCCTGAGTGTCGTCGTCGGGATCTTCAAGGCCGAGGCTGGACGGGCGGCTGTCGGCATTGATAGATGAAAACGGTGGAGCATGTGGCTCTACTCCCCCGCCGTCGTCAGTGTTGCCGTTGGTTAGACCGTCGCCCCCTAAGCCACCAGTCCCGTTGTGCTTCCTCGACAGTTCCTCCTCGTGGCTCCGCACGACATCCTCGGCCTTCTTCCACGCCTCCGTCCCCTGGAGGCCGGGGACCTGCAGCAACTGCTCGCAAAACCCAGGCCACTCGCGCAATCTGGTGAACAGCTGCATCAGAGCCTGGAGCCCGAATTTGTACATGGCCTGGTTCGGATTGTGGTCCCTAACCGCCTCCAGGATCATGCCAAGCCCGATCTGAAGAGGAAGCTCAGAGATGAGCTTGTGAGAGATGATGCCGCCGAAAAGGACGGCTGTGGTCGCCAGCGCCTCCAGAGGGTAGTCACTGAAGTGAGTATACTCGTCGAAGAGGCCGTGAATCATGCAAGCAAAGATGTCCTGCTCCAAAGAATCGCGAGAGTGCTTGTACCGCTCAAGCACCTCGACAATGTTTCGGACTTGGACCTCGTCACTGTACATCTTCTTGTAATGCTCCTCCATCTTGGCGTTGGCGGCAGGAGGCAAAGCGTTGCCAGTTTTCCCATTGGCGTCAACAATGTCGTCGTACCCCTCGCCGTAGTTTATCAGGCGCGGGTACACGGTGATGCATGTGCGCTGGACGGTTATCAGTTCAGGAAACGGCTGCTTAGGGAGAAAATCCTGAAGGATTCCCAAGAGTGCAGATACAGTCTTGACCTGCAGGGGCGTGTTCTGCTTCGCTGGTAGAGATTGCTCGGGCGGCCGCTGCACCTTAAGCTCCATTTCGGCCTTGATCAGGAGGAACTGCAACAGTGACCGCGAGATCTCGCCGCTCCTGTCTCTATTATTCCTCGCGTACTCAGCTAGGTCCAAGTACCCTTCAGCGTGAGCAAGAGCAGCCAGGTCGAGGCCGAACCCAGTCGTGAGGGAGACCAGGTCGTTGAGCCAGTTGTGCTTGACAGCATGCCGAAATATTATTGGCAGATCCATCGGCTTGACGGCATGGGCATCGGCAAGTCTCTGCTTCACCCAGTCGCTGTCCTTCCTCCATAGGCTTTCCAGAACGAAGTCAGAGGTGGTGGAATTCTCGTAGAGGAAGTTTTCGAAGAGCGAGTTCAGGGTCTCGACGGCCATGGCTGGCCAAGGTTTTGGAACGCCGAAGGCAGACACAACGAAGATGTCTAGATTCGGCACGACAACCTCTTGGAATAGGCGCTTGGCCTCGGGGGTCTGCGAAGCGTGAATCGAGTTTAGGGCAACATGAAAAACAGCCGAGAGGGCTGCCACCGAGACCAGGGGATGCTTGACGGCAACCGCGGCCCGCTCCCGTACGGGCGATGGGGATTGGGCGTACGTCTCGGGTGTGAAGGTAGGTTCGAGACGCGGAATGTTGCTTGCGTCCAGTTGCTCCGGGCTCAGAGATGCAAAGGCGCATATGTAGGAGAGCTGTGTTTCGGGGTTGTCCCAGTTCCCGCCCCAAAGGTGCTGTATGTCAAACAAGCTGTCCTCCTTGGCAACAGGCAGCAGGGCGCTATATAGACGCAAGAACTGGCGCGAGGATATGCGAGCATCTCGCTGATCAAAGCACGACACGACAAGCTGCCACCGGAAGGAAGCGTTGACCACATGCCTGAGGGCGCTCACCAGGACCACAGGGTCGTGCCGTTGGGACTGGCTGACGGTGGCATAGGTCAAGGCGAACGACACCTGCTCTTCACCTAGCGGAATACTGCCTGGCCGAGACTGCAGGTACTTCAGGCAGGTGTCATGATCGCGGGTGAACTCAGACCCCACCTTCTTCATGTACAGCGCCAGCGCGTTCCCAGGCTTGTCACCGAGGACACGGAAAAGATCGAGGGTTGCTAGGACTTCAGAAGGTGGGGCTTGATCGCTCTGGGAATAACGCGTGGTCGCTTTGAACACCAGCTCCGACTTGGCGTGAGAGGCGAAGTTGGGAGGGTGTTCCTGGATGAAGCGATCCAGGATAAGGGAGACGAAGGACGGTGTGAGCTGGGCATTTTCTCCGGCTGGCCTTGACAAGATATTGACAAAGGAGGAGAAGTTGGCCGAGAGGATCGCATCGGCTGTGGCGGGGTGATATTAGAAAGATGGCAACGCAGGTTACGGAGATCGCGAGAGCGGAAGCAAGGCTGGCCGGGCGGACATCAGCACGACATACCTTTTGTCCTCAGATCAGAACGCGACCCGACCTTGAAAGCGAGCGCGAGGATGGTCTTCTCGAGAGGGTCCAGCTTGAAGTGCTCCATAAAGGTCGACAGATCAAAGTCTCGGAAAATGTCCTCGGTGCCTTGCTCGATAGACTCGGCAATCTTGCGGGCGTATTCCTGGTCGCGGCCGATCTTTCGCATCTCCCCAACCAGTATGTGCATGTTGCCCGCATTGCCCCCTAGGCGGGACACGCCCGGGAAGATCTGGGGAGCATTGCCTGCTACCAGGCGCGCAAAGTACTTTGTGAACACTTCCATACCGTTGTCATCGATGAGCTACAGTGCATGCGAGGGCGCGCGTCAGCATAGATGCAATCGCGGGGAGGTCAGGGGGGTTTGGAGGAGGGACGCGACCCGGCGCGAGGAAGCTAGCGACAAGGCGGGGAAAGGACATACCTTTCTCAGCTGCTCTGTGTGCTGATCCCACTTTGTGGGATCTTCCTTGTCCTCCTTGATAGTGCTCAGCAAGAGGTAGACCTGGGCGACACTGATCTTGCTGACGCTGGTCCCAGTGGGGCTGCTGGTACTTGGGCTTGCACCAGCACTGAGACCGCCAGTCTGCGAGGGATGGGGCGAATGACTGATGCCCGTCTGCAGCGCCTGGGGTTGGTTGGGCGAAAAGGTTCCTGGTCGGGGTGGCGGAGGCACCATGAGGGTGAAGATGGGCGGTAGGAGGCCTGAAGCTGAAGCGTCTATCCCCTACTCGATAGAGCCCCTTTCGTCCAGGCGAGCAAGGCGGCCGTGGAGGTGCGTCAGCCGGGGCGTCGGGGCATGGACGGGGGGCGGCAGGAGGGTGATGGTGATGGGCGCCGGGTTGCCGGGGTCCGAGGTGCTTTGGGCGGGTGGTTGACTATGCGCTGGAGCGTCGGGGGAAGAACGCGGGCCTGGGGGGCATCGGGCGGGCGAGTCTGACGCACAAGGGTGCAGGGCGCGTGCTAATGGTCCAAAACCGTGCCAGTACTGGTATCCACGTGAAAGGATGGTGCGGGCCGAAATGGAAGGGTAGAAGTTCTGCGAGGAGTAGCTTCGCTGGCGCAAGCTCGGGCTGGTTGGTTTTCTGACTGCGATGGCTTTTGGGGTGGGCGAGGCAGCTTTGCTAGGTGAAGATTCCGACGTGTGAAGTTCAAACTGCAAAGCTAATGTCGGTGTGGCTCAGTATGTGGCGCGGCCCAGCAGGCACTGGCAGCCAGTTGCTTGTGTGTGGGCACGTGGGTCGTGGCCGTGGGTGAGGTGGCAGCAAGAACGGCGTCGTGCACTGACAAGCGGGCTACCTCCCAAGGAAGGAAAGGCTGAAGCCAACAAGTCCGAGTTGGGTTATGACAAGACAAGACAGGCACCACCAAGCTGCTCTTTACAGTGTGCTTCACTGAAGTGCCTACTCCAACTCTTTTTGTTCAGGTCTGACACGGAAAGAACATGGGGGACATGAATGAGGAGAAGGCCACGTCCGTTCGGCAGCTGGCAACTAGGCCTAACATCTACCATTGCATCACGCACAATCGCGAGCATCGCTGAATCATCTGGAACAGACTGGGCATGTTGATACAACGGCTTGTCGCTCGCTGTTGACGGGTGACAACACGACGACTAGCAGAGTTCAGACGCCGTTGGTTGGTGGTTGCCTCACATCACGTCGTGTATTTCGTCAAGCTTCCACCAGTCAACGGTCTGCCGCTTTGGCCGAGTCACAGCGGCATTCCGCACGGTACATCAGACAACTGCAAAAGGTAATGTGTCAAGACGAGCAATCAGAGGTGCCGGGGACACGGTCAGTGCCTTTGTCTTGCCGCCCCTCTCACTAGGTCGAGTGGTGCGCTGTGCCAGGGCTGTCCAGTCGGGTCGCCAGCTGGGGCGGAAGATGAGCAAGCTGTTTGGCGCCGGGCCAGTTGAGCCCCCATGTTCCCCACTCGCACTTGGAGCTGCCAAGATTTCAAGTTGCGCCCAGCTGTTCAGCAGGTTGCCAGGTCAACAGGGGCTGGACCCACGAAAGTCAATAATAGTACAGCGAAGAAGCCGGCACGACACTCCCACCTTGAACCAGCCGACAGACACCACTTTGAATCAATTGCGCGGGACCTCCTCAGTCATACCAGTGAAGGGTCTCTCTTAAATTCCACAGCACAGAGTGGTCCAGATTCTACGCATCTTGGACAAAGTTTACGATACCGACACAGAGCCTCGACACCGCCTCTTTCCAGGAGCCGCATCACACAAGAAACACAGGACGGTGTCCGATTTCCCTCGCGCCTTCGCGCTGCTGGACACCATGCCAGCAGCGGCTGATGATGGGCCAACCGTAGCCCTCTCCTGTACGTGTTGCATGGTGGAGTGCAGGCGGCCGGACAATGCCATCTGGCGGTCAAGATATCGTCATGGACCTAGCTGACGCCTCCTAACGGGGCAAAGTCGCCAACAACTTTTGGGGCAAGGATGATGCAGGAGTAGGGCCACTCTTTGACCGGATGATCAACGCAAAGCAGACTTGCGACGAGCTGCGATCGTTCTACGGTGGTATGTCTTGAGCTGATTCGCATTCGAGTACGACACGCAGTTCGGCGGGCAACAGCACTGACCACAAGATACTCATTTGGACAACAGCCCGAGCATCTATCGAAGATGAATACTCCAGGAAAATCCTCTCGCTTTGTAAGAAATCGCTGGGGTCACAGGAAACAGGCAGCCTGAAGACGTCGCTGGACACGGTACGGGGCGAGTTGGAATCTATCGGCAAGCAGCACCAATACATAGCTGCGCAGATGAAGAGCGAGCTGGAGGAGCCGCTGGCGGCATTCGCTGGCGCGATGAAGGAGCGCCGAAAGATCATCCAAAACAGCATTGAGAAGATCTTGAAGGTCAAGATTCAGCAGACGCAAACCGTCAACAAGGTATGATGACGAGGGGAATTTCGAGGCTGCGGACTACACAGGAGCGGAGCCTGCTAATACTCAACCCACACAGACACGGGATAAGTACGAGCAAGAGTGCCTGAAGATCAAGGGGTATCTTGCACAGGGCCATATGGTCATGGGCCAGGAGGAGCGGAAGAACAAGGCAAAGCTGGAAAAGACGCAGATCAGCCTGGCAACGTCCAACACCGAGTACGAGAACGCGGTCAAGGCGCTCGAGGATACTACGGCTCGCTGGAACCGCGAGTGGAAGGCGGCGGCCGACAAGTTCCAGGACTTGGAGGAGGAGAGACTCGACTTCACCAGGGGCAGCCTGTGGACTTTCGCGAACATTGCGTCCACTGTCTGCGTCAGCGACGATGCCTCATGCGAGAAGATCCGCCTCTCGCTTGAGAAGCTCGATGTCGAGAAGGACATTGCCACCTTCATCACGGAGCACGGCACGGGCCAGGAGATCCCTGGTCCACCAAAGTACATCAACTTTTGCCGCGGGGATGTGGACTCGCAGTCGGAGGCGTCTGACGATGATAACTACGTGGTGGCCCAGTTTCCTCGCAGCATCAATCCTGCTTTCCGTACCTCCTCGCCACAGCCGTCAGTTTTTGAGTCACACCACGACCCCAACAACGCACTAGCGAGGGAGCTTCTACATGGGGGCTCAGGAATGTCACCGGGCCGCGAGCAGGCTCTTACCCCTCAGAAGGCCGCTCTCATCGAGAAGCAACGACAGGCGCTGGAGGTACAGCAACAGGCACCGCGGGCTCTGGAGATACAGCAGCAGGTTCCCCGGGCGCTGGAGATACAACAACCACCGCCGCAGCAGGCCAAGCCGCCATACGACCCGAACGACTTTGCGCCGCAACACCCGAGACTTCAGCTTCGTTCTCAGGAGCCCAAACAGGTACCACCACAGCAACCTAGGGCACCTTACGACCCGAACGACTTTGCACCACAGCCGCATAGGCTGCAGCTGCGTGGTCAAGAGTCCAGGCAGGCTGTGCCTCAGCAACAGCAGCATGAGCTTCAGCAACATCACCAGCAGCTTCAGCGGCAGCACCAACAGCAGCAGCAGCAACTTCAGCAGCTCCAGCTCAGGCAGCAGCAGCAGCAGCAGCATCTCAGACAGCAGCAGCAGCCTAGACAGGCTGCAGCGCCGTTTGATGCAAACGACTTCACACAAGTGCCACATGACCCTTATCCAATGGATGGCATGACCATGCTGTGCCGGACCAAGCCGAACAGCTCTGACCTCGGGTGCCACCTTGGGTCTCAAATCGATTCGCAGATCCCCTCGGCCGTCAGCTCACAGCTCAGCTCCGCGCGACCCTCTAGCCGGGATGACAACAGCGAGTATTCCAACCCCACCTCCCTTTCGGATTTGGAGGGCCCCAACGGGATGCCGTCGCCTGTCAAGCAGGCCCCCGCGCCGCTACTCGCGGAGAGGGAGCGAGAGCGGGAGAGACAGCTAGAGCGGGAACGGCAGATGGAGAGGGAGCGACATCTTGAGCGCGAGCGACAGGTCGAGCGAGAACGCCTGGAGGCGGAGAGAAAGATGGAGCGTGAGCGGCAAGAAAGGGAGAGACAGATGGAGAGAGACAGACAGGAGAGAGAGCGCCAAGAGAAGGAGCGCCAAGAACGAGAGAAACAAGAGCAGGAGCAGCAAGAGAGGGAGCGACAGGAGCTGGAGCGACAAGAACGAGAGCGACAGGACCGGGAGCGACAAGAACAGGAGCAACAGAGAGAAAGGGAGCGACAGCTCGAGAAGCTCGAAAGGGAACGCCAACTTGTGAGGGAACGCCAGCTCGAAAAGGAACGCCAGCTCGAGCTGGAACGAGAGCAGCAGAAAGAGAGGGAGCGGGAGCTCCAGAGACAAAAAGAGGTGGAGCAACAGAGGGAGAGGGAGAAGAAGCTCGAGAGAGAACGCGAGCTGGAGAAACAGAAGCAGCTGGAGCGTGAGCGTGAGCGTGAGCAAGAGAGAGAGAGGGAGAGGGAGAGGAACAACACTCTTAAGAAGAGGAGTGGCTTCTTCCAGAACAGCCCTTTCCGACGCAAGAGCAACAAGGACATGGAGCAGCCGCCGTCTGCGTCGCTGCGCAACACTTGGCATCCCTCGCAAACCTCGACCCGCGCGCCGATAGCATACGGGGCAAGCAGCAGCCAGCCCCAGCAGCCAGCCGAGCCTAGAGCGCCAAGCCCAGACCCGATTGACGCCAACGCGAGCCTTGCCCTCAACGTCGGCCAGAACGTGTTTCCTGTGGCGGCTCTGGGAAGGAAGAAGGAGCCAGCAGCGAGCGAGACACCAGAAGACGACCCGATTGCCTTGGCCCTTGCGGAACTTAAGGGAGTCACGCAGGTTGGCAAGCAGTCGTCGGTGCGCGTCTCGGCTGACACGTACCACGGTATCGCCACGCCTGCTCCCGGCGCCCAGTCTGCATCCCGCAATGCCCCATCTCTTCGGGGCAACGACCCAGTGGCGGCCGCTATGAGGGGCACGCCACCGCCGTCGTACGACCAGCCGGTCCAGAGGCTCGGAGTGCCCTCGCCCGCGTGCACCTCCAGGGCCATGAAGGAGACATCCCAGAAGTTCGTCAGCCAGACCCGGAACTTGTTCAGCCAGCCTCCCGCGGCCGCATCCCCGGTGTCTAGCGGCGGCGGGTATGCCTCAGCGTCCCGCCCCGGAACAAGGGGGGCCGCCGAGGTTCCGCGCGCCGCTTCCCCCGCGCCGCCTCGTAGTGCCTCGCCTCGCCCGAACAGCAGGGCAGACCCGCAGCAGCGTTCCCACCGCTCCGCATCCCCGAACCCCCAGCCGCAGCGCTCGCATCGCTCTGCCTCGCCGAACCCACAACAGCGGAGCCACCGCTCGGTTTCGCCGAACCCGTACGCCAGCGGTAGCGAGCGAAGGAGCCAGTCGCAGCACCCGACCCATCACCAGCCGCAGCAGCAGAGGCGGCCCTCCCATGCACCCACCGTTGGGTCGACGTCTTCCAGGACGCAGGCCCGCGGCTCGGAGCCAGGCTACTACCGCCACAACTCGCCCAACGACATGACGAGGTCGGCGTCCCCGGCCCCGTTCCGCAACGAGTACTCATCGTCCAGGCCGAGCAGCAGCCACGTTCAGGCCGACATGTCGGTGCAGCTGGCGCCGGTGCCAGACGACGTGTACGGCGGCGGCTCCCAGTACGGGGGCTCGCAATACGGCGGGTCTCAGCGTGGTCGTGGTGGCCGCCCCGGAACCGCCACCGGCTCCAGGGGCATGAGCCTCTATGAAGGGGCCGGCCCCGTGCAGCCGGCGAGGACGCGCAGCAAGAGTGTTGCCGACACGAGCCGCCAGTACACCAGAGACGGCCGTCCTATTATGCATTTTGGTAAGTCGCCTTCCTTCCTGCTCATTCTACCCCCACGCGTCGAACGGTTGATATTAACTTTCTTTGCAGCTCGCGCCCTATATCTGTACCAGGCCGCCATCCCTGAGGAGCTCGGCTTCGCAAAGGGCGACGTGCTCGCCGTCCTGCGCCACCAGGACGACGGCTGGTGGGAGGCCGAGATCCACGGCGGAAACGGCCAAGTCGGCCTCGTCCCCAGCAACTACCTCCAGCCTTGCTAGACCAAGGCAGGATCGGGGGGTTTGGGTGGTGCGGTTTGTATGTAATGGGTGGGATCTACGGTACCTGCCGTCGACGGAAGATGGCAGGCGGTTTTGGGGTCATCATGTCAAGGCTGGTTCGAGTCGAAGATTTTGGTCGCATTCTCGCGGCATTTGCATTTGCCGACAACGTCCGTTGTCAGGACATTTTCTTCTTTTCTCTTCTTTACTTCTACGACCCATTCATTGTACGAATCTTTGCGTTTCTTTTCTTCACCTCCATTTCTTTTTGCACATGGATGGCATGTTAATGATTCTCTCCTTCTCCCCTATTTATCACGCCAACATCTTGTCCTTTCTGTTTGTGCCTTTCTGCCTGGTTGCTTGTTTCTGGTTGTTCACGGCACACGGCATGGCCCGCAGTGAATTTCTAGCGTTCTTTGTATTTGCCTTGCCTTCATTGCATTGCACTGTATGTATTTACACGACCATAGATTGTCACAACAAAAAAGTCGTTGTTTCTCGGGGTATCTATAAGACACTGGTGCCTTCTCGTTCCTCGTTCCCCGTTCCCATTTCTATAGCATTGGTTCATCTTTCCGTGAGTGTTCACAGCGAAGACGTCAATTTCCCCAATTTTGTTGGCCAACCTATGTCGTCACCAAACCCAAGCTCTCTGTGCATACCCCCACTTGACACATTCTTGAATGGAGGGCAACCCCTAGACCGCTGGACCCCGAAATCGCAAACACCAGCCCAGGCTTGCTCCCTCAGTCCATTCCAACAAAACAAATGGGTTGAGCAGAGCGGCGCGTCGCCAGCACGAGAGCTGCTTGCGGATAAACTGCACTCCTCCACCATGGTCAGTCGCCTGTTGCTTTCGCGTTTTCTTTTCTCGTTTCGACTTTCGCTTTCCCCATCTGTGGTCAAAATCGGAGCCCCTGTCCTTGCCTCTGATCTTCCATCATCACATGCTAACGAATCCTCCACACGCGCGCAGGGCTCCTACATCAAGGGCGGCTTCCGTGCTGTCACTTCGAAGACGGCCCAACGGACGGTGCTGAAGACGGTTGTGCTCGTCACCACATCGCTTGTTCTCCTTGGTCTATCAGCTTTTGCATACCTCCTCTTCTACCAGAACTACCTCCCCGACCAGGTGTCGACGATTCCGCTGCATCTCCAATACGGGTTAGTATTCCCCTCCTCCGCATGCAGGACGCTGCCCCGGTCGAGCATGGGACCCCCGCTAGCAAGGGGCAACCGCAAACGGGGTATCTTGGACTCTTCCCGAGCTGACATTGACTGCCCCAGCCGCTCCGAAAACCCCTACGCGATCGCACCGCTCCCGAACCGGCTCGTCAAAGAATCCCAGGACTACGATGTTACCGTTTCGCTAACCCTGCCGCGCTCGCCGGCCAACCTAGAGAGGGGAAACTTCATGATCTCGATGTACCTGTCAACTAGCTCGGTTCCCCCGCCCGGCGCCGCGCTAGCCCACCAGATCGACCCCAGGAGCCTCCGCGACCCGAACCACTGCGTGTACTCGGACTCGCGGCCTGCGCTCATGCCATACACCGACCCAGTCGTCTCCGTCGCGTCCAGGATCCTTCTACTGGGTTGGAACATGATGTTCCCCCTCCCGAGATCCGCCACGGCCGTGTTGGCCGTCCCGCTGGCCGAGAGGGTGTCGTTTGCGGCGGGCAGCCAGCGGCCAAAGTCGCTCCTGGTGGAGCTGGAGACGGGCGCGGAGCCGCCGCTGCGCACGTACTCGGCCAGTGTGACCTTCACGGCGCAGCTGAGCGGCCTGCGCTGGTTCATGTACCGCCACTGGCTGCTCTCGTTCGTGGTCTTCACCACTGCCTTCTGGGCGTGCACGATGACTTCCATGGTGGTCGCGTGGGGAATCCTGGCACTCTGCCTCGGCGGGGGCCCCCCGCCCAGGGAGAAGACGGAAGTGGCCGTGATCAAGGACGAGCCGCGACAGGACGACAAGGGCGCTCCGGCCGCGAGGCCCGGCGGCGCGGACCGCGAGGTCAAGAAGGAGGAGGACAATGACGACGACATGGGCATCGCGCTACCACCCACACCCCGCACGCAGCTGTCGTCGATTGGTGCTTCCGCCAAGGGCCCACCGCCGAGTTATCAGTCGGGCGGCAGCATGAGGGGAAGGCTGGCGGGACTGTCTGTCAAGTCGCCGTCTGGCGGTCATTTGTCGTCGCCACTGGACGCGAGGGGCTCGCCCGGCGGTGGCGAGGAGTGGGGCAATGGGGACGACGAGCGTGATGAGCGCTGGAGGAGGGAGTACAGCACGGCAAGTACGGGATACGACGAGGGCCGCGAGGTGGGAAGCAGCGGCAGCAGTCTCCGGCGGCGGTCGTCCCAGAGAAGCACCCCAGGAAGCTGATATTACTCAGAGGAATCAAATGCCGCTCTAACCCAGGGGTGCTGTGGCAAGTGTTGCGAGCACGGCAGGCGTTCGGATTGCTTTTTTTTTTTTTTTGTTCTTTTCTTTCTGGCATCCAAGCCACATTTTATTGGGGGATCGGCCATATCGTAGACTCATTGACGGTTTAATCGCGACGTCCGATATTCCCCCTCTTCTGCTAGTCCGATGTTTGATACCACTGGGGGTGCTCTGGGCTAGCGGAGCCTCAGAGGTTGGGCACGCGGACGGATGCTTCTTGGGACCAAGTCATTCTCCCCAGGCAGAGACATTTGATATCCTGGGGAGATGAACACATAGGGCGCCGACCGGGCCGCTGGACCAGGTGTCTCTGTCCAGCACCGGTTCGCGACAGACACGGCAGCGAGAAGTGTGTGGCTCCTGATCGTTCGGCGGCGGGCAATGCCAGGTACCGGCTAGTCAGTCAATCGCGGCCATGGACCCCTGTCTGGCGGACCAGCATCTGTGATGTGGCAGTTGGCCTCGTGGCGGTCAAGACCCAACCCCCACTCCTTGGGCTGCCACGGCAGAGCGATGCTGGATGCTAGAGCGGGTTCTCGACACAGATTGGATTGTTGGCTTGGGATAGCACCCACCGGCTGGGCTGCCGAAGCACAGTGCCCGATTTCTCCTCGACATGGAGGCGCGGACGAGGATGGCAGGTACCTGGAGGTCGCTTCGTGCGTCAGCTTCCGGGGAAGTATTCATGTTTGCAGCACAAGGGTGGTTTGTGTGCACTTTGAAAGTCTTATAGACGATTTTCTTTTTTTTGCATTGCATTGCACGGGGTTACTTCCCGGTGCCGGCGGCTGCAGCGATGAGCCACCCAACTCGATGGGCTGTAGCTTTCTCCAATCTCAGCCTCGTCCAGAAAGCGGCTGGCGATCAGCATCAAACCAAATTGCATGGCCTTGCTCGCTCCTCTGCACGCTCAACCTCTTCTCTTTTTGCTTATCCCCAGCCCCCCTCGCAACAAACCATAGGCAGCCACGGCTTGCTGTGCCAAACTCATTTCCTCACCTGCTATTTCCTCCTGATCCATCGAACCAGCAGACCCCTCCATAGAGCATTTCGAGGTCAGAATTGGAGCGGCTTCCCACCGCCCCACCGAGACGCCCGCGGTCGAGGGTGCCAGCCTACGCGCGAAGCAGCGTAAACCACAGCACGCACGAGGTACCTAAATCCAATGCTGGCCTGCTGCAGCGACACCTAGCTCGCTTCCGCACGCCTGCTCCAGCTGTCCACCAGCCGACAAGCTGGTCAAAACCCGCACAAATCCCAGCACCACGCGCCCTCCCCCCAACGAACCCAGCCATTTACACGCCGTGGTCGGGCTGCCCTAGCTTGCTTGCATGCCGTGCTGTCTTGACAGCACCCTGTCGCGACATCCTTGCCTCGACCCTCAGCTGCCCAAATCGCCTCGCAGAACATAAACCAGAGGGCCGCCCAGGCGGGTCACCACGACCAAGTCCCCCAAGCGGAACCGCCCCGTCGAGCCGACTCCACCGCCTGACTTCCTCAATCCTCCCCCGCATAGCCTCCATAACTACACCGTCTTTGCGCTGAACGGAGAGCAGGCGAAGAAAAAAAAAGAGCAGGAAGGACGAAGAAAAAAAGTTGCACCCGGCCCTGGGCTCACAACGCTAGCTTCCCGTCCTGGAATCCTCTCTTTTTCTTTGCCCTTTCCGCAGCCGCCCGCCACCATGCCCTGCTTCAAGGGCATCGCGGTCAGCATCCACGCGAACGGCCCTGTTCCCGAGCATGGAGTTGTCAAGCAATCGCGGGTCTCGAGGGTCACTTCCTACATACCTGTGCCCGAGCCGACCCTGAACACCGACACGGGCGCTCAAGAACCCGCCAAGTTCGCCATCTCCATCACCCTGCTCACAAAGGGCCTGGCGATCCCGTACTCGACCCCGCCCGCAACCGAAGACAACCCCAACCCGAAACCTCGCCTGGTCGGCGCCCCCGGCCAGCACGGCACCGTCCACCCCTACATGCCCTTGACCGCGTCCGAGAATGAGACGATAGCGGCCTATATCTACTTCGACGGACGGGCCAAGGAGGAGGTCGCTACCCTGCTCCGGCCCGGAGAGGAGACGTGGGTCAACAGTCGATGGGTCCAGGTGCCCGAGGCGGAGGGCGGCGGTCTCGCCGAGCGCGAGTTCCTGTTCCGGGAGGTCGCCCTGGAGAGGTGGCTGAACGGCCTCGACCTCAAGGGCCACGACGCCGCCGACAAGCTGGAGAAGCGCAGGCTAAAGTATGAGAAGAGGCAGCGCCGCCAGGAGAAGGTCGCCAACGGCAACCCCTCACCCATGGACTCAGGATCCGACAACGATGACTCCACCTCCTCGGACGACGAGATCCCCGAGTCCACGGGCCAGATAAAGGTGGCCATGTTCCGCGTCCTCGCCTCGGGCGAGATCAAGAAGGGGGAGTACTCGCCCCAATTTGACGCCCACGATGACGACGACGACGAGTCGGGTGCGGGCCAGAACCGGGGGTCTGGCGCCGTCGGGGCGGATGTCGAACACACCACCAGCTTTGCGAAGCCCAAAACCCTCGATCCCAAGACCATCAGTACCCAGACGGTCACAGGCATTGACGGTCCCGAAAAGCCCTATGCCACATTCACATTCTTCTACCGTGGAAAACGTGCGTTCACTCGTCTTCCCAAGCCTCGCCAAGCCTCCTGACTGTAGCAAAACCGCTTTCCCCCCATGTTCCCCTTCCAGAAAGCTGACACTTCTTCTCTCCAGGCCAACTGGAAAAAATGGGTGTCATTCCCTCGTCCAGAACACAGGCAACGCCCTCAAGCAACGTCAAGCGGCGGTCCGCCCAGATAGAGCTTCCGAAGCTCGGCCCTCTCAAGACAACCGGCACGGTGGGCTTTTCGACATTCCGTGATAACAATGCGGACACGGACCGCCGGAGGAAATCTCGGAAGAAGTCTATTGCTGGGAGCCCTGGCGCAATGACTATGGAGCCTGATACGGACAGCGAGGACGAGGACCTAGTGAAAAAGATGGAGGATATCGACGACAAGGAGACAGGTCCGTCCCGTGGCAATCTCAGCCCCGAGGAGGCCAAATTCTCTGGCGAGCTGGCTGATGGGGTTGAGCGCATCCACGTAAGTCACCTCTTGACTCTTACCCACCTGTAACATGACCATTGGGGGCGGCGTCGGCTAACAAAGTTGCGAAATCTAGCTCAAGAGAGGACGGTCGGCAGACCCAGACAGCGTTACAGCGTCAGTGTCACCGCAAAAGTCACCTAGGGCGAGCCCGCCCGCCGATAAATCTACCCCGAAGGCGCTCGGAGAAGCCATGTCACCAGTTCAATCATCGGGCACTGGATTCGGCGGTCCTCTCTTTGGAGGCAATAGTGTGCCTGAGGATTCGACCATCGGCAGCCCCCTCAAGAAACACCGCGTCAGCGTCCATGACGACGAGAAATTCACTCAGGCTGTGGGCCTAGGAAGCATCCTCGCCCAGGTCCAGGCCGGTCAAATCCCTCAGACCCCGCAACAACCATCGCACATCAAGGAGGAGGAGGAAGAGCTATGATAGCTGTTTCATCCTCCGACTTCGGCCCGGAGCAAAGGAACAGCAACAGGGGGGATCAAACAAAAAAAACACCTCAATGTCAGAGCTACAAAAAATGGGGAAAAAATAAAAGAGAAAAAAAAGAACAAAAAAGAACAACCCCTCTTCAAATCTCCGCCGCTGACAGTTAGTCGCTTTGGCTTCTAGCCGCCATATGGAGCGCTAGTTTTCTGTCCCCTAGGCTTGGCAGAAGCTGAGTGGTTTGGATGGTGATATATATGATTCTGGGCTACGCCCTGCCAGGTCTGGGTACCGGGGGGGTTTCTTGTTTTACGACACCTGTCACACCGTACCGCATTTCAGAGGTACCGACAGGCGCCCAACCGACTGGTGTACTTGTCTGGTTTGGAGCGGCGAGACTTCAAGAGCGTCTCAGCAACCGTTCCACAAGCCAGAAAAAGGGCCAAAGACTTAATGAGGGTATGACGATTGGAATTCGTTGTCTTGTTGGATGCTCCGGATAGAGGCCGAGGAAATGGGTGGTTCTTGTCCATCGTGGGCGGGCGAGGTGACGATAGTATACCGTCCATCTCACTCTTGGACCCTTGGGAATTGGCGAGGTTCGATGGAGTATCATCTCCTCTGTAACCACCAAGACGTGTAGATAATCGTGGCGGCTTTTCCAAGCCAACCAACCATAGTTGACGAGCTGCCAGAGAACAAACAGCGACAGGCGTTGTTAACACAGGGGTTATCGCATCTACACATGGTCATGGATTACCAAGACCTCCCACAACTCTACGTCCAGGTCCCCCGTTCGGGTATCGGGCTGCACATGTCACATACAGCCCGACTGGGTCAGCAGGCAGCTGCTCGCATGCAAGTCCTACCATGCACCGCAAGGCTTCCTGCATGCAACTCGCGTCACACGACGATACGGAAAGCTTTGTACGCACACATGTCATATTCCCACTCGACTCGGAGGAGACGTCATTGGACAATATGTAATATTTATGATTTTTTTTATTCTATGCCTTTTTTTCCTATTCTTCTATTTCCGTAACCGAAGCCGATGCCCTCCCGTGACTACGGAGGCCATCATTGTGTGAAGTTTCCAGAGGAAACCCGCCATACGACAGGCAATTGAGATTCCCTACCATTCGTGCTGGGCGGCCATGTCGGATGTGCGATGGAGAGGGGGAAGAAGAACCTGTAGCCATGATGTTAGCCAGAAAGCCCTGCCAAACAGACGCAAGACGACATCAAATGAGCAGAAAAAAAAAAAGAAAAAAAAACGGGCATGTGCAATGGGGGTCAGACTGTTGAGCTTGATAATTAATTGGATCAACATGAGGATTCAGTTGGCCGTTCTTAAGAAGAGTTTGTCATCATTCCAGGGAGGAGGTGAACGCGAAAAAGAAAATAAATGCAGTCGCGGATGAATGCAGCAGGCAGCGATGAGCTAAACTTACCTTATTGCCCGACCGGTCCACCGCTCGCCGCTGTCTCCATGTGGCAGCGCGGTGGCCGGAGTCGAGGTGACGATGCAAAAAGGAGGGAAGCTGGAGCGAGACAAACTCGAGAGGCCTAATTTTTTTCTTCGCTAGGACCCCCTTATAAATCTTCTGGGCGGTACTGGTCACGTGTGGAGTGGGAGCTCCATTTGAGATTCGTGCCCACTCTCAGGCGGGCATTTTACGTTTGCGAATTGGTGTACCATCCTCACAAACATGGAAGGTAAATTTTCAGCAATCAGGAGGCAGGGAGATTGTTGATTGACAGGAAGATTGACCAAGGGGGAGAGGGGGCAGGAGGGAGAATAAACAGAACGTCGGAGAAGGCGATAGAGACCATCTTGAAAAGTTACCTAGCGGTACCTGGCATCGGACATGGAGGGGCTCCCGTGGTCGGGCAGGTAACCCCATAGACCCCACCTACGACTGGCAAAACCCCTCGTCGTTCAGCAACCTAACAACAACAGAGCCCAGCCTACACGACAAGATATCTCAAGACCACCAACTCCTGCTCCCGCAAAGACTTTACTGCTTGCAACTCTATCTTTCTGATCTCTCAGCACCAGAATTCATCCGCTTCCCAGTATCCAAAATGGCTAGTAAGTCAACGTCCAGCTCTGAGGCCCTGCCCATCATCGAATCATCGAAGGACCATTTTGCGCAGGCGTTCCTTTGCGCTCGAATGACGTGCCTCGCATAAACAGCCAAAACACTGAAGTGCTAACCCGCTACCCCTCGCAACGAAACAGCCCCCCATGCTGTTGCGCGTATGTCTACTCCCGCCGGCCGGCGATTCCCATGAGGCCCCGCACTTCTCCGACGACGACGACGATCGCGAGGGAGTCAATGTTGCCCGACGCGGGGGGACTGACAAAAACAAAACGCTGCTCATCAGAGGAGTTCGTCCAGTTCTACTACAACGAGTTCGACAAGGGGAAGGAGGCGCGCGTCGCATGGTCGAACCTGGTCTACGTACGCGACGAACCCCCCTCGACGCTCGCGATGCAAGCGGACGCCAAGTGCGCAACATGAAGGTGGCTGACTAGGCGAGCAATGGACAGACGGAAGTCTCCAAGTTGACCTTTGAATCGACCGAGCACACCGGCAAGGCTGCCATCGCTGAGAAGCTTGGAGTGAGTTGACTTCCATGTCCCGGATCTGTTTGTCCCTGGGCTTCACAAACGAAACGAAACATGCGCGGCTAACGAGCCATCGTCACCTCCCCTGTTTATAGGGCCTTCCCTTTGAGCAAGTCAAGCACCAGGTCTCGACCCTCGATGTCCAGCTCACACACCACAACGACATTGTGATCCTTGTCACGGGACAGCTGCTGGTACGAGACCCACCGCCTCCCCTAGACACACCCGGCCGTTTTCCAGCTAACCAACGCTACTCTTTTTCTCGCGGTGCCCCTCAATAGGTTGACGAGGAGCAGCGCCCGATGAACTTCAGCCAAGTCTTCCAGCTCGCCAAGGACGGTGAGCGGTGGTACGCTGTCAACGATATCTTCAAGCTGGTCCTCGGTTAAACGTGGCACCACTGTTCCGCGTCGCGGACCTGGCAAGCCCGAGGAGAATACGCCATGTGTCTTGGATCGGCCGTCCATCGAATAGACGAGGATGGCTGCGAAACCAGGTCACATGGACGATTATCGCTCGGTCCGGAATCATGGGAGAAGGACGGAATTTGTGGCATTCACGCGTCACATGATGGGAGGACAGGGCGAGGTTTGCTTCGGGGGTTGCCATGGTGTTTAGGGTGGACAAAATGCCACCATTTTGCTTTCGGCTTTTTTGTCTTGTTCGCATTCGGCGCGTCTCTTCTCCCGGCTTATCGTTTCTACGAACGATTTTTCAAGGTTACCTATCCATTCAATACCCTCGGCGCCCGCCCAGGAGGCTGAGCCGTCTGACTAGGCTTTGCTGGGAGGGTGGGGCGGACTCGATGTTATTTTGGTGCCTGCAACGCCCCGGCCGTCGGATCTGGCTCGCACAGCGCTGCTGCGCGCGCCAACATGGAAGCCAAGCAGCCCAAAATACCAAGAGCTTACTCCACGGCACCAGCAACGTAACGCATACGTAAGACACTTGCCATCCGATAGCACAGGCACGGGCAGGCTAGGCAGGCAGCGACCAGTCACGGGTAGTCGCAAACAGACAGTCCTCCAAGCTGCATAGCCGACCGGGTAGGCAGGTCGGCCCCAGGTCTGGCAGGTCCAGACTGTTCGTCAGACACGGAGCACTCTTTTTGGGATACTGTTTGAGGTTTGCATCCGAAAAGGCAAAAGAAATGTGCAGAACCGATCAAAGTCGCGTCGGAGGCTGGGATTGGTGCCCGGGCCTCAATTCCACTGCTGTGAAGCAGGTGGTCAGTGCGCCACGTCATGGTAGGTGCACCGCCAAATAAAAACCAGCACCATACAACCTAACCACGGAACCCATACAGTTTATAAAAAAGAGAGTTGAGGGAAATTGAGGGTATTTGAAGGAAAAGGGCAAAAATGACAAATACGAAGGAGGAGGATGACACAAAAAGATAATAAAAAACAAAACTAGGGGCAAGACATTAGAACATCTAAGGGAAGCGTTGTCGAGTGCATGTTTTTACTTGGCCGCCGTGCCCACCTCACTTCCCTGGGGCCACACCCCTCTGGGGCAGTGTCCCGTGGAGCCACAGCCCAGCCTCCCAAGCAACGGCAGTGACGAAGCAAGGAGCAAGGAGCAAGGAGGGCCGCGCATGCTTCGGGTTACTTGGCCTTCTAACCGCCATATGCCCCCTCCCTCAAACATCTGCACTGTCACAAAGAAAAGTTGTGGCCCAGCTCCATTTAGTTTTTGGAAACAGCCAAAACAGACATCCTGAATCTTAACGACACCTCGCTTTTGGAAACATCTCCCAACCACCAGCAAAGCAGTGTGCGTGCAGCTTCGTCGAAACAGCGTCATCGCCTATCATCGCCGAATCACGCGATACCCATTAGCTCCCCCGTTTTCGTGCCCTATCCAGCTGTTGCTGCAGGTCGATCGCCCTCCCGCAGCCACACATAGCCGACGTGCTTAGCTTCCTCCGCCGAGCGAGCTCCATCCAACGTGACTTTGCGACAGCCCGACCTCGAGCGACAACCCCGGACGTCTGTCGAGGGATAAAGAATTAAAGCACACAAAGACAAGCATCAACGAGCCGACGAACGTTAGTCGACGCAGCAATCCCGGGCCAATCAAGACAGTCTACAGCGCCACCGCATTCAAGATGACGCTCAAGGAGGAGTTCGCGACCCGGAACTTTAGTGCGTCCACAGCTTTTCCTTCCCCTCTCTTGGCCGAGGTCGTGGCCTGGTAGATCACGACATCGTTTTGCTAACGTCATGACTGTGTGTTCTCAGGTATCTATGGGCAATGGTAAGCCTTCGAAAGGACGCGCGACATATTTCCCACTATTGCCGACGACGCCTCATGGCCGTCGAGACCTGGACATTGTCTACCAATGACTTGCCCCGGATCGCAGCTCAGATTACCTGTTAAGTGGGGGACGGCGGTATCCGGGGGATAGATGCTTGAGGCGATTGCGCCCGATGCGAACCACGCTCCCTGCTGTGGCATAGGAACGGGGACAATATGTCGCATGCTGCGGATACGGAGCACAGCACTAACCTTTGATCTTCTCTCCACAGGCTTGGTATCCTGTCCATGCTCCTCTCCTTCGCGCTGGGGATCGCCAACATCTTCATATTCAACTTTGTCATCATCATCTTCAGCGTCATCTGCCTGTGAGTTCACCCACTTCCATCCTGCTTTCTGGCGCGCCTCGCGGCGGCCCGAACGACACCCGACTAACCCGAGGCCACCCTTCTTACTGGTTCTAGTGTCTCGTCGTTTATCGTCCTCTTCATCGAGGTGCCGCTGCTGCTGCGCATCTGCCCGACCTCGGGCAAGTTTGACGAGGTGATCCGCAAGGTCTCGACCAACTACATGCGCGCGGGCGCCTACTTCGTCATGGGGCTCGTCCAGTGGCTGTCTATCATCTTCGCCGCGACCTCGCTGATCGTCGCCGCCGTCTTCTTCACTCTCACCGCGGCCTGCTACCTGCTCGCGGGCATCAAGGGCCAGGCCTTTGTCGGCAGCAAGACCCTAGGCGGACAGGGCGTCGCGCAGATGATCGTATAATCGGACTTCCACGATACCGGCTGGGTAACGGCCTGGGGATGGTATGGCGGGCCGCTTTACGTGTACTTTTGGGCCCGAGGCCTGGAAAGTCGGCAGTCACGCACCACGCCTCAACTCCCAATGGGCGGCTCAACACGCCCACTACGCCCTAGGAGATAACTTCGGCAGACGATGGAAATGCGGGAACCCCTTCACCGGTGTTGAGGGCCAGGTCAAGGCGGGGCCAATTCTTACTTGGCTTCAGCGCATTGAATGACGACGGATGAGGAGCAGTGTGACGAAGCATATTGCTGTAGGAGGGCGGGTTTCCAAGTGGCCAACATCTTCGGAAGGGGGTTCTGGCGTCATGGGTTTTTTTTTTTTTGCCATCATCTTCGTTCCTCCAGGGGGTGTTTTCTGCGGTGAGCTTGTTCTCGCGACATGTAGTCGCCTTGACACGAGCACCCCCATTATCAAGATGAATGTTTGTTAGTTATGTCTCCGGGACGTGTATGACGAAGGTCCTCGCTCGCGTGCTTCGCCTGCAGGATCGCATGTATCTTACCGCTACGAATAGGAATGAGTGTTTTGCTATGTCGTTCGTTCGGCAACCCGAGTCTGCGGTGGCAGCACTGGGGAAGCGGAAAGCTCCCTCGGCCCAGGGCTACGTGGAGACTAGGTACAGAAAGGCTCGTATGTGGCCAACACGGTGAGGATGAGGCTGTCGACCGTCCTGTACAACATCCGATGCCGACGCTCCTGCAAAAGTCTGGTGCCTGGGAGGGGATACCCGACAAAAACCCCACTCCTTGCCGGCGTCTAGAAGCTCTCGGCGGGACCTGGCCTGACGAGGCCGCCTCCAGCCTCCGCTCCTGGTGCTGCCTGCGCTCGGGGCGGGCGCATCCGATAGGGCGGGCGCTTGCTGGATCGTGCACGGGGTCCCACGAAAGACCGGACAGGAAGATCGGAGAGGCGGGATTGGAACGCGGATACGACAGTCTGCACTGCCGGCTAATGCAGACGAGGTGCTGTTTACGACAACAGGAGAAAGGACAAAAAAAAAAAAAGGGGGGGGGGGGCGGAAAGACTGGGCTAATATGGCCGCAGAGGTACTCAAAAGATGTACTGTTTTGCGTCGCATCACGTTGCGAAGCACATTAGGTTCCGTATAATGGAAGCAACAAGAGGAAAATCGCGCAATGCGCGGCACAGTGATCGGTTTCCTTGTATCTGGCTGGTACCTGGAGGTTTGGGGTACTGTACATCACTTTTCTAGGTTGCTACGAGCGGCTCCCCAAAAGTTTGCTGAAGCCCGGCCTCCCCAGCAAATCTGCCCTTTTGTGTTGTGCCGCCATTGAGCCATTTTATTCGTCATCGAGGGGTTCGTGGCGCTGTCACGATCCCTTGGCCTGGGTGCCTGGCAAAAGAAAAAAAAGTCTGAACGGGGAGCACCCCTCGAGTCCGGCATGGAACGAGAAACAAGTGACCAAAAATAGGGGGTTTGAGGCTGGCGACTTGAAGACATGGAAATACCTCACCCCGAGTAACCCGGCTAAAGAGGGCTCACAAGCGGATAGATCTCACTTTCACCAAAGGTACCTGATTATAGGCTTCTGGCTCGCCACGACAGACCAAAAGACACACGATCGACAGGCGGCCGGGCTAGGTGTAGGCACAAACGCAGTTGACAAGTGCAAAGATGGAGCCGCCTGGTCCCCCCGGCTCGGGTTGCCAAGAGATACGCGGCGCAATTGTAGCGGTAATATGCCAGCTCAGTGGCGGGATGGGATACTCCTTTGTCCCTGTGCTAGCCTTCAAGACATTTCCACCTGACAAGGATCCAACAGGAATGGAAGACAGGCTACCTTGGTATTCCCCAGGCAACCTACTACCACTGTACCTCATAACCTGGCCGTGGGGTGAAAGCAATGTTTGAATAATGACAAGAGATAACAAATACACAACAAAAACCCTTCGTGATCACAGGGTCGGCGGGATGTGGTGTCGACACCGATGAATTTTTCTTCCATGTCGGTCGTGATCCTTGTCGGTACGGTACCTCGAGTCCACGGGACCGGTCTGGGCTCTGGATTGGTCCAGCAGGGTGCGTGGGTTGGCATGCATGTCATGGGGGGTTGTCGCTTGCCGGAAACCTCACTTGCTGGTGGGGACGGGGCACGAGAGACAACGAGAAAAGAGAGACGAAGCGGTCTGCAACCGACATCTTGTGTGCATTAACATGCCATCCAAGTACTGTAAGTACCAAGGAAGGCTAGGTTGGTAGGACGTACCTACTTCTTTTCCCCACCGAGCCATGGACGGATCAGACGGCCTCGACTTGTCGGATCAGTCTCCGTCCGGCGGCGGCGGCACAACGGTGACGAGCTGCAAGTCATCTGGGTTTGATTGACTAAAGGGATAATAACGAGGGCGCTGTTACTTGGCCGTAACAACCACAAAGACGCTGTGTTCAAGACCTGCCGAGAGGTACCCAGGTACCGTCGACGGCACAGATTGACAATCGAGCGACGCTCCTTGGCTCCATTGCACAGCTGGGCGCACGGCCGCCCCACGGCAGCTTTTCTTGGAGCGGCCCCTCACTTGATGGGGCCGGCAGAAGACTGTCAGGGCGGTCGATGTCATCATTCGCCCGGAAAAGCTGGGTCCTGCAGGCCCCTCGATTGAAGCCACGCAACTTGGGCCAGCGGGCGGTTCCTCTTTCGCGGCGGCAGGTCCATCCTCCAAAAAGTTTTTTTTTTCTCTCTCTTCATCTTCTTTGTTGGGGTTCATGGGCTCATGTTTTAATGGCGGTCGATGACTCAGTCCTGAGCCACAGCGGCAGCAGTCCCGAACAGGAAGAAACCAGAGCAGCAAAAAAAGAAGAAAAAAAGAAAAAAAGAGAAGACTCGATCGGGTCCTAGAGTCCATGCCTGCCTCGACACCGAGTCCTTGCGTCAGTCGTGCATTGGGTAGCTTCATTTTCTGACGGGGTAGTTTCAACCCCGATAATGAGCCATCACAGCAATCGAAGAAAAGGAAGTTCCCTGGGACCTGGGGGCGGTGGTGTGCTCTGCCCGCCAGAAACGGGCAATGGACGGCAACCAGGGGCCGGTACCTGGGGAGGTACCTGTAAAGGTACCCTGTACTTACAGCGCATGGTAAGTATGCATCATGTTCACCCTCACCAAGGTGACTACAGCGGTAAAACTGCTGGACCGCTGTGATTTGGCCCACAGCTGCCACGACGCCTTTGCTCTGGTTTCTACTTGTGTTCATTTTCGTTTTCATTTTATTTTCTAACCATCTTCCTTAGGTGTCGCTGTTATTATTTCAGAGACGGGCGGTTCCAGGGAAGCTGAAGCTGGAAGAATAAACACAGAAACCCAGCTCCTCAGGTACCTCCCGCCAGGTACCTCGGCCAGGTGCCGTGTCCATGCATGGTACGAGACGTGCTTTTGCGTGCTCGCCAGGATGGCAGGTCACGCGGCGCCGCTTCAGCTCCGTCTGGGCTGGGCTTGCGCTAGCTGCAGTACGCAATGCGGGACCACGGTGCCCCACCCAGACACCCACCGCTGAAGGGCGTCCGCCTACTTTGCTCTCGATTGCTGAGGGCGGAAGCTCGATTCACGCCCACGAAGCCCTCTGCTGCATGACGTTTATAACCAAGGGCCCAAGACGTCCTCGCTGCTCGCTGTTGCCCCTGTTCCTCCGTTTGTTCTCGCTGTCTCTCCATCTCTGAACTCGCGCCTCGCACCTCGTCATCATCATCCTCATAACGCCTCTTCTGTTTTCCTCCATGTCAACTCTGTTTTCTGTCTCCCGCTACTACAAACCCTCAGTGCCGGTCGCGCAACCTCGGTAGCCACTGTTGTTGGACCCCAGCCAAGCCATCCATCCATACACACGTCAACCAACAAGATTTGGTTTTTTGCTCACTGCTCGTAAGTTCAGCCTGTGCCACGCCTCACCCCTTTTCCCTCTTCTCCGGTTGCCTCACACCCCTTCGTGATCTTCTCCTCCCATCCTCTGCCGCCCCGAGCGCAGACCGCTCCTTTCCCATCCTTTCCGTGTCAGATATCGATTCCCCAGGCACCCACCCCCTGTACCCCGGACGCATCCCGGGCGGGCGGACGGCCAACCTCCGTATCGTCGTTTGTGTAATCGGATTGGCTTCTCGTTTGGCCTGCTGGATAGGAAGCCCCGTGTCCAGCGCGATTTGGCGGGTGGTTATCTGCGCCTTAATCTCCCCTATCTCGCAACATCGGACCCTTATCTCGTCGTCCTGAGCTTGCTAGTCATCCACCCAGCCAAGCCCTGCCCTGCCCTGCCCTGCCACGCACTTACATCGACCTCCCCTCCGAACCGGCACGCGACCACCCTGCTCCTTATCGCCCCGTGCCTTCTCACTGCCTGCCATGTCGTATGTGGTGTTGCTGTCGCATCGTGAGACTCGGTTGTGCTGACCCAACACCCCAGTTGGACCGCTCGACTTAGCCGCCGAGCATTCGTCTCCTACACCCTCAGTATACATCTTTTAAGCATCCGTACCACCACCTGTCGCCCAGCATGTCTGCCGCTGTCACCCAACCACCAAGCGTCCCCCCTCGTCCTTCCAGGAGTCAGGACCGAGACCAGATGCCAAAGATTCCGCCCCGCCCCGTCAACCGGCGCCTTGAGCAGTCGAGCTCGCCAAGCCGGGGTCGGTTTGCGCCTTCGCCGCTCAACGAGAACCCCCTGAACTCGGCCAAGAGCCCGCCCCAGATCTTTGGCTTCAATGGCTCAGAACCCATTGACCGCTCGTCCAGCGTGGACCTACCCTCGCTCGGCGAGGAGGGCAGGGAGTATGCCGCCTTTGCCAGCGACAACAACTTCGCCGACGGGGAGAGTTCCTCGCCTGAGCAGACTGCCAATATCAACCAGAACCTGAAGCTTCACGCGCCGAAGCCGTCTCTCCCGGCCCTGAGCGCCAAGCAGCGCGTTGCCGCCGTTACCCGCACCGACTCGGACAAGGCGGCGAGCTTTGGCATTGGCAAGCCCAGCAGCGAGGACCCTGTGCCCTCCAACCGGAGTCTCAAGAAGAAGGCCAGTACTACCAGCCAGCTGTCGGCCAACACCGAGAGCCACATGGACGATGAGCATGGCATCCCAGAAATCGGCAAGCAGGTGCCCATGTACCCGCACGCCGGTGACGTGCAGGCCCCGTCCCCGGCTCCTGGCTCCGAGGGATTGAAGCCCAAGCACCACAACCGCAAGACTAGCGCTCGCGGTTTCACCTCGGAGCTGCCCCCTGGCAGCTACGGCCTGCATGGCCACGGTGTCAAATCCCAGGACAAGCTCGAAAAGGCTTATTATGAGAAGCATCCCGAGCTTGTCCATAAGGAGAGCAACAAGCACCACCATGACCGCCCCAATGACTTCTCGATGAGCCGCGAGGAGCTCAACAAAATCGTGCGCGCCACTGCCGAGCGCGGAACTAGCAATGGTAGGCATATCCTGCAGCCGCATCCCACGGTGTCTTGCCGCGGTGTATACCGAATTCGATATGGCGAACCCGATCCCCTTTATCCTTGGTACTAACACGCTTCCCAGGCTTCGGAACCCCAACCGAGCAGTGTGGGTGGGAGGCGATCGAGGAGACTGCCTCGCGCATCACCTCCCCCAGGCCGGCATCAACTGCCCCCAACTCCCCTGAGCTGAAGAGGCGTAGTTTTATAGACGGAGCAGTGCCGGAATCGGGCTTGACCGACGACCAGGTCATTCACGTCGGCGATCCTAAGAGGAGGTCCGTCATGTTTGATGACAAGTCGCCAGAGCCCCTCGAAGGCGAGGATGGTTACACAGCCCCTATCTTGGCCGGGGACGAGGTTGCCAACAACGCCTCCGACCTCCAGCCCGCCGTCAGCCCTCCGGCAGAACGGTCCGGCAGTGCCTTCGAGATAGAGCCCTCAAGCCGTCCCAGCAGCCGTCCCGCCAGCATCTACAGGGATTCGTCCATAGATGTCCGCTCCACGCCCCTGGAGGACGTCCAGGAGTACGAGCCTCTCTTCCCCGAGGACGAAAAGACGCCCGCCAAGGAGCCCCAACCGGACAAGAAGAAGGAGGCTAAGAAGCAACGATTCCCAAGTCGCGACATCTGGGAGGATGCCCCTGACAGTGTGCATGAGGGCGCCGAGGTCTCGACGCCGGACATTTCACAGGAAAACGATGGTGTGTTCCCTCTCAGGGACGTCCCTGCTCGTGACGACTCAGAAACTCCAGCCCACGCGTTTGCTCGTCGCCAGGAGCAGCTTGCCGAGGATGAATCGAAGCAGAGCCCGGACGGGTTTCTGCATAGGAATCAGAAGCCTTCTTAGGTTCAAGGCCAGTCTCATATTGCCAAGGAGGTCGCCAACGAGAAGCGCCCGTCGGTCAAACGATTCCCCAGCCGTGATGTGTGGGAAGACACGCCCGATAGCCTTCAGCTCGAAACAGTCGTCTCGCAAGAACAAGACGAGGCAGAGGACGCCTCGCCAGTGGAGGTCATGGTTCCCGAGCTCCCGCAGGGGTCTGTAAGCAAGTCAGCCGAGCCTTCGTCTGCCGCAATCGAAAAGCCTGTGGTGCCCGAAAGGCCCAAGTCGAAGCAGCCTCCCAGCGATGACGCTGCGGCAGCAAAGCCGACTGTTCCGGAGCGGCCCAGGCCACAGGTCCCTGCTAGGCCCACGAAGCAAGGGTCTGGTTCTAGCAAAGACGGCGAGGCGGCAGCTTCACCAGACACCCAGTCAAAGCCCGTCATCCCCTCCCGCCCTGGAGGCTCCAAGATCGCCGCCCTGCAAGCTGGCTTCATGGCAGACCTGAACAAGCGCCTGCAACTCGGACCGCATATCCCCAAGGTCGAGGAGCCTGCAGCCCAGGATGAACCGGCTGTTGAGCAGGAGAAGGCGCCGCTTGTGGATGCCCGCAAGGGTCGCGCTAGGGGCCCTCAGAGGCGAGCGCCTGCCAAGAGCGCGGCTCCTGCTGCCGCCGCTGCTGCCGCCGCTCCATCAGAAAAGCCTGTGCTGAGCCTCTCGTTCAGCTCGCCGTTGACACTTTTCTCTATCGACCCGGACCAGGATCATGTGAGCGTCGGAGGCATCGAGAAGTCCCCAGCGACAGAAAAGCCTCCCGTGGCCAGCGAGGCCGTCGAGGGCGACAAGGCTAGCGCTGAGCCGGCCGCGCCTCCCGCCAAGGAGGCGGAAAGGACTGAAACGGCAGAGAGCACCGAAGAGGCCAAGCCAGAGACTCTCGCCACCAACATGGCGGGCGAGTCCGTCGTTGCGGTCGACGTAGAAGAGAAAAAGGCAGTCGAACCAGCCGCCGCCGAATAAGAGCAGGAGAGCAGACCTCCTGATCACTGATCGGGATTCGGTCCAACACTCACTCCCTTGACTCACTTTCCGGATGGCCCTTTCTCCTTTCCTACAGGCACAGATGGGGGGGCTTCAGGTCTGGAGATGTAACTTTCTGGCTACCTGCGCTCATGATCAATGCCCGTGCTTTTCGTTGATAGATCATTTCTGTCTGATTTTCTTGTTTTACGAATTATGTCTTGGTCATTGTCATGCCAGTCGCCTCTCAAGTCCTAATGCAGCCCAGAGCCTGTGTGAAAGCACTACAAGCATCGAACCGAAGCGAAGAGTAACGCATAGGGAGAGGTGGCTGGACGACGTTGGGGACAAAAAGGCGAAATGAAGGATTAGAGGGGGAAAAGGGCGGAAAAGACACGGCTGGTAACGGCTATTTTTTTTTATTTTTTTTCGTCACTTCGTCTCTCCCGCCCACCCTCCTTTTCCTTCCCCGCAACCCCCTACCCTCCTTCACCACAGATAGGGCACCTGTTCCTCCTCTCTTTTTATCTCGTTTTAATGCCGAACACGTCTCTGCCTGGTTTCAGGGGCTGGCCCACAAGCCGGTCGCATGAGATCTGTAGAACGCAACGGGGCCTTTCCCTGGTCCTCAAAATGGTAAGGCGGTGGGGCGCTGCGAGACGACGTGCTTGTAAAAAAGAGGAGGACGGTATCGGGGGAACATCTAACATATGCGAGAGGCAGCCCAGCTCACCACCACCACGTAGCCACAGCACCGTAGACGCCAGAGCCCGTCTCGATCGGAGAGCATATGACCTGAGAGGAGAGTCGGTGCACTAACATGTAAAACGACAGGAAACCCTGCAAGCCAGGCGTAGACTATTGACATGGGGTGGTGGATCACAGAATGGCAGCTGCAGATACTTTGACCAACACATCATCTTGGAATCGAGATGAATAAAGGGGAGATATGCAGTGCTACATAGGTAGGTGCCTCCATAGTAAGTGCGTCACAGGTAATACTACATACACACCAAGATACAATCACGTGTCAAGCGAGGACGCTACTGCTGTCAAGTAAAGAGCTCCATCATACTGCTCCGGGAGTTTGCTTCCATCGCGCACAGAGCAGATATAGATGTATTTGGACGAGAAATGCAGATCCATGCGCCATAACCCGTGCCATGCCAATGTTACATAGATAGATGTCCAATATGTACAGCCGTGGTTCATACTGTTTTGTGGGGGGTATCGCGTCTGTTTTGTTTATGGTGTAAGAAAAGGTGCGTGGGTGGGCGCGCTTATTTTGCGTTGTTCCAGGGCCATAGTGGAAAAAAATTATGACAAAGGAAAGTTAAGAATCAGGGAATGTCTTGAAGAAAAGTAGGTGGAAAAAAAGAGAAAGGAAAAACCAAGATGGACGCTTTACACGCTTTACACGATAAGTAGTTCGTCGTCATCGACATCGTCCTCAACGACGACGCGCCGCAGCAGCTTGTTCCTGGTAGCTACGGCGGCGGCAGCAGCAGCAGCAACAGCAGTGGCAGCAGGTGCCTTCTCAGTTGTCGCCCCGGTGCTAGCGGCGAGTTCCGCCCCGAGGCTCTCCCGGCCGGCTTCACGGATGCCCTTGTCCGTGACGAAGCGGGTCTTTTTGCGGACGGGGGAGCGGTCGCCCCGGGACCCGGAGGAAGTCGTGGCACCGGCAGCTGATGTTCCAGCGGCCAGGTTCGGAGGAGGGAACGAGGTGGACGCGCCCTCCTTCATCTTGCCGAGCCTGTCCCGGAGGGCGGTGCCCCAGCCGAGTGAGGAGACGCCGCTGCGCGAGTTGACGGTGCCGCCGGACGTCGAGTTCGACGTGACCGAGTCGGGCCGCTTGCGCTTAGCGGGGCCGAGGTCGATTGCGGGCGTGTTTTTTGCCCGCGCCAGCAGGTCCAGGGCCGCCGCGCCCATGCCGCCGCCCGCGGAGCCGTCGGCATGGAGGTAGGACGAGAAGGAGGATGCGGCTGACGACGAGGCCGCCGTCGCCGTGCTGGAAGGAGGCTTCGCGCGCTTCTGCATGTAGTCCCTACCGGCGCCCACCCCGTCAGCTCCCAGCTTGGCGACAATGTCCTTCTCGCGCTCGCGCTGGGCGATGCGCCGCTTGAGGGCCTCGTTACGCCCGAGCTTGTCCAGGAACTCGCCCTCGCGGTCCAGCAGCGCGGCTGAGCCGGCGGAGCGGCTGACAAAGACGCGCGACTGCGATTCTTGGTCGTAGTGACCGTGCTCGGCCTGCTTGGCCTTGTAGTCGTTGTACGCGCGCTTGTCCTTCTCGGTCCGGTACGAGCCCTGGCGCGAGTTGTGCTTCCACGGCTTGGAGGGGTCGTCAGACGCCTTCATCAGCTGCGCCATGAGCTTGCCAAAGCCGGGCCCGCTCAGCTCGACGCGGGCGCTGCGTGCCTTGCTGACGGCCTCGTTGGAGTGGAACTCGCAGTACTCGGTCCGCTTCGAGTTGACCCAGGTCGGGCACTTGGTGCCGTCGCGGCGCACAGACTGGCAATAGCCCAGGTCGCGTGCCGAGCCGACCTCGAGGATGGTGTCGCAGTCGGAGTTGATGACAATACTGAACTTGTTTGTCGCCTCGCGCCCCTTTGGGGGCGGCATGATGGTCGGGTTCAGAATCGCGAGCACGGTGCCCGGGGTAAGTTTCCAGAAGCGGTCGAACCCGGTATTAAACAGGAACAACTCCAGCTCAAAGGTGAAGTCAACGAGGGTCATGACCATGTACTTGCCCCGGTCACTGGCTTTTTCCTTGCCGTCGCTGTCCACCATGGGCTTGTGCGACTTGGGGTCCGACTTGGAAGCCAGCACGGCGAAGAGCACAATATCGCACTCGTCATCCGGCAGCGACCAATCTGGCGCCTTGACATGCCGAAGAAAATCCTTCATGAGGTATACCTTCTTGCCCGTTATTGACCTGGTGAGAACCTCGTGCGGCAGAATCCTCTTTTTGAGATGGAAACCCGAGTACGACTCAAATGAAGCGTCGTCTTTATCTTTCGGGTTGGACTTTGTTGCATCGGAATTGTCGGCGTCCTTGTCCCCATCGCTACCAACACCACCCGATCTGCCGCCTGCTTTGATGCTAGGAGCGGTATTGCTCCGCTTGAGGTAGCCCCCGCCGCTACTAGGTCCCTTTAGTGGCCTATTCTCAACCCCGACGATCTCGGCACGACTGTAGGTCTGTGGTAGGTCTGGTAGGTCTGGAAGTTCTGCAGCTGTGGTCTTGTACGATTCCATCTCGTCCTTTCCCACCGTAAAGGCGGCACTTCGTAGATTCTGCACCCTCTGCTGTTTCTCTAGGCGCTTGACCTCGTCCGTCCTAGCCATGGCAAGACGCTCGTTGAAGCTAAGGGGCCTCTGCGGCTGGCCGTCATCAAAACTAGACGTCCCAGTCACCCTAGATCGTTGTTGCTGCTGCTGGGTCTGGCCTTGCGACTGGCGCGCGTTGGACCCGGCCCTTTTCAACGACACATCGTGCGCCCTTAGCCCCTTGTCGATTCCGAGCGTGACTTTCAGAGGCGATCGTTGTTCCTGCTGCGGCGCGCGCCTCACGGGAGACGCGGGGACCTCAACAGAGGCCTGTTGCCTCCCTGTCTCTGCCAGCTTCTCCGCCCTCTCTGCCCTCGCGGCGGAAAACTGAGGCATTGCCCTCGAGCCCGAGCTCCCTTGCGCTCCCTGTGCTGTCCGTGAACCTCCGGCCTTCTGCAGTTTCTTCAGCTTCAGCTTGGCCTGGATCTCCTGCAGTTTGAGCTGCAGCATCTCCTCATCGTCGTCCGCATCGTCGTCGTCATAGTCGTCGCAGAAAGCGCCCGAGGACAGGTTCGGCGCGGTCCTGGACGGCCTCATCTTGGACGGTGACGGCGATGGCGAGGTGCGCTCGGCGAGACGTCGAAGGCGTTCGCGACCACCCGGCGTCCCCATAAGGGCCTCATGCGGAGAGCGGGGTGGCCATTGGGGCTCGGCTTCGGGCAACGGCATCGGGATCGGTCGAGGCGGGCTAGCCTGAGGTTGACAGTTTGGCGCAACTGTGACAGCGCGAGGGGGGAGGTCCCATAGGTAGAGCGGCGACTGGGAGAATGGGCATCAGGCCCACAACACCGCAGACGGCCAGGAGGTGGCGCGGTGCGACGGGTACGACGATGACTTCCCAGTTGTGAGAAATTTTCGGGCGTTGCTCGGTGACACAGACGCCGCCCGACGAGAATTGCGGCCCCGCCCGGGCTGGTGTTGCTGCTGGAGGTGGAACGACGGATGGATATAGGTCGGTACCTAGGCCGACACTACTTAGGTAGCAGTCTAGCAGTCTAGCGACGGCTGATGGGAGGGGGACCTCGATAAGGCTGATCGATAACCTCCTTCTGGGCTCCGTCGGCAGTTGGATTTCGATTGATTGAATCCTCTGTTGGCGGTCAGACGCACGCCTCGCGCGTCGACGCGACCCAAGATGTGGGGCAATCTCGACCATTTTCCGGGGGAGGCACGTGGGCTAGTGGGAACCCACCCATCATTTCATACACAAGAGTTAGCAGCCGTGCACCTGCCATTCATGGTTGTCAACCGCATTGGCAGGTGCTCGAACACATCAAGGCTCGGATTAACCTTCCGATTTATCAACACACTTCTCCTTCTCAGACGAACTCTTGCTTGTGATTAGATGAAATGCCATTCCTATACATGTTGGTTTATTGATACAAGAACAAGCCGTTATATTTTGCAGCCACTAACACGAGCCGGCAAAATGACTAGGGAATGTCGAAGATGTCGAAGATGTCGAAGGAGCGAGGACTAAGCACAGGGATACCAAAGCGATATCAACGTTATCAATGGCAAATGCCCGCTGCACATTAAATATATAAGGAATGCAAAATTGTACAGGATTTAATGCTTAACTATACGGCCGGGATTCCATTCTTCTTATTAACGGGAAGGTTTAAGCGAGCCCCAGCTCATAAGGCCAGCCGAGTCGAGATATCTTCGTTTGCGAGATTGAACATGTCGTTTAGGTAGTGGACTTGCTGGTCCCAAAAGGAACTGCTTTTACGGCAAGCATATTTTACTCGAAAGCACTGCTGCGCGGATCAAATCTCAAAGGGGCAAAAAAATATCGATAGTCGCGACCCCAGTAATTAACACAAAAAAATCACATGTGTAGTAGGATTATTTACTACATGCCCCAAAGCAACATAACTTTAGCAAAGCCCAGAGAGCCGGCTCCAGCTGGCAATCCAAGATCAAGAGGCTAATAGCCACAGCCGAGACTCGCGGCCAAAAACGATGGTTTAAATCGCATCGCATCCACCAACGTTAATGCATCCCCAAACCAGGTAACGAACGGCACATCGCTAGTTGCAAAAGAGAAAAAGGAAAGAAAAATAGATGCAAAAAAAAGCAAAAGCTCACTGCCCAGCCTCGGGGGTGGACAGCTACGAAACTCCCACTTGGGAGATTTTCTTCGCGACGGAAAATCTGACATAACCCCTACCGGGGATCGAACCTCGGTGCAAGAGGCTAACGTAGCGGAGTACAGGTAGGGTCCCGGTGTCGACTTGACCCATCCTCATAACCGCTACACCAACTTGGCCCCCGAGGTTCGATGTCTGCCAGAAGCTTGGCAGTGGGTTATAAGCTTTGCGTCACAGCAAGGATAGAAGCGAGGGAGGGCAGGTAGAGGTTAGATATCAGCACGTCCATCTTGAAGCCGCCCCATCTTAAACCACCTTATCCCAAATCGCCACAGCAGTATCTTGTGCCATGGTAAATGATTTGCTGCTCGCCTTCTTTTCTTTTGGTATTCACATTCTCTGCTAAATGGATTTTCCAGTGCATGGAATGGAAGAAAAGCCGGCGGCGTTGTAATAAAACAAATCGCTCGGTTACTTTCTGCTCCTGGTGATCATGTATATATGCTTGCCTCCAGGCATTTCTTTCATATGTCCGGTCACTGAAATTTCATCCCCTTCACGCACGCACAACCCGAAAAGCATGCCCTAAATCACAACGAGCATTGTCCATCCCCTGTGAAAACCCTGACTGCTAGGCGCAGTACCGGACTCACATTATAATCATCTTTGGTTAAGCTGAGCTGGTTGAACGTAAGTCCTTCGAATCGGGATGAATGTATTCTTGCTAGCAATTGGGCTGTTTCCCACAGGACTTATCTTCAACATCTGCACTGAGGAAAACTGTGCTTCTGTTATATCTAGCATTCACACTACCTGTCACCAGCAGAGATGTCCATATTTGTTTGAGCAGCCTAGTCGGCACCAACAAGCTTGACTAACAAGCGCCTAAGGCACAACAAGGAGAGAGTTACCTCTCCTAGATATCACACGCGGCGGATTAATTTTCTAGCCATGCTTTCCCTCCATCCCCCTTTCTTCCCTTAACTCCACGATGGCGATAATTTCTGTAGTGGCTTCGACGACGGATGCACGGTAAAGCTCATTCTTGTCCCAGGGATGCTTTGAAGAGTGTGCTCACTTGCAAATAACTGATCCGTCGTTTCCTTGTTATTTCGGACAGCGGAGCACCTAGTCTGTGCCCGATGCCAGCGGTATTCTCTATTTTTATTTCTTCGCACATACAGGTCTTTGGCAAGGGTTGGAGCGACGACGACCTCGATCAACAGATGTCGTTCGAGTGATAGTTAGCCGCATGCAATCCAAGTGGGGCACAACGACGCGTTTAGAATGGACAAAGACGCGTCGCAATTGATTGGCATTTTGAGTCGCGTTTAATTGATTAATCCCTGCACACACAAACAACTTGGACAAGCATCAGGGGTCATCGCAAGAGGCGTGCAACCCTGGCAAGCCCAGGCCCTGGATGCATCCGATTGTTGACGATGGAATTTGGAACATTGGCTTTGATGGCTCGGTCCTCATTCACATCCTCGCTTCTGTATTTTGGATACAGCACACCATATTGATCATCCAACAGCCGGCATCATCCAATAACACCACAGCCGTGTCGATCCATTTTTGGATATTTTCAGACTTTATATTGCCCAATATCAGCACCCCGCGCGCAGATGGCCAGGACACGGTCCACCAAAGCCGCGACGGCGACGGCCAAGTCAAAGGCCAAGCCCTCCGAATCCGTGACGGCCTCGAGGCACATTCTATCCTCCGAGTTCGAGAACCCGTCTAGGCTGCTCATCCTCCCCAAAGATGCAACGCCCGACGCCCGCATCGTCTCGCTCCCGAACCCGCGCTACCCCAAGCCGACCCGGTACCTGGTATGCCCCAGCACGGGCATCTACGAGTTCACAAAGATCGCCGCGCCAAAAGCGACGCCGCGCAGCTGGCTGGTGGCCCAATACGGCGATGGCGGCAGTCCGGCCGCGCGCCATGTCGGCGACGACGACGACACCAAACAGTCCGAGCGGCGCTTCCGGGCCGAGCTCGTCAAGAGCCCCGAGCTCTTCATCGCGTCCAAGATCGACCCCGTCTTCCTCCTGCTCCCCGCGCTGGCCGCCCAGCCGGCGGGCGGCAACAAGTCGTCCGGGGGGTCCGGCAAGCGCATGTTCCTCTCGAGCGACTCGCACCTCGACCGTCTCGTCGAGGGCGACTCGCACCTCGGCGAGGTCCTGCGCTGGGAGGGCACGCGCGAGCTGCTCGAGGGCCGGATGGCCTGCGTCTGCGACACGGTCGACGCCGGCGACGAGTCCATGTTCCGCCTCAGCGAGGATAAGCTGCTCGAGGTCCTGCTGTCCAAGGCGAGGCGCGTCTCGCTGCCCAAGAGCATGCACGAGAAGTTCGTTACCAAGGCTCTCGAGGCCCCCGTGCTGGGGCAAAGGAGTGCGGCTGCCCCCAAGCCGGCGCCGCAGTCCACAGACCAGACGGACGCGGAAGGTGACTCGGCAGACTCTCAGTCTTCGGCCGCGACGGCCGGCTCGTCAACAACCGCCGCGTCAGACGCATCAACCGCTGCTACCTCGGTGGGAGGAGACGCTGCCGAAACCGCCGACGAGGTGACGGCCGCCATCACCGCATCGAAAGAGGTTATCCAGCTGCAGCAGCTGCGCGTTGCGTTCAACTTCATTTGCTCCAGCTACGTCCCGCCCGCATTGGTGGTTGTCCTAAGGGAGCTCCTTGCTGCCAAGGGGCAAGGGACGGTCGACTTTGCGCCGCTGGACGAGTACCTGGCACACCTAGCGAAACTGCGCCAAGAGGCGACGCTGGCTAGGTCGGCTTCGGACTTTTCGCGTAAGAGGGGCCATGACGAGGAACAGGAGGAGCGCGCTGAAAAGAAGAGGAAGAAGGACGAGGAGGAAAAGCGCAAGAAGGCGAACGAGAGCAGGGGCGTAAGAGATCTGAAGAAGGTCAACGTCAGTGGCATGAAGAAAATGAGTGATTTCTTCAAAAAGAAGTGACGGAAGTTCTTTTTGCATCTAAAACCTTGCGTTGTATGATAAGACATGGGTTGGACTTCGTGCCGATACAGGGCCGTGTTTCCAGGATAAGGGGTTGGAGTTTGGGTTCAGGTTTGTACAATGGTATCTGCTGATTCTAGAGGAATTCGTACATGTAAGAGGAGATCATCCTCGGCTCGAGACGGGTATATGCCGTGGTTGGTTACCTTCCCAAATTGAGCTCAGACGAGCCCAGGGCAATACACAGACGGTTGACACTGGCTCATCACTGCGCTCCCCTCCCCCTCGCGGCTCCGTGCGTTACTTTTGTAGCGCCGAATCCCCTACCTATGCCGGATCCTGCCCTCGACGAACCGTAGACGCGGGACGAAGCGGTGCTCGAGCTGGCCCCGCCGCGCGCCGACACCCCTCTGGAGGCCCTCGTGCCCCTTACTCCACGCGTACCACCCCGCGAAGAGCCCGACGCGGCGCCGGCCTCCCTCTGTCGCTCGGTCTCCTCGGCGCGCCGGCGAACCTCCTCCCTGCGGCGCTCCTCCTCGGCGGCCCTGCGCTGGGCGGCCTGCTGGCGCTGCAAGGCCTCGGCCTCGATAGCCTCGATGTCGTCTGTCGCGCCCTTCCAGTCCGGATTTAGAATCAGGCGTTGGTTGTGCTCGGTCTGCGACAGTATGCGCGTCCACGTGTTGAGAAGCGCGGACGCATTGTCGACGGTGCGGGAGACGGTCTGTAGGGGGGCGCAGTGCGGGATGGGGGTCGTCAGCCTGCAGGCTCAGGAAGAGACGGACGGGAGCAGCCGAGGAGCGCAAAAAGCAGCCTCCTTCCTATGCGTTTCCGGGGTTCGGTCTGGGGGGAGTGCCGTGGTGGTGGGACGCACACCCATGTTGCCCTTGGCCCTCTCCAGGGTGCTGATTACGCCCTCAATGACCTCATTGATGTTGCGGACCCCTTCTAGCTCGCGGCGCAGCGCCGCCTCCCGCGCCTCTGCTGCACCAAAGCGGCTGCCGCCCTGGTTGTTAGAAGGGGTACGAGGCGCAGCATTGCCGCCGGCGGAGAAGCTCTCGTCGTCCGCCTCGGCCTTGACTGGCGACGATATCAGGTCGCTTTCGTCGAACGAGTTGGGCATTGCGACGCTATTCTGGGGCGGCGAGGGGTGATTTGCGGGTGATCTGTGCGGGAGTGTTTTTGCGTCGAGCTAGCATGACGTGGGAGGTGGGGTGGGGCCCGTTGGCTAGCCGCCGCTGGCTGCAACCTCTGTCGCGTAGGCGACGCGAATCGACGCGTCGTACTGCATTGACACGCTCAGCTTTGGTTGCTTGGTGGCAGCGGATAGGCGGATTGTTGTGGGGCCACTAATTATGGGGCGCGAAAATCCGGCATGGGTCGACCTCGTGGCCGCCAGTCGACATCCCCCAGCCCAGCCTCTTTCTTCCGCTCAAGCCCCCAGCCTCCTTTCTTTCATGGTAACCCAACGCCCCAGAATCTAAACCAACTGCCGGGTCCTCCCCCCGACAACCCTCCAAAACAATCACCACTTTTGCGCATTACCTGCCTCGATATCGCGAAACGACCGACCATTTTTGTTTTTACGCATTCCTATACCGTTATTACTTGGACGACCCCTTTTTTCGACGTGCCAAACTCGATTTGTGGCGGGAATTAAACGGTCGATTTTTGGGCAACCCGAGAGTGTTCTGGGTTTCCAGCTCTGATCGACGAGAAAGGTTTTGCGCCGCGAGCAAACTGTCTGGCGGTTCTTGCCTCGGATAATTTTTGGATGAGGGGAATCTGACAGTCGTTTGAGACGTTGGTTTTTTTGGACTTCCCGGGCTATTTGGGTACTTCGGCCCGCCGCACCAGCCATGGCGACCTTTACTGCCACCACCCCATCTCCGCCTCCCACCGTCCGCACCCCCAACACCCCGCGATTTGGATACGGAGATTCTTGGGAGCCCTATTCACCTCGCAAGTCGGCGCGCATTTCATCTCAGAGATCATCATCAGCCCGCACCCCTTCGCCTCAGCCAGCTAAAGCATCTCGTCCGATCACGCGCCCTCCCCGATTCACCATCACCCGATCGTCTCCATCAAAGGAAAAGCCAAAGGACAAGGCGCCCACTGCCAACCCAATGGCCTCGCCAGCGCCGTCGCCCAGGAAACGGGCGCATCCGTCCAAGCAGGCAATGGCGCCGCCGGCGCCGTCGTCGGATGCGCTGACCTTTGAGGACCCTCGCCATGCTGCAGTATTCCTGGGTCCTTCGGGCGGAAAACAGCAACCGCCCGCGGTGCACGGCAACACGCGCATCTCGGCGCAGGCAGGCATGCTGCCCACTCCCTCCAAGACACCTAGCCGGAAGCACGCGGAGCAGAATGAGGCAAACATCGCTGCCATTTCCCGTAACCTGTTCCCTTCCGAGGACGATGTCGTTCCCAACCCGAAGCAGAAGCGCCCAAAGAAGTACACGGGCGTTTCAATGAGCAGCTTCACTGCTGTCGATGTTGAGGAGCCCATTCAGATCTTCACCGACTCCCACGACCGGGTCCCAGAGGTCGATCGCAGCATCGACAACCCTTTCCAGGCGGGTGACCGCCCTCCGGTGGACGCCGATCCTATTAGACGTAGGAGCAAGCGCAAGACCGTTGTCGTGCCAGGAGAGGGACATTCGACCGTTGACGATGCGATGAACCATGAAGACGGCCTGGTCTATGTCTTGTAAGTTTTGACGCTGGTTGTACGAGTCCGATCAATCACCGCCTGATATCACCTGCTAACTTTTCATCACAGCCGCGGCAAGAAGATATTCCGCAAATTTGTGGACAGGGACGAGGAGGACGAAGACCTCCCCGACGATGCCGGCGAGGGAGCCTCGGGACTCCAGGGTCGTCGCAACATGACGCGCTCGTCCATCAAGCCAAGACTCCTCTTCCCGCCCGCGCCCAAGGCCAAGAGGCCCTTGGACTCGGATGTTGAAGATGAAGAGGAGGCCGACACGGACATCGAGGACCATGCTCAGAGCACGGATCTGCTGGATGAGCAGCCTATCACCCCGACTGAGAACATCAAGGACAAGGCCCCAGCTACACCCAGCGCGCCGAGGTTCGCGCCCTTCTCACCACCGAGCACCACCAGCCGCACCACTCGGTCCGCGCAGAAGCAGGCTGATCAGGCGTCGGCAAAGCCCCTACCCGGCGTCCGCAAGACCCGTCGCAGTCCCTTCGACAGCTGGCAGCGTGTCAAGAGCGCCCCGGACGCCACCGCGCCTCCCAAGTCTAACAAGAGGGCTGGTGATCCACTGCCACCTGCTGTCAACGCGAAGCGTACTCGGTGCTAAGCCGAACACAACAGCGACGGTCATGGGTCAAGGCGTCTGGCTTATTGGTTTGGTTGAGAACGGATTGCGATGATATGTACCCTACTTTTTTCTAATATCCCCTTGGCCAACTTCGGTTCTTCCTCTTTTCTCTCGGCGAGCCAACAGCCGCCGATTTACCTATGGTTCGACTGGCTGCTCAGGTAGGGCACAGCGTGGAGGAGAATGCTCTGGCCGTTTGTCTGAGAGGAGCTCCTGCCGCAGATAAGGACGACCCAGACACGATTGGAGAGCTTCTTGCGAGAGGAGGCTAGTCTTGGTCATTCTTCGATGCTTTGTTCTGGTGTCTTGTTCTTTTGTTTTCCTTTCCTCTCTTCTCTTTTCCAAATCAACATCACGAGCATTGAGTGTATGGGGCGTCTATTCATTTCAGAATATGGGAACAAGAGGCATAGCCCATGGGCATGGTATCTGAACATGTCATCACTGTCAGATTGAATACCTAGACATGGGCGGTTTGAGGCGTTAGATATGCCGTTAGGTAAACAGGTAGATAGCACGAGGCCCGCAGGACTTGGTGCCTGTGAATCTCTCCAAATCCCACTAACCTCGTAACAATGGGGCGTTCCATCGATCGGGTTGTTTGTGACTTCTGCGCGGGTCTACCTACCTACAACCTTGGTACGTAGTAGACGCCAGCATAGCACCGACGTGTCACGCCTCTCGCCGGGGCCGGTCAGGTCAGCCCGAGATTGGGCGCTATGCGGTTGGCCAGGGACCGCCGGAGCTGTGCAGCTTCATATCCATCCTCAACGTCATGCGGCAAGGACGACTAGCCAGGCCTAGCGCAAGCGCTGGCAGAGTGGAGCCTGCAGTGATACTGTGCCGTAAATCGTAGGTCAGGTACCGCTTGACGATGGCGATTTTGGATGACGCTAGACCCGATCTTTCAGAGGCTGCCCCGCGAGAAAAGCTGCTGTGGGCTAGGGATTGTAAAGAGGGTGGCGGCAGCACGACATGACGATGAGACGGGACTGACGTAGACTGCGACTCTTGTTGTCCGCCCTTTCCGCATGTAAATACTCTAGCAGAGGCTATCTAGTTCTAAAACGGTGCAAGACAGACGCAGAGTCAGCAGTCCCCGGCGAAATCCATCACAGGCAGCCCCTCCATTGGAAGCTCCGAGCGCGGAGGTGTGCGAACATTTAGACTGCTGTGCTCCACATAGCCCACATAGAGCTTGTTCTTCCAGGCTTTCGCTACGCCAGGGCAAGAGCAACCAGGAGAGCTCGAGAGTGGAAGCAGCAACAGCAGCAAACGCCAGGACCGGCATCAAGCGCCACCCACCACCCACACCCGCAGCCATGCACATCCTGGTCGTCAACGACGACGGCCCGCCGAGCACGCACTCGTCGCCCTATGTGCACACGCTGGTGCGGGCGCTCCAGGCGGCCGGCCACCTGGTCTCGGTGTGCCTGCCGCACACGCAGCGGTCCTGGATCGGCAAGGCACACCTGATCGGCCAGACGGTGCGGCCGACCTACTACCGCCCGCCGCCCCTGCCGGCCAACCCGGCCGGCCTAATCTTTGGCGAGGGCGTGCCCGAGAGCGTCGGCAGCACCCACCGCCACCCGGCCCGGAGGCGGAAGCCGGCCGGCGGCGACGGGGCCGAGCCCGAGCCCGGGCCCGAGGTGGAGGAGTGGGTGCTCGTCGACGGCACGCCGGCCAGCTGCGTGCAGATCGGGCTGCACCACCTCTTCGCCGAGCGCGGGCCCGTCGACCTGGTGCTGAGCGGGCCCAACTACGGCCGCAACACGACGGCGCTCTTCGCCCTCTCGTCGGGCACGCTGGGCGGGGCGCTCGAGGGGGCCGCGTGCCGCGCAAAGTCCGTCGCCGTCAGCTACGCCTTCTCGACGCGCAACCACGACCCCGTCATCGTGGCGGGCGCGTCGCGGCACGCCGTCCGCGTCGTCGAGGCGCTCGTGCGCCAGTGGCCCGTCGACGGCAGCGTCGACCTATACAGCATCAACGTGCCTCTCGTCGAGGGCGTCGAGAAGGGGCGCACGCTCTGGACGGGCATGCTGCAGAACTACTGGGCCGGTGGCGGCTGCTTCACCGCCGTCGAGGGCATCGCCGACGAGGACGAGGAGGAGGAGCGCATCCGCGAGGGTGCCGGCGGCGAGGCCCAGGGCGGCGCGCCCGCCGAGCCCGCCGCCAACGAGGAGGGCGTCGAGTATATCGGGAGGGTGCACAAGAACTTCAAGTGGCACCCGCGCTTCACCGACGTCTACAAGAGCGTGGACGATGCCCCGCCTGGAAACGACGGTTGGGCAGTCAGAGAGGGCCATACCAGGTGAGTTTATGCTTGCGCAACCCTCGCAGTCGCAGAGATGTTAAGGGATGGATAAGTGAGTATTCCTCCTTCAAACGCCATGTTCTAACCACTATTCCGGCCCAACAGTGTAACGGCCCTGAAGGCGAATTTCTGGCACGCGGCCACGCACCTGCATGAGAAGGAGCTGCAGTTGTGAGTGCCTTGTCGTTCTTAATCATCTTTGTCCCAGAAACAGGAGTTTGGGCAGCACCTCGACGGGCATGAGTGAAGACCATGAGCCCCCTTTCCCACCATGGGCAGAGACAACTAGCGCAAGGCCCCAAAAGGTTCAAAACGGAGGGCCTTGGCACTACAACAGTCTTAGCATAGAACAGGCCAACTAGAAACCGGCGCACAGACATTCACCCTAGGTCCTATTCGGCTTGTCGCCTGCTGCCCACCAGTGCTGTGTTGTATTTCCTTTGTCCTGGTTCTTACCATTTTTCTCATGCAGGCCACCTCTAGACCAAGATTCAAGCATCGTCACTCTTTCACTCCGAGGAGGAGGACTTTCTTCACAGGGACTGGAGTCTGGCGACCTGGCTATTTCGACTAATAATACTAAGCCCGGAAGCGATGGCAAAGTTTCGCAAGACAGCGCGGGCAAGCTCTACGCCCTGGTCGCCTATGAAGACCCATACGTTCAGCCCCTCATAATGGAGGCTCTTAACACTGTCCTACCCAAGGACAGTTACGTCCCGATCAATGCACCGCCATGTAGCAGCGACGAAAAGGACGAGGCGATCAAGATAGAGAGCCTCCTGCCCAGCCCAGGTGCCAAGGTTCTGCAGATCACACCCTACGAGGCCATAGACTTTACGTTTGGTGCCGCCCATGTCGACAGCATGCTGTTCAACAGCTACGTGTTCCGCAAAGCGCTGATCCGCAAGCACTTCCTCTCGGCCACTGTCGAAGCGTGGGTCACCAAGCACCCAAACTCGGTGCTGGCAGACCACTTCAAGCCGGGCACGGCCTTCGAGGTCGACTACGCCGAGTTCCTGGACGATGCGCTGGTCGAGGCTTGGGACCTCCGCGCCAGTCTGGAGCGTAACGAGGCGGCTGCCACTACGGACGGCGACAAGGAGTGGTGGATCCTCAAGCCCAGCATGAGCGACCGCGGCCAGGGCATCAGGCTCTTCAGCACCATGGAGGAGCTGCAAGGCATCTTTGACGAGTGGGACGCAGACCTGCCCGACAGCGACGATGAAGGCGAGGGCGAGGACGTGGAGGGGGAGGCGGAGGCCTCCAGTGGAGCAGGAGCCGCTGCAACTGCCAGCGGCGGCGGGGACGGTAACGGCGACTACATCACGACGGCGCACCTGCGGCACTTTGTGGCTCAGCCGTACATCCACCCTCCCCTGCTGCTGCCGCAGCACGACGATCGCAAGTTCCACGTCCGGACCTACGTGGTCTGCGTCGGCAGCCTCAAGGTCTACGTCTACCGCCGCATGCTGGCCCTCTTCGCTGGCAAGACCTACTCGCCGCCGTCCGCGGGCGCCGCGGACCTGGACGCCCACCTCACCAATACATGTCTGCAGCAGCAGCAGCAGCGTGACGACCCAGACGCCGCCAAGGGTGGCTTAGCTGCTGGCGCCGCCGCTACCGAACCTTTGGTGCGCGAGTTTTGGGACCTGCCCGACGCCCTGGGCGGCGTGCGAGAAGGGGAGGGAGAGGCGGCTGTTACAAAGGACTCTATATTTGCGCAGATCTGCGACGTGACGGGCGCGGCGTTCGAGGCGGCGGCGCGCGGCATGATGATGCACTTCCAGCCGCTGCCCAACGCGTTCGAGGTGTTTGGCGTCGACTTTCTGGTCGACGCCCGCGGCGGCGCCTGGCTTCTCGAGGTCAACTCGTTCCCGGACTTTAGGCAGACCGGGGACGACCTCAGGGGCGTGGTCGCGGGCCTGTGGGAGGGCGTGGTGCGCCTCGCCGTCGTCACCTTCTTCTACTCTCCGTCTTCGTCCTCCCCGTCCGCGGAACCACCCTCGTCCCTGCCGGCGACGGATGCATCAGGGGGTGGCGATATGGTGCTTGTGAAGGACATCGATCTTGGTCGGCGGTGGGGCCCCTAGCTGCTGCTGCGGCCCTACACATGGATAGGTCGACGTTTTGCTGGGCGGCCATGCGTCTCGACTAGGTATGTGGTAGGTAGGCAGATAATGCTTGATGGCTGAGCTTACTAGCTTATTGTCTACTCTACTTGCTATCCTGATTTCTCGGTCCATGTGGGTTCTTGCATATGACAAAGAGGGCCGGGCGGACATTTGGCGGGGACGGCATGATGGGCCTGGGTCTGAAGCGCTCAGCAGTACAAAAAGACAAACTGCCTATCGGAATGGAGTTAGAGCTCGGAGAGAAGCACCGCACCTCCGACGTGACTCTATCTGATGAGGTGAGACGGGCTGTTTGCATCCCGCGCACCACTCCTCAACATAAGTCCATGCCCGCCTGCCTGTCTCGGTCAGCGGGGACGAGAGAATGTCCGCCGGATGCAAAGAAGAAAAGGCCAACAAAACGGACACCTGTAGTGGCTATGATGGCTCGCATTTGACGTGTGTCACGGAGATGTTTGGGCGCGAGGTCGGCAGGAGCTTCCTCCTTGAGCCGATAATAAAACCAGGGCGTCTCCTCTATGCCATGCTTCCCACACCGCATGGTCTGCATGCCACCCGGACATGGTCAGGGGTTCCAAGGCCTCTCAACCAGAACCGAAGCTATCTAACAGCCGGCTTCCGCCACCGAGAGACTTTTGTAGAGTTGAGGCGGTGTCTTCGGAGGGTGTATCTATATCCGGGAGGTGGAAAAGAAAAGCCATGGTTCTCTACCAAACAGAAAGCAGACAAGGACCGCCTCCCAAACAAACAAAAAACAAAAACATTTGATTGATGGTGATGATTCAGTCTCTCCGTGCCCCCTCGGCCAGACATATGAGCATGAGCAGTTTTGCCGGGTTTGGACATTCCGGGAGACTCGCCAAGACAACACGATGACACAGACTGCAACGGCCTCTCGGCAGGCGAGACGATGCGCGCCCATAGCTTCCCGCCAACAAAAAAAAATGCGCGCTAGATTGCACAGCCTCAATGCCGGGCGGGGGGGGGATGAGTTTTCACTTCCCGTAGATGGTTCTGGATCGCAGGAAACCCCCGAGGCCGAGGGGCTATGATGGATCGGCGAGCGAACCTCTGGCGTTTGAGAGGATCTTCACTCTTCACACGCACGCACGCACGCACGCACACCAGTAACAACCCCACAGGCACATTTTACCGAGCGCGAGGTTTCCTTGGTTTTGCTTGGCGAATCGGACCACCTCCTTTTGGGTTGTGATTCGCGCAAACCTGTAGAGAGTTGCTGCTCAGCCACAATAATGCTGGGGCCGGATGCATCAAATACCAGTTTGTCTTTCTAAGCGAATGGCCACCTCAAGGTGCCCTTGGGCGGCAAAGAGGAAAGCGCGAAAAAAAAGAGACAGTTTCGCCATTGACTTTTGTGACCCAATGAAGTTGACTTTGCCCCCCGTTCTAGGCATATCAGATTGTTTTATGTTGAGTCTCCGCTGCACCTTCGACCCTTCTCTATGCGCCCCTTTTGGCATCTTGTTGATGCGCATTCGAGATAATAAAGGGGACGCTTCCTTTTCCAGGAGGCCTCTCCCCATCTCGATGCGGAATGGGGCCGAGATTATCCGGCCGTGTCCTGGTATCGATCGGCCTGCCATTATCGGACACCTAAACCGCGGCGGTGATATAGCCCAGCGGGGGCTTCGGGAAACAAGAGGACCCATGCTTAAATGGCTCTTGGGATGAGTTGTTCAGGCAGCGGTGCAGCCGAAGGCCGGGATGTGCATACAAGAAATCCGGCCGGCAAGCAAGCACGGGGTGCATGGGTCTGTGCGGTTCGTCTTGTTTTCTCGTTGCATCCTCGGTTAAACTAGGGGATTCTTCAAGTCTGCCTTTTACCAAGCAGCACTTTGAGAACGAGGCAAACGTCACAACATGACGTTTTCAATTCGCCCGTCTTGGCGGCCATTACGGTCGCCAATTTCATGCATGTATGGTCTTCTTGCGAGGCGGAACAGGGCAAAAATACAACAGAAAAACGCAGAATCGGGCGCACGCTGTCTCGGACCGTCGAAACCCCGCGGCCTCGGCTGATGGGCTGGCTTAAATTGATCACGAATCGGTAGGTACTTGATACCTGTCCCAGGTCATGCTCCAGTCGCGCGCCCTGCGACCCGGACGGCGCCAAGTCGAACGTCGATCATGGGTGCGGGGGACGGAAGCCGTCTTTGACAGGTTTCTGCTCATTTGGGGCCAAAACTAGAGGCTGGCTGAGGTAACCGCCCCGATTATTGTTTTGTGTTTCGAGCGCTGGAAGTTGGTCGATTCGGCGAGATGGTGGGCAGAAAAGCCGGCTGCCAGACGTCATTATATTGCCAAGACCAACAAGAGAGAACAAATAAATAAAATAATAATAATAATACCAAGGACCGCTGGAGATGCCAGCGTGCATGCCCAGAGCGCTTGACGGACTGGACTCCCGACAGGCAGACCGTTCTTTTGATCCCGGACATGGTGTGGCTTGGAGGTGTAGGGAAAGCTTGAATCCCGTTGTTTTGCAGCTCTGGCCCGTGATCCCCTCATCCTTCGTCTTCTCTCTTCTTCGGTGCCGCCTTCTTCGTCGCCTTCCAGCACTCAAGGTGCGGACGGCATGTGACGCCACATCAGACGAACACCAGGTCCTTCTATCAGCCAGCCTCGGCACTGGCCCGCCCATCCGTCCGATTCTTCACAGGCATGGATATGAAAAAAAAAAAAAAAAACAAGTCGGGAAGGAGCACACCTGGCTGGCTCGCAACGAGTCGGTCGAGATGGGTCGGTTTGATGATGCGGAATAGCCCTCCAGCCCAAGGGCCCGAAAGATTCAATGGGAATCTCCACTATAGAGCGGGTCCTCGTAACGGGAGTCTTCCATTGGCCAGCCCATTTTGAGTCCTCTTTTTTTTTTCGATTCCTAAACACTGCTTGCGTGAGATGGTCGTGCGCCTGAAGCGACATATCGCCACCCTCCGTGATGGGAAGGCCCGCTCGCTGCCGTGCGACATCTGCAGCTTCGATTAGACCCTGACCACGATTAGATGGCGAGACTTTGATATCATGGACTCCAGACTCAAAAAGCCCCCAATACACCAATCTCTCACGTATCTCCCCAATGTCGCTATGTGCGATACACGACAAAGCCGTACATTCCCTGCGACCTCGTCGACTCGCGGGAGCACAAGAACCAAAGTGCTTTCCACGAAACGCAGCACAGCCACCACGGCACAACTACCTACCTCATTAGGCAGGTAAAGTAGTCTCGAATATTATGTTGATGGTGTCTCCCCAGACATAGCACCGTCTCCGTGATCGTCGCCCGCCAGGTCGTCGTGACCTGCTGTCTCGGCCCCGCCTCTCCCACCTCGTCTTGGTGGAAACTGCCTACAGGGACTTTACCAAACATCGCCTGATCTTGCGTTTTGGCTGGGTTGGGCATTTTTCCTCGCTGCCGTGGTCCCAGTGAGATGCCTGTCCTGGATGGAGCGTCCATCTTAGGGCTGGCTTGAACAACGGAGCGGACATCAGGGGTCCATCACAATGGACTTCCATCGCCTGCGCCTGGCGTCGGCGAGCCACCACAGCATTTTCCTTTCTTCCATCCCTTCTCCCTATCTCTCCTCGCGCTGCCCCTTCCCGACCCCAGAATTCGATGCTTGTTTGAGACCGGGCGCCAATGGCACCGTCAACAGAAGAGCAAAAGACACAGCTTCTGCACTCGCTTCCGTCTGCAAATCTCGCGAGGGATCGTGTGGGTGCGCGCAGGGGATTTCCTCCCTCAGCATCGACGCTTGCGGTGGGAATCGTGCCCGGTCCCCCCCCCATGTTACATTTTTAGTGGCCGTGATTGGGTCAGCGCCATTTGCACTGCCTCACTTGGCAATTAGGTTGGCAAATGGGGAGGTAGCTTTGGTTGCCATGTGGGGCAGAGTTACCAGGGGGCGGGTGCGACCGACCACCAGAGGTACCTGCTCTTGTCAGGGTTGCATGTCTCGTCACTTCCTGCGCATTCAATGTCAATCTCCCAGCCTGTTGTCGCCCGCGTTGTTTGCCCTTCCGCCTTGAGTGTTGAGCGAGGCACAGACAAAGCTGCCTGGGTTCTTAGGTTATATCATCTCGGGGCCCTGCTCAGACCGCTGCCAGTATCTGGCCTGCTGGTCTTGGACGCTTCTCCACTCGCTCGCTATCCTACGGCTCGGTGCTTGCAATGGTCCCATCTTAGCCTCCCATCGTTACTACTTTGCCGACCGCCGAAGGGCTTCTGGGAGAATATGATCGTGGTCTCCCGTTGCTCTGACATCTCCTGCTCACAATAGCTCTGCTCACAACCGCACGCTCACCAGGCGCTAGACTGCGGTCTCTTTGAGCGGAGCACGAGTGGACGCCTGCCCGACGCCCTCCCGTCTGGACTTTGCCCGGTGGCCGGCCCGAGTCTGAGGCAGCTTGCTCCGCCCACACCTGATCCTCGAAATCCCCACGACGCCTCTCCTCTGTCCTGCCCGACCGGCAAAGGACAGATCCTGGGAGAGCTGGACTTTTACGTTACGCGCCTCTGGCTGCGGCACGCACCGCGCGTCAGACCACTCTTGTGTTGAGAAACACCGCTCCTACCCGAGGGCTCTGGGGCAAATCGAAATTTGTTTGCCCCCTTGCACAGCCTCACAGCAGAGGCCTCGGAGACCTCCCTTAGGACCGACTACGAACAAAATCCCCGGACCGCGCCCGTGTCATCCTCTCTACGTGTCCTGCGACGGCTGAGTTGGTGACGCTGACCCACGACCACGACCACGGGCCTCATTGGACAGAGACATTCTCGTCTGACCTGAAGACGCCTGACCATCATGGCGGGCAGCAGCGATGACGGATCCCCGGCTCCTAGGAGAGCGCGAGCGTGAGTTGAAAATCCTGCTTATGTCCTGGGCGCAACATCTGGGGAGTATTGGACCGCATGCATGCTAACTGTACACTTGACAATGCGACCCAGCCCGACAATCACTATAGACACCACCGCTGTCGGTGGCTCCGCACCCGTGGACATGTCTTCCGACAGACAGGCCCAGGCGCAAGGCCAGTCCAACTCGCCAGTGTCTCCCACGGACAAGGGTGATATCTCTCCGGCGACCGTGGTGGACCCGCTAGCCCGGAGTTGGACCGGGGGCCATTCGGCGCGCAGCTCTATCAGTGGCCGGCCCGATTTCCAGACCTCACCCTCGTTCGAGAGCAAGGAAAGCCGTCCGACCAGCCCACATAATGTGTCGAGCCCCTCGAGGGCAAACGAACGCACCCAGGGCTTCCTCGCCGTCCCGCGCAACCACAGGTCTCGGCAGAACTCTGTCGACTCGGATGATGGCTCAAGGTCCATGACGTCGACGCAGGGCGAAACCATCGCCGTCTCGGGCTCGTACAGCACCGAGAAGCCCCGGAAATCGACCGACATGCCGTCTAATGATAAGATCAGGAACGACCCCAACGCCCTCAAGCCGGACCTGGGCAAGGAGGAGTCGTTTGTGGTTACCAATAACCCATTTGCCTTCAGCCCTGGTCAGCTCAGCAAGATGTTCAACCCCAAAAGCCTGTCAGCATTCTACAAGCTTGGTGGTCTGAACGGCTTGGAAAAAGGCCTGCGGACCGACCGCAAGGCCGGCCTGAGTCTCGACGAGCTCAACGTTGACGGTGCCGTCTCTTTCGAGGAGGCAACGAATACGCCCAACGCGAAGTTGATGACCGAAGGCGCTGACGCCCCTCGTCGACCGCCGTCGCGGGCCGCCGACGGACATGCCAGAAATCACGAGCCCTTCTGCGACAGGAAGCGGGTGTACAACGACAACAGGCTACCAGAGAAGGAAGGCAAGACGTTGCTGCAACTGATGTGGATCACCTTCAACGACAAGATCCTGCTCTTGCTGTCTGGAGCCGCCGCCATCTCGCTTGGCGTCGGGCTGTACGAGACATTCGGCCCCAGGGAGCACAAGACTGGGCCCGCAGTTGAGTGGGTTGAGGGCGTGGCAATCATCGTGGCCATCGTCATCGTCGTCCTCGTCGGTTCGCTCAACGACTGGCAAAAGGAACGTCAGTTCGCGAAGCTCAACAAGAAAAAGACGGACCGGCTTGTCAAAGTGGTGCGGTCCGGCAAAGCACTTGAGATGTCCGTCTTTGACGTTTTGGTCGGTGACGTGATGCATCTCGAAACGGGCGATATGATCCCTTGCGACGGAATCCTGATCGAGGGCCACAACATCAAGTGCGACGAGTCTCAGGCCACGGGAGAATCCGATCTTATCAGGAAGCGAGGCGCCGAAGAGGTCTATTCGGCAATCGAAAACAACGGCGACCTCAAAAAGATGGATCCTTTTATCCAGTCTGGTGCTCGTGTTATGGAGGGTGTCGGCACGTTCCTTGTTACGGCTACTGGCGTGAACTCGAGCTACGGCCAGACCCTCATGTCGCTGCACGATGATCCCGAGATCACGCCGCTGCAATCCAAGCTGAACGTCATCGCCGACTACATCGCCAAGCTCGGAGGCGCTTCGGCTCTGCTCCTGTTCGTCGTCCTCTTCATCCGCTTCCTCGTCAACCTCCCCAACGAGCCCCCTTCGGTCACTCCGGCCATGAAGGGCCAGAGCTTCCTCGGAATCTTCATTGTTGTGGTCACCATCATCGTTGTTGCCGTGCCCGAAGGCTTGCCGTTGGCTGTAACTCTGGCCCTCAGTTATGCCACGGCAAAGATGGTGAAGCAAAACAACCTAGTGCGCCAACTCAAGGCTTGCGAGGTTATGGGCAACGCGAACACTATCTGCTCGGACAAAACCGGTACTCTCACTCAGAACAAGATGAAGGTGGTGGAAGGCACGGTGGGCACTACCCATCGCTTCAGCGCCGACGCAGGCTTGGATCCCGAGCCGGGCTCGCCCTCAACCGAGAGCAAGCCTCTCAGCCCCACCGAGTTTACTGGTCTGCTGAGCGCGCCTGTCAAGGACTTGTTTGTTCAATCAGTTGCCCTCAACTCGACTGCTTTCGAGGGTCAGGTTGACGGCGAGGAGAGCTTCGTGGGCTCCAAGACAGAGACGGCGCTGCTTCTCTTCGCCCGCGACCATCTCGGCATGGGTCCAGTCAACCAGGAGCGCGAGAACTCCAAGACGCTCCAGCTGTTCCCCTTCGATTCTGGCCGCAAGTGCATGGGAATTGTCGTGCAGCTCCCCAACGGAAAGGCACGGCTTTACGTTAAGGGTGCCTCTGAAATCCTCCTCGGAAAGTGCACCCACATCCTGCGCGATCCTTCCAAGGACGCCACAGCGACGGCTATCACCGAAGACAATATGAATGGGCTCAAGATGCTTATCGCGAGCTATGCCCGCAAGTCTCTCAGGACCATTGGCCTTTTGTACCGCGATTTCGATCGCTGGCCTCCGGCACGCGCGAGGCGCCACGATGGGGATTCCGATGAGGTCGTGTTCGAAGACATCTTCAGGCACATGACGCTGCTGAGCATCGTGGGCATCAAAGACCCCCTGCGCGAGGGCGTCCGCGAGGCCGTGAAGGACTGCCAGCGCGCTGGTGTGGTTGTGCGCATGGTCACTGGCGACAACGTCATGACGGCCGAGGCCATTGCTCACGACTGCGGAATTCTGCAGCCCGACAGCATCATTATGGAAGGACCCGAGTTCCGTAACATGACCCAGGCGCAGCAGGACGAAATCGTCCCCCGCCTGCATGTACTGGCACGATCGAGCCCTGACGACAAACGGATTTTGGTCAAACGCCTCAAGGACTTGGGACAGATCGTTGCCGTGACTGGAGATGGAACCAATGACGCTCCGGCCTTGAAAATGGCGGACGTTGGCTTTTCCATGGGTGTTTCGGGAACTGAGGTCGCCAAGGAGGCCTCCGCCATCATCCTCATGGACGATAACTTCAGCTCCATCGTGGTGGCGCTGAAATGGGGTCGTGCTGTCAATGATGCCGTCAAACGCTTCCTGCAGTTCCAGCTCACCGTCAACGTTACCGCCGTTCTACTCACGTTCGTTTCGGCCGTCTCCAACCCGCATCAACAGGCCGTCCTGTCGGCAACTCAGCTCCTCTGGGTTAATCTCATCATGGACACGCTTGCGGCACTCGCTTTGGCCACGGACCCTCCGCACCCGAGTGTGCTCGATCGCAAACCGGAACCCCGCGGCTCGCCCATTATTTCTGTCACCATGTGGAAGATGATTCTCGGCCAAGCCGTCTACCAGCTCTCAGTCACATACCTCCTCTACTTCGGCAGGCGCAGCGTCCTCCCGGCATATGACCAGGATGTTCAGGAAGCTCAGATCGAGACCTTGGTCTTTAACACCTTTGTGTGGATGCAGATCTTCAACCAATGGAAGTAAGTGCCAATCGAGACGAATTTGAACCCTGCCCCGGCTCGGGACCCTGACTGACCATATTTTCTTCCAGCAATCGTCGCCTGGACAACCGCTTCAACATCTTCGAGGGCATCAGCAAGAACCCCTTCTTTATCATCATCAGCATCGTCATGTGCGGTGGTCAAGCCCTCATTGCCCAGTTTGGTGGCGTCGCCTTCAACATCGCTCCGACTGGCCAGACGCCTGCCATGTGGGGTTATGCCATATTCCTGGGCTTCTTGTCGATTCCCTTTGGCATGATCATTCGCCTTATCCCCGACGCGCTTCTCGTGAAGCTCGTCCCCGATTCGCTCAAGCGCCGGGCGCACAACAAAGTGCCCGGAGTAACCGTCTCGGACGACGATGAGCGGTTCCAGGCCTACCCGACTCCGTTTGTCGAGGTCCGGGACGAGCTCGCGTTCCTCAAGCGAGTCAAGGGCGGCCGACTTAACAACTTGAAGTTTGCCATGGCGCACCCGAGGGAGACGTTCCTGCCAAAGTACAAGAGCCCGTCTCATTCGCGCACGCACTCCCGTTCGCACTCGAGATCCGACTCGATCCAGATGCCGCACACACCGACTCGGGAGGATAGCATCGGCTCATTCATCGCCACGCCAGACTCGCGGAAGCGGTCGAGGTCTATGAGGTCACGATCCAACTCGGCCCTGGGAGCGGCGACGGTCATGGCTGGCATCGTTGCTGGCGGTATTGGTGCCACGTGGTCGCCCATCGACCGCGACCGCGACTTTGGAATGTTCCCTCGGCAGCCGTCACCCCTTGTCAAGCGCAGCGACAGCGACCCGATGGACAGCGCTGCCGCCGGCTCTTCAAGCATGCTTGTTGAGAGCAACCTGACGGCCGAACCCCAGGAGATCAGCGAGGCGCGCGACGATGTCCCCACTCTCAGCGTCCCCAAGCCGCCGGCGGCACGTCAGAGCAAAGACAATAGTGAAGCCTAGAGGGGTCGATAACGAGGCGGTGGCCATGGCATATCGTTGCATTTAAACGGCGTTCTTGGGCGCGGCGGCACGGTCTCGATGCCAGTTGGCAGCCTATATCTCTCGCGCGGACACCTCATTTGTCTAAACCCTCGACCATGACCTTCTCGTGGACGCCTGTATATCCTGTAAACCTTGAACTATATTACCAGCGAAAACCCCAAAAGAAAAAAAAAAACGTCATGGTCATGTGTTGTCTCTCTTTTTCTGTCTTGTCTGTCTTTCTTCGTTCTGAAGGCACATCGTTCTCGGAGTTCGCGTTTGCGTTTGGAAAAACGGTGGCAAAATCCACCACCGCCATGCACACATTCATACAACACACATACACACACCGCTTTTCGCTACCTGTGTCTCCGTCTGCTGCTTTCTTTGGCTTTATGTCCAGACCATATTTGTATTACTGGTCGGCCTGAAGCTTCCTAGGTACACGCACGGCATCTTTTTATCTCTATTCTACCATAATTCCCCATTCATGCTTAACTCTATCCTTGTCTGTCATATTGGGTGGGATCGTGGCCGAGAGCATGCATACGAGAACAGTCCCGACAATGTCGACGTTTTGTCGGGCCGCAACTCGAGGCATGAGAGTGGGCGACATGGATTCGCGGTGTGCTGGTTTGATGGCAGCCCTGTGGTGGGCCTCCCTATTGGCTCATCGGGGGCTGAGGACAAAGCTGGCATGGCGCTGCTCCGTCTGCCACCTGTCCCGAGATGGATTCATTCACCAGGGAAGAGGGGGGCCCAGCCGTTGTGGGGATGGGAGATGGGCTCCGGCGGCGTGTTGAGCTGGCAGAAGGGATGGAAGTGTCGGGAGACCAATGGAAGGCTGGGAAAGGGCACGGGGGGGTCTTTGGGCTCGACTTCCACAAGGGGCAGCGCAGTCATGCATCATTCACCAATCTGAGTCACGTGCCATCATGTGATTGTGCTGGTCCGACGCATCTTGACATTTGTGTGGAAGACGCGAGGAAGCCACCGCCAGCGCGGGCTGGGCTGTGTAGTATGCTGTACGCCTGTGTAGGTATTGACCCGGGCAGCGAAGGATGCGGAATGGCATTTATCTATTTACCTACTGCCTTGGCTGTGTACCTAGAAGTAAGCAGACAAGTAAGTGTCGTAGCTAGTTTGGGCAGTCTTGTGATATGGTGTCGGCAGCTAGGCCAGGCAGATTAGAGCGTGTCACACCGAGTTTCGACAGCATGGTTAGACAGATAGCCCGCGCGACTGACCCCTGTCGGAAGGGATGGAATCAGTCGCCTGGCATTGATCCCAAACGTTGATTTCCTCCCGAACTAAAGGTTCGCACTCAAGTGTGGCCCCCTGTCTGTGTATCGGTCTACCTACATTGGTTCGTTCCTTCCTCAAAGCATCTCCCTCGGTAGGTAGTACCTGCCTAGGGGTAGGCGACATATATCAAGCCCCTCCGTCTTGTCCGAGTTGCGCCGTCGGGGCCTACCCACTCACTCTCTTTCTGACCACAGTTCTTGTTCGCCGCTCAGTCAATTGCCGCTCATCTTGTTCCAATCCCAGCGCCAGCCAACGAAGGCCGGCCACATACCAGAAATAAACAAGAAGAAAACAAAAAGAGAGAAAAAAGGACCAGAAAAAAATAAACGAATTACCAACTCGACTTGTTCCTTTTTGGAGGGGGGCAGCTTATGATCCTCTCCTGCCTAACCAGCAAGGAAGCACTTTTAGTCTCAGGTAAGTCGGGACTTGGACGGGACCATTTTTCCCCTCGCCCTTCGATTTTCCTTTTTTTTTTTCTCCTTCTTGTCCCATCCGAGCCAAACCTTTTCCCCCGACACGACCCTTTCCGACCTCCTTCCCTTTCCTGCTTTAACACACCTTTTTCAACCTAAAAGCCCTCCCCCTCTCAAAACGCACGGCTTTGCGCGACTGCCCTTTTCGATTCATCCAAATTGCACGAGGAAAATAAAATACACGTCGTTGTGATCCGCATTCTCACCTTTACAAAGGATTCCGATTTCCTATTTCCTCACTCTCACACACACCACGTCGTCGAGGTATTCATTTCCCACGCGTCGACTGTTACACTTATTTTTCCTGCTCATCCCCTTCGCGCAATCAAACATTCTGGCTCGCTTCTCATCGCGGCAAAAACCGCACCCGCATCCTGACAACGGAGAACCTTCTAGAGCCACTCGGCGTCGCCCACACTCACTGAAATTGCCTCGCCCAGGGCCAGACTTGAAAGCGTCTCTCGCGAGTGCCATCCTCTTTCTCTGCGCCGCTCGTCTTGCAACGAACAGCGGGGCCACCCATCCTTCTTGTGGAAAGACGAGAGAGGAACACACAAAAATAGGCTAGCCAAACAACAACAACCTGGTCTTGCCCCATCCTGTTGGCTCTCACCTGGCGGGACACACGTCTACCTCAGAGCTGCATTGGGCTCCTCGAGATCAAAATACAAACACGCCGATCGCGCGTTTTGGCCAAGCCCGTCTGTTTCTTATTACCTGTCGCATTCACTGCCCATTTCATTCTTATTTCTTTCCGCCTCGCAAACCTGTTCATTCGTCCTTGTTTCGAGTTGTGTGGGCGAGCACTCCGCTTTGCTTGTCTCTTTAGGCACTCGCGTTTCTCGCGTCTGTCGAAAACGCCACAATCACGCACTCGACAATCCTTGACTGCCAATTGTGTTTGATTTGTTCATCCTGTTAGTGAGGCATCGTTGCCGTCATAACCGGGACTGAAATATCGCGCCGCAAGGGTTTTACGACTTGCTTCCTGACGCGCTCGCGCACATACTCTTCTTTCTCTCTCTCACTCTATCTCACACGCACGTGCCGTTTGGTGCGGCTTTTCGCAACCATGGCGAGTTCAATGCGCATCGAGAAGAGGAAGCCCAAGAAGACGGCGGCGGCTGCACCCAAAGCCAAAGTTGGCAGCGCGGCCGCAGCGGCAGCCGCGCTCTTTGCACATAACGGCAAGGCCAAGAAGGAGGTGGCCAACGGGAATGGCATAAAAGGTGGCGTCGTCGCAAGGGTACAAAGGCCAACCGCGCCGCCCAGGTATCCGGTCAAGGCCGAGGACGTCATGGACGACTCGAGCGACGCGGGTGATAACATGTACCTGGAGGACGACATTAAGCACGGCGCCGCCACTCACGACGACCACCTGCTTGCCGAGCTAGAAGAGCGTGGCGACGCTGACAGCATCTGCGAGGACGTGATCGGATCCAGCGTCGAGGACAGGTTCTTCACAGATAGTAGGTCTTGCCACGTGTCTCCGCTCTGCTCTTGGTAGCAACCGCTAACATTCACAACAACAACTAGTCCCCGGCTCGTGCACGCCCATGGACGCCATGAGGCTCCGCCGCTTGCTGCGCGAGGTCGGCCCGACTGAGTTTGTCAGCCAGACGGTCGAGTCGGGCGTGTACACAGCCAAGAAGCTGTTAACAGCATTTAGCGTTCGTCCGCCCGAGTTTCTCGAGGGCGCCATGGACGAGGACTACCTGCCTTTTCTGAGCCTGGCCGTGACGCGAGAGCTGCAGAAGCGCGCAAAGCTGTTCCAATACAACACGGTCGACGACGCCGTGTCGCTGCTGAAGAGGTCCAAGAACATCGTCGTTCTGACCGGCGCAGGCATCTCCACGTCGCTCGGCATCCCCGACTTCCGGTCCAAGGACATCGGACTGTACTCGATGCTGGGAGATCTCGGGCTGGACGACCCGCAGCAGGTGTTTGAGCTGAGCCTGTTCCACGAGGACCCGTCCATCTTCTACTCGGTCGCGCGCAAGGTGCTGCCCAACCATAACCGCTGCTCGCCCACGCACGCCTTCATCGCGCTGCTGCAGCAGAAGGGCAAGCTGCTGACCAACTACACGCAAAACATCGATAATATCGAGGAGGTTGCCGGCATCGACCCAGAGCGCCTGGTTCAGTGCCACGGCTCGTGGTCGACGGCCACGTGCACGCGCTGCGGCCACCGCGTGCCGGGCAAGACGCTCTTCCCCACCGTCGAGGCCGGCGGCATCCCGCGCTGCCTCAAGTGCGCCCCCAAGGGCCGGCCGGCCTCAAAGGTTCGGCGAAAGCGGCGCTCCGACGACGACGACGACGGTAGCTACGGCCGGCGCACCTCGGGCAGGCGCGGCGTCCGCGACCGCGACAGCGTTTCGGACTCGGACCCGGACACCAACGGCGGCGGCGGCGGCGGCGGCGGCGTCATGAAGCCCGACATTACCTTCTTCGGCGAGCAGCTGCCGCGGCGGTTCGGCGAGCGGCTCTTCGGCCACGACCGCGACCTTGTCGACCTGGTCATCGTCATCGGCACGTCGCTCAAGGTGAAGCCCGTGTCGGAGCTGGTGCCGGTGCTGCCCGCGCACGTGCCGCAGATCTACATCAGCCGCGACGCCGTCAGCCACGCCCACTTCGACATCGACCTGCTCGGCGACTGCGACGTGGTCGTGGCCGAGCTGTGCCGCCGCGCCGGCTGGGACCTCAACCACGAGATGGTGCCGCCCGGCGAGGAGGTCGACATCAGCCTCGAGGAGGGCTACTGGAGCAGGCACCGCTTCCGTGCACTCAACAAGCAGAAGCCGGCCCAGAAAACGCCTGCGCCTGCACCCGCCGCGGCCGCCGCGCCGGCAGGGACCACGCGCCGGACGCGTGCGGCTGCTTGATTTGCGAGACGGGGAAGGTAGGAGAAAGGATATGGGCAGTGTGGAGAAATGCAGTGCAAAGCAACGGCGTTTTCAACCTGGGTTTATCTTTATTTTTGTTATTTTTTTCTGTGCTACATATGCATATGCTTCATTTTGGAGGTTGGCTGCATTGTCAAGAGGTCAACTAGGTAACCGCGGCAGTTTGTTTTTGTTATTTCTTTTGCTTCTCCTTACACCCGGCTGTTTTTCGCTCCAGGGTTTATTCTCTGTATAGTTTTTAGAAGCTTGCCTTGTTTGAAGATCAGTCACCGGTATCTTCCATCACTAAGCAGTCCCCATGGTTGTCACTTGTTTTGTCCTTTTCCCCGGGTCCCCGAGACACCTGTTTGTATCCTGTCGTGTTTTCTTCTTCTTTATGTCGCAATATTATTTTGATCCAGAACCACGGGTTTCTCGGTCCGTTCTCTTCGAAAACAATGTTCGTATCGCCAATGGGCCAAACAAAAAAAAAAAAGGTTCACACGGAGCCGGCCACGCGCTACCTAAAAAAAAAACGCCGAGGTGGTGGCGGGGAAAGCAGCTGAAGAACCGTCCTCTATGCGCTATAAACACTCGACCTCCGTCCTAGTTTGCCGCCTGCATTGACATGTGTCGCTCTACCAAAACTAAACAGGAATAGAAAAGGAAAGCCAAAATTCTATACTACAGGCAAAGATTGTTATGGGATTTCCCCCCTATATGTAGACGCCGGCTCTCCCTTTTACAACAAGCTCTCAAACTTGTCTAACCCGGATTTTGAAGCCCGCTGTTGCGGCTGTGATGGCTGCTGTTGCTGCTGGCTCATCATGCCCATCCCCATATTCATGTTCATGTTCATGCCCATGCCCATCCCTCCTCCGGGCCTGCCCATGCTGTTGGCCATGGTGTTCATACTATTGTTGGCGGCCATGCTCATTCCCATTCCCATGCCCATGCCCGTCCCGGCGCCCATCCCGGAGCTTGCGCCGGAAGATGAAAGCCCCATCCCGTACCTGTGCGCTGGCTGGGCCTGGGCCTGCGGCGCCGCAGGGGGTGGTGCCAGGCTGAAGCCGGACAGCCCTGACGCTACCCCGCCACCGGTGCTGGCCGCCGGTGGAGGCGACAGGGAGAAGGACGTGGCTCGCTGCTGCTGCTGCTGCTGCGCCACACCGCCCGGCCGCAGCTGGTTCAGTGACATGGAGGACATGGAAGAGTTCAGGCTCGCGCCTCCCAGGGAGGACGACGCCGGCGGTGGCGAGATGGCGGTGCCCGACGACCCCCATGGGCTCGAGGACGCCGGGAGGGGCGCGGGCGGCGGGGCAAAGGCCGACGATGGTTTTGCTGCGCTGCCCGCCGAGGGCTGCAGCGGCTGCGAGAACTGCGAGCTGGACGGGGTGAGCGACTGGAAGCCGCCGAGGTCGGGCGTTACGGTCCTGAACCCGGGTTGCGCCTTCACGGCACTGACGTTGCTGGGGGCTGCTGGCGTCGAGGCTGAAGTGGTCGACCATGAGAATGTTGGGGCGCTGGGAGTTGGGGCCGAGGGCTTCATGCCCGGGGACGTCACGTTGGAAGCCGGGCCAGAGCCTTCGCCCCAGCTGTCCATTGGGTTTGTCGTAGACGACGACGGCTTGCCCTTGACCAGGGACTCGAAGTCGTCTTCGCCGCCCCCATTGGTGGTGGCGTCAAACTGCGTCCCGGTGACGCCACCAAAAGACATGAAGTCGTCGCTGGGCCCGGCTATAGCACCGTTGGTGCTGCCCGATAATTCCTGCAGCTTCTTAGTCTGCTCTTCCTCGACGCGCTTGGAGAGAAATCTGATGAGCTCCATGAAAGTCTGGAACTGCTTCAGGTCGAGCAGTGGACCGAGGCTCATGCTCCATAGCATGGGCAGGAGCTCCATCGCGACAAAGTCGGCGTCGGCAACCTGGCCAACCACGCGGAGCACATTGAGCGCCGCTATCATCACGGCCGGCTCCTTGGTCTTGATCACTTTGATCAACGGCACAATCTTCTCCTGCATCGTGTACTTGTCCAGCGCGCTGGACGACGCCTTCTTCTTGCCGTCGTTCAGCCCGTCAAGACCGTCGTCGGCGGCGGGGTCGTTGGACCCACCGCACAGAATCACAAAGGCCTGCAGGCCCCTGACCTTGATGGCAAGGCTGTTTGTCCGGCTAAAGATGGCGGCGATGACTGGGAAGAGCTCGTTCTTTATGGTGCTGAAGTCAAGCACCGGTAGAATCACAGGCAACGAGCGTAGCGCGGCATCAACGACAGACGGCGTGGGAGACTCGAGCGCCGTTCCAATTATGGGCAGAACGTCTGGAGTCCATGTCAGCATTCAGTTTCGGTAGTATCCTCAGGGGTGATAGGAGAGAATGTGGCGAACTTACCATCCTTGAACTCTTTGCCTCCGCAGTTGTTGGTGATGGATGCCAGATTCTCGAGCACAACCATCAAGCCAGCATCTCTGGCCGGGTCCTTCTCCTGGGCATTCTTGACGTTTGTTACAAACAGCTCCTTGAGCTGCGCCCGCACCTTGTCCCCAAAGGCGCGCCTGCCTGAGGGCAAGAGATCCACGATCTTGCACACGTTCTGCAGGATCAACGAGACGAGATCCCTGTCCTTAAGCTCCTCCAGCAGGGCCGGCAGGATCTTCCTCTCCATGACCGACTTGGGGAACGAGGGCAGGACCTTGTTGAGCCCGCGCATGAACTGGGCCTTCTCGTTGGGCGTCTTGGCCGGGAACGAGTCGAGGAAGCGGATGGTAGAGACGAGGATATTGTCGAAGAACTCGCTCATCTGGAACTCCTTGGCCGTCATGCGCTGGGCGGGCCGGCGCGTGATGAGGCGCGGCAGCACCTGGTGGGCCAGCTCCCTGGGCAGGGGCCGTGAGGAGAGGAAGTTGTTGTTGACCGACGGGGCCGTGGCCGAGGACGAGAAGGTCCTCTTGTAGCTGGATATGCTCGAGTTGGTCTCGATGGGCGAGCGGTGGGGCGAGTTGTAGAGGGCGACGCAGAGGACGCCGAGCGAGAACATGTCGGCCGAGCTGGTCAGGTTGCTGTCCATGACGAAGTCGGGGGAGGTGTAGTCGAGGTTGATCTGGACGGAGCGCGGCAGACGCGGGTCCGGGTTCAGGACCTCGTGCAGGCTGATGGGCTGGAAGGACGTGGGCTTGGTCGAGCCGTCGGCCGGGCCGCAGAAGGCCAGGCCGCTGATCTTCCAGTCCGACTTTGCGTTGACGAGGATGGCGTCGGGGGTGAGGTTGCCGTGGATCAGGCCGGCGTTCTCGTGCAGGAACTCGAGGGCCTTGCTGGTCTGGAGCAGGCCCTTCTGGATCTCGAGCTCGTCGAGCTCGATCTCGCGGCGGCGGCGGGTGCCGTCGGCGTCCTCGGTGACGTAGCGGCTGGCGCGGCCGCCGGCGCGCTCCTGGTCGTCCCTCTCCTGCAGCAGGCTGGCCAGGGAGGCGGTCACGGCCTCGGTGACGAACTGCAGGCCGCCGCCGCGCGTGTCTTCGACGGGCTCGACCAGCTCGAGGACGCTGGGGTGGCGCAGGCGGGCCAGGGCCGAGGCCTCCTTGCGCAGACGCTCGACCACCTCCTCGGCGACGCGCTTGAAGGCGGCGGCGCCGGAGCGGCCCAAGGAGCTGCCATGGGCGTCGAGCGACTTGCGCTCAAAGACGAAGACGGAGTATGGCTTGCCCGTCGACTTCTTCTTGGCGTCATAGATCTTCCACGGGCCGGCCGTCGAGGTTGAGGTCTGGGAGATGGAGTAGTTTGCGGTGATGTTGGTTGACGAGATGGACTTCAGCGCGTTGGAGAACATGGTGGGCGGCGGGTGAGCGAGACGCTCTTGAGCATGATGCTGGGAGGAGTGGCCGTGGCCTGTGATAGCCCGAGGGCCACCGAGGTGGTCCTAATCGTGGTCGTTGCCGTCTTGGGTTTCGCTGGGAACAAAAGGTGCAGAGTGCCAGGTCGCAGGAGATCAGTCCAGCACCTCAGAAAAGCCGCGTGGGCTGGACGGGCGGAGATGAAACTTTTCTAGCGCTGGATGGGCCAAAGACTTTATTTTTGGTATCTTGGACGATAATCCGCGCCCTGCTTACGTTGCACGCCCACGATGCCAGTAGTCGAACGTTGCTGCATGCAGCCCCAGTCAAGCCTAGCTTCGCCCACTATGGAGCCCCAGCGTGCCGAGCTGCAGCGAGCACCGATACCCGTGCAGCAGTTCGAGGCAGGCCGCCTGACAGGGGCCTGCAATTGACAATCGGGGTCTGGAACCGCCAATGACTAACTGCTGTGGGCTCCGATCAAGCCCCGATGCCGCACTTTTGGTTGACGCCTGAAGTTGAGGCCGCATTTTCTCGCCAGACTCACTTTTGGTCTTCACAGTATCCTACAACCCGTCTCCGTCTCCTGCTTGCTACAAGAATCCCCGTGTCTGTCCAGACCGGGTCGTCGCTCTTTCAAGGGCTACCCAGCCGTGCTTGCTGCTCAATTGCGTTTTTTTTTGGCACCGCCACTCCCACTATCAGACATCAACGACACCCACACCAACATAAAACGATGATGCGTCCCACGCTCCTGCGGTCTGCTTTGGGAGCAGCGCCCGCCGCCCGCCTGCTCCAAAGGAGAGCCTATAGCATCACGCCTGCCGCCGCCTCGGTTGCGCAGCCAAAGGACATCGATGTCTCGCAGCTCAAGATCAGCAGGACCTCGGCCCCTGGCCCTCTGGAGAAGCCCGAGACGCTGGTCTTTGGCAAGAAATTCACAGGTCCGTGGCCCATGTCGCCCAGCTATCCAGACCCGGACCCATCCCGCCCTTTCTGACCTGTTCCAGACCACATGATCACGGTCGAATGGGAGACGGCGCAGGGCTGGGCGGCCCCCCAGATCGTGCCGTACCAGAACCTGTCGCTGGACCCCGCCACCTGCGTCTTCCACTACGCCTTCGAGTGCTTCGAGGGCATGAAGGCCTACAAGGACAAGGCTGGCAAAGTGCGCCTCTTCCGCCCGGACAAGAACATGGAGCGCTTCAACAAGTCGGCCGCCCGCATCGCCCTGCCCACCTTTGGCGCCCCGGCCCTGACGGAGCTGATAGCCCGGCTCGCCGTGCTCGACTCCCGCTTCATCCCCGAGCAGCGCGGCTACTCGCTCTACCTGCGCCCCACCATGATCGGCACGCAAAAGACGCTGGGCGTCGGTCCCCCGGGTTCGGCCCTGCTCTTCGTCATCGCCAGCCCTGTCGGCCCCTACTACCCGACCGGCTTCAAGGCCGTCTCGCTTGAGGCCACCGACTACGCCGTCCGCGCCTGGCCCGGCGGCGTGGGCGACAAGAAGCTTGGCGCCAACTACGCTCCCTGCATTGTGCCCCAGCGCGAGGCCATGAGCCGCGGCTTCCAGCAGAACCTGTGGCTCTTCGGTGAGGAGGAGTACGTGACCGAGGTCGGCACCATGAACATGTTTGTCGCCCTGCGCGACAAGGTGACGGGCCAGCCCGAGCTCGTCACCGCCCCGCTCGACGGCACCATCCTCGAGGGCGTCACGCGCGACTCGGTCCTCAGCCTGGCCCGCGAGCGCCTCGTGCCCCAGGGCTGGAAGGTCTCGGAGCGCAAGTACACCATGCGCGACCTGCACGAGGCCGCCACCGAGGGCAGGCTGCTCGAGGCCTTTGGGTCCGGCACGGCCGCCATCGTCAGCCCCGTCCGCTCCGTCTCGTGGAAGGGTCAGGTCGTTAAGTGCGGCCTGGCTGACCACGAGGAGTCGGGCGAGATCGCCACCAAGATGAAGGGTTGGATGGAGGCGATCCAGTACGGTGACGAGGAGCACGAGTGGTGCTATGTCTGCTAAACAAACGAAAAAAAAAGAGGAAGAATAGCTCGAGACTTATGGCGGGATATTGTCAACTGATTTTTCAGGGGTGGAAAGCTGGCCTGTCTTTGTTGATACTAGCATGTGTGGTGGGATACCCCACATCCAAATGTCCTTTTTCAATCTGGGTATAATGGGCCAGTTGGATACGCGATGGCGTTGACCAGAGGGGGAGTTATGCATAGACCTATTTCGGCCTGATTGGGTTGCGTAAATATATCGAATCCCAGGCTCCGTTCATGCAAGCGGCGAGTGGGAGACAGACGGATCTAGCAGTAAGAATGATTCGTGTCGACAATAGAGGGAGAAAAGGAGGAGCCAAAACACCTAAGGAAAGAATGGATGGGTAAGAATAAGGAGGGAAGGAAAAGGAAAAGGAAAGAGCGCAGGTCTATCCCCTAGTATATCGATCGATCGACCCAGTCTTGGAACTCGAACTCGATGGCTTCATTCTAGACGAGGCGGGGCAAAAATTGCTTTACATGCCGTCCAACACGTCGGTCGGCCTTTCTCTCCGGCTCGCCCTCCGACGCCACGGCTTCATTTGGCTCCCACACCAGCGTTCGCCGGTGGGGATCGTGCCATAGCCTATCGACCCGCCATCTAGGGCTTCTTCTCGGGGAACGGGTCCTCCAGGATGCCCTCGGCCTCTAACCTCCGGCGAGCCTCCTCTAGGGCCCAGGTTTGTATGCTATGCGAGAAGTCAGTCGGGGTCGAATAAAACAGTGGTGGGAGAGGGGGGGATTCGCGAGGAAGAGCGAAAGAAAGAGAGAGAGAGAAAAACGCACGAGGTGTCGGGCTTGTATGCCATGGCGACGGTGAAGACGGCCAGGCTGCCGAAGAAGCCGATATACATGATGTTCTCCCAGCCCTCCTTCTGGTACTTCTCGCCCGGCTTGACGCCGAACAGCCAGCCCGTGGGCGGGTCGTACTCGGGCCCGTGCGAGGCTCCGCGCCGCGCCGACGTCGAGAAGAGCGCGGCCGCCGCCCGCCGGGGGGCAGCAGCCATCGCGCCGCCGGTCCGGCTCTGCTGCTGCTGCTGCTGTAGGGCGCGGGTGGCGGCCCGGAGCGCGATGCTAGGTCTGATGTTGGGCATTGTGGTCTCTTGTTTTCTCTTCTTCTTCGTTTGTTTCCCCCCTCTTTTGAACCGTTGGTCTGTTTGTCTTCCCGCGTTTTGATTTTTAGGTGTCGCTCGGGGGGTGGAGGAATTGCCTGTCGGGGATCGTGGGTTGGGTTTTCCTTTTCGCTTCAAAATCGGCCTGCCCTATTCGCCGTCCTCCTCTTCGTCGTCGTCGTATTGATCTGGCTTCCCGCGCCGAAAGCAATTGGTGGAGTGGAGATTGGTCTGTCGTCGGCGCTGGATCGGGGCGTGGAGCGAGGGTACGATGTGGCTCACTTGTGCCGTGGTGAGCGAAATCCAGAGCTGGGAAAGGCGGCCGTGATGGAGCAAGCCGAACAGTGCCGAGTCACGTGCGGGGTCATGTGAGGGGGCTCATGAGTGGCTGGCTGTGGACTGGGTTCACTCCCAATTCGCCGTTTCAAGCTCCAACGGTTTCAAGCTCCAACGTCATTTAGAAGCGAGGATGACTTGGCAACTCCCCATTCTATTACCTATTGACGAACCACAAAATACCCCTAGGTACCCGCACCTATTTCCTGATCGATGCTCTAATCCTGTTCGTATCTGATATGCCGACAAGCCCAACACCCCAAATGCATGCCATACCTATATCCTGTAAAAGCCAGAGTCGCAAAATCCCATCCTATTCATGCCGTAACAGTCATGTCCTGTGTTGTACTGTCTATATCTGAAGCGGAGAGAGAGAAAGAAATGCCTTGATCCAAATCTAATAGCCGCCAGCCGGCATCATGTCGTTGAGTATGTCCCGGAGCAGGGGCTTGCCCTGCATGAGCGCCCTCTCCCCAATATTGGCCTTTCTCGGCCCGCGCCCCTGTGGCACCAGCGGCGCGTTTTCCTTGCGGTTCGGAGCGGCGGCAGTCGTCGGCGAGACCTGTTGCCACCCACTACCGCCCCCGGGGGATATGCGCTTCTTGGGCGTCCGCCTGGCCGCCGTCCTGGCCGCCGGCGGTGAGCCAAAGGCCGTGGTCCCCGTCGCCGCAACCCCGGCGCCGTCGTCGAACACGTGTGCCGACAGCGCGTCGGCGGGCAGGTTGCAGATCCAGTGGCGGTCATTCATGAGCTGGACGAAGCGACTCAGCATCTGGTCGGCGCCGCAGCCCTGGAGCGTCTCGAGGCTGCCGATGACGAGGAGCTTGGTCTTGGCGCGCGTGAAGGCCACGTTGATGCGCCGCCAGTCGCGCAGCAGCTCGCCGATTTTGCAATCCTCGTTGTTGCGCACCAGGCTGAGCACCACCACCTCCTTGTCGCGGCCCTGGAACCGGTCTGCCGTGTGCATCTCCACCGCCGCAGCCTGGCCCGGCCGGCTGCTCCCTCGGTGTAGCTTGTGCCTGAGCAGCGCCAGCTGCGACCGGTAGTGCGTCATGACGCCGATCTCTGACGCCGGCACCCCGACCGTCATGAGCGCCTCGACCAACTGCACCACCAGCTGCGCCTCCACTGGGTTCACGATCCGGTTGCCTTTGGCCTCCTCACGGTTGTCGGGCAGCGCGTCCGTGTTGACAAACGCCACCCGCGTCTCCGGATCTAGCAAGTGCCCCAGCCAGCACCCCGCGCCGCCTGTGCAGAAAGACTTGGGCACCGCGGCTGCTGGCTGCGACTTTGATAGGGCGAGGAAGGACGACGCGTCATAGTGGTGGCGGGTCAGCGCTGCGGGGTCGGGCACATGGAGCTTGTGGAAGCGCAGCTCCTTGGTCCCGCACTTCAGGCGTCCATTGTAGATCAAGGTGTTGCTTAGCGTCATGATGTCCTCGCACATGCGGTACTGATGCTCGAGGTTGACCACCGAGTCCGGGTGCGTGTCGGACAGCAGCTTGAAGAGGCTGACGTCCAGGCCTCCACGACGAGCTTCCTCGTTCTGCACAAGAGGCGGCAGCTGGTTGTGGTCTCCGACAAGCACAAACGTGCGCGCCATCCGGATAGGGCCCAGGCACACGGGCAGAGTGATTTGCGATGCCTCGTCGACGATGCAGTAGTCGAATGTGCGCTCGTTGAACACGGCGTGGTTGACACCGAGGCACGTTGTCGCAACCACGGGAGAGTCGTGCCAAGCGCTGCGGATCTCCTCAAACGACTTCTTTGGCTGTGCCGCGAGCGTGGCAAACTCCTGCACCTCTGGATGGACCTTTGCAGGAGCCCCAAGCCGCAGGATCTGCATATTGTCCTTCTTGAGCTTGAGCAAGATGTTGTCGACCGCGCTGTGCGTGTACGAGGCAAGCAGGACGCTCTTGCCTTGGCGGTGGAGGGCGCGGATAATGTGCGCGATGGTCGTTGTTTTGCCCGTGCCCGGCATCCCAAGAACCAGTGCATAGTCCTTCGCACCCATGACCTTCTCGATGGCCTTTTGTTGGTCGCTGTTGAGACTTTCTTTGCCCGTGATCTCGTACTGAGTTGGCGCCGACTTGAACGTCGGCGCCTCCAGATCCACGACGAGCCGTCGAATCTCCCGAGAGCCGAACAGGCCGTTCGACATGACATGCACAAGGTTGTTCCGCACCGTCGCCATGCCGCTGCTGAACTCATCCTTGTCCAGCCGGTACCGTATCGACGGCGTCGTGCTCTGTGACTGCTGGGAGTCTGCGGTGCCGGCAGGTCCAACCTCCATGATGCTAGCAAAGACCTGGTTGTTGACCTCGTCGAAGCCCGGCTGACGGATCCTCGAGTTGTGGAGCCGCCTGTCGACGGCAACCGTGATCCTCCGCTTCCTGACTGCCGTTACAAATCCCAGGGCCAGCGCAAAGTGGCCCTGCTCGTCCGACACAACAATGGGCTCGCCCACTGCAAGCTGCGACTCCAGGAACGAGAAGGCGGGGCCCGCGTTGTCCTTGACAAAGGTGTACTGGAACCGGTTGATCTTGGGGGTGTCCTTGTCCTCGACTGCCGACCCTGGCTCGATGACCACGTTGCCGAAGCAGCGACCGAGCTTCTCGCGCTCGCTACTGAGCATGGTCCACAGCTCTCGGCGGAGCTTCTGGCTCTCCCTCTCCTCCTTGGTGAGCAGGTCCTCCCATTTGAGGAAGAATTCCTTGTGCGTTGTCGAGAGGTGCTTGACCACCTCGTCGAACTTGGCCTCCATACCGCTCGTCTCGCCGTCGCCATCGTCGGCAAGTTTGTGGTAGATGAAGCAGGATGTCTGGGCGTAGCACCTGCCGCACATGTTCTTGGCCTTCTTCATGGGCGGCAGCTGCACGCTCCGCTCGCGGGCGTAGCAGGCTAGCTGGTTGCGCTGCATGATCATGTGCCGCAGCTCGTGGCGGACCGCGGGGATGCGCATGGTCTGCGACGTCTCCATGTAGTACAGCACGCCGAACACAATCTCAATGTCGTAGCGGTCCGAGAGCAGCAGGTTGTAGAGCGCCGTCTGCGCCTGGTGGTTGGCGACGACGTTTTTTCCAGTCTTCACCTCGAACGGCACCGTCAATGTGCGGCGGTCGTTGCCATCTCGCATTGTCACCTGTACCGTGGCGTCGATGTTGCCTTTGAGCCCGTACATGGGAGACCACACGTGCTCCTCGACGTCTAGGAGCTTGCTGACGCACATGTTGGCCTTGTCGCCGTGGCGGCCCTGGACAACTGCGTCCGACCTGGGAAAGGCCGAGACGAAGGATTCGGCCCATTGTCTCATCTCCTTCATCTTTGATAGCAGATGCTCGCGCGCGTCGGCGAGGCTGACTTTGATGACATACAAGTCTTCGAGGTGGCGCTCCATGTTTGTGTCGACAACAGCAGCAAGGAACTGGGAATCCCATTTGTTGGCCATCAGCGCCTCCTGGAAGATCTCGTGAAGCATTGTGCCGTAAACCATGGGCGCGGATGCCTCGCCCGTAGCCTTGACTCTATCCTGCAAGACGGCCCGGCGGATACAGCCGAAAGAGTCTGCAACCACCGTAGCCGAGATCAGTTGGTCGGGGTGGAGGATAAGCATGTTGTGGGAGTTGTCGACCACACACATGCCCGACTCCTCAAACTCTCCAATCACATGGACGTATGAGTCGACTGTTGCTGGAGTCTCCAGCCAGTCTTCCCGGAGGTGGACGACTTGGTCAAAGTTCGTTCTCTCCGCTCGAACAACAAGTATCTGTGTTCCAGTTAGCTGCTGACTAGAGGTTCGGGGAAGGTGCGTTTCTGGCATCGCGTCCCAGACTAGTTTCGTACAACATACCCTTTCCGGCTTCTCACGATGATTGTCATCAACGTACGAGGCATCGAGAACGCGTGTCACCAGGTATCGTTGGATCGCTCGGGGCTTTTGGCTGGGCTGGAAGAAAACAAATGTCTTTAGCAAAGGTTCTTCTACAGCGACAGCTACGTACGGATACGCACATTTGTAAACGGCAAAGACGAGGCGGCCCCTGTCGCCCTCGCTGGTCTGGCTGCCGTTGATGCGGTGGTTTTCGCTGCCGCTGGCTGCCTCGCCGACTGCGTGGCGGCCAGCTCTACAGCATCAAAATCGAAGTCGCCATCAAAATCATCTCCGTACGCGTCCTCCCCTTCCTTGTCAGCCGCACCACCACCGCCGCCATGCCCGCTACTTGGGTGGTTGTTCTTGCCCCGGGCGTGCGATATCGTCTGGGCTTTCGTGGTCTGGATTGGTCGTGGCCCCCCACATGCGGATAGGTTTTGTGGCGGACATTGCGGTGGTGGCTTCGACTCTATCTGGGTCATCAGTGTCTCTGCCGCGCTGAAAAGGTCGTCGTCCAAGTCGTCAAAGTCGTCGTCATCGAAATCTGCAGAGGCACTCAAGCTTTGCTTCGGTCTCTGGATCGCTGGGGGCGCGGGTTGAGCGCGGGGTGCGGGTTCAGGGGGCGGCACGGTTGCTTTTGCGCCGCCCACAGTGGAATCCAGCTCCATAAGGGTGTCATCGTCAAAGTCGTCGTCTCCATAGTCTGAAGATTTGTCGACTGGCTTTTCGGTCTCGTCCTCCTCAAGAGCGGTATCACTCGAGCTCGATGGCGGCTTCGTGGGCAATTTGAAAGCGGGCACATCGGCGCCCTCGGCCGGCCGTTGTCTCGTCGGAGACGCGCGGCGCTTCTCGGGCGAGGGTGATCGCTGCATCATCTCGCGGTGCTGGCTGGCGTTGGACTTCTCGAGCTCCCCGGTCACGGTCTCAAGCAGGTCCGACACTAGCGACGACTTGGAGTCCGGGTATGCCGCATGCCTGAGGCGGCTCGTCGGAGAATCCACAGTCGAGTTGCCGATCCTGCGGCGTTTCGGCCAGTTGTTACCGCAGCTAGCGGCTCTGCGAAGGCTGCTATCGGATAAGGCTGCGGCGGCGCCCTTTGCTGGGCGAGGCGATGATGCAACAAAGAGGTGAGCAAGGGCCGGGTCGGCGGCCCCAAGGGGGGTGTTTTTGGAGGTCCTGCCCGTGGAGAACCTATCCCACAGGTCCATGGCCGGATCTGCGCGAGGCGACCTCAGCGCGCTTGTCAAGCCCTTGACGTTGACAAGGGGAGTGTCGAAGTTCGGGCTTGCTGGCGAGGAAACGGGCGAGGAGCTCCTTGCCCTCTTTGCGCCTTTTCGGGGCAGCAGAGGGGAGATGAAAGAGTCTTCCGGGTCGTAAGGCTTATCCCACAGTAGTTTGTCGCTTGGCGATGTCTCTTCCTGCTCCTCTATTGTGTTAACCTCGCCCATGCGGACGAGGTCCTGCCATGCCAGCTTCGCTACCGGCGTGGTTGCCACCCCGGGCGGTAGCGATGTCAGGGCATGCGGACGAGGCTTTCCACTGGACCCTGCCGAGTCTGCCTCATGATTCTCCTTGTCGGATCCGTCCTCGGTGGTGGTGAGGGCCCCGCGCCTCATTGCTGGAAGGCTAGACTCGGTCGTGGTGGCGACATTCGGCTCCTCGAATCGAAACTTGGTCAACTTGGTTTTGGTTGCCGCCGACACGAGAGGCAGTGGCCTCGAGGACTGCCGAGCAGCGGCCGGGTGGCTTTCTGAGCGACGCCATTGTTGTTTACGCTGCGTCGGGAATTAGCAGAGGAACGAAGATGCGTGACAAGGACGGCCACCGTCGAACGGCCTACCGTGTGTGTCCTTAGGGCGCCCTGGTCGGATAGTGTTTTTTGCAAAGGCATCGTGCCTTTTCAGTGGTATATCAAAAAAGGCAAAAAAAGAAAGCTAGAGAGTGAGGAAGCAAATGGTGTTGAGCGTCAAACCAAACCAGCGCGCCGGGTCTGGTCCATTGAACGATGCATCCACCTGTGCAAACCGAGCCGTTATCCACAGGAAACGACCGGATGGACAGGGTGGTTGTCGATCTCGGCCCCCCGCCTTGCGAGATGCACTTTAGCACCCTGACGCGTTTGCTTTGGCGGACGTTGCATCCACAGCGCCACAGTAACGCGAACGCGTCGGCAAGGTTTATGTTCCAGAAGCTGTGGACAGTGTGTACGTACAGTGTATTATTGTGTCATACGGTAAGTGCCAAGACGGCCCAAGCTCCCGCTCCCGCAGAAGCTTGCCAGTTGAGTGCTTGCATCACACTCGCATTCCAGCTCTAGGTGCCTCCAGAACCAGCTCCAGACCTCACAGGTCATGCTGTCTCCATAACAGCCAACCCAAGCAGCCAGCCCCCAGCTGCCACCCGCGCGATGAAACCCCCAAAGCTCCCGCCGGGCGACCCGGACTACGTCCGCGCGACCGTCGCCCTCGTGAACTGGGACGAGGCCTCGGTACCGTGGTCGCTGAGCCCGTTCGGCCGCGCCTCCAACATGCGCGCGTACCAGAACGCGCCGCGCATGGCGGCCCTCAACGCCGGGCGGGAGCTGACGGCCGCCGAGGTTGAGGCCTTCATGGAGCTCTCGTTCGACATGCTGAGCGCCAAGAACGTCGCCGGCACTGTCTGCACCGCCCTGCCGGCCTACTACTTCTGGCGCCGCGGCATGGCCCGCTTCTCCTTCCCGCTCTGGCGGCCCCTCGCCGCTGGCTTCGACGCGAACACCTTCCGCTTCCCGCTGGCGCCGCAGCCGCTCGTTGGCGCACCCGCCCGCGCCGCCTGGCACGGCCTCCGCTTCCTCGCCTACTGGGTCGCGGCCAGTCTCATGGCCGGCGGCCTCGCCAGCGGCGCCGCCACGGCCGCGGTGGCGAACCGCGGCACCACGGACCCCAGGCTGGAGCAGTGGAGGGCCGACTGCATGGCGCGCATGTCGGCCAACAAGCCCCTGCCTGGCGGCCTCCCGCGGCCTCCCGTCCCGTTCCCCCAGCAGCAGCAGCAGCAACAGCAGAATTCGGGCTACGGTGGCGACGACGGCAGCTCCTGGAGGCCAGACGACGACGGCTCGCACACCACACCGGCGTGGCCGACGGCTCCCAGCACACCAAGTCCGGCACGCTCCGAACCGCCCCGGCCCCCGCAGGACAGCGGCGGCTTTGAGGACCCGTTCGACGAAGGGTCGCCGGTCGCGCCCTCGTATCGCGGGCCGCCGTCGCCCGGTGCGCCCTCCTCGACCGGCTCGGACGCGGGCGGGTCGGCTTGGGACAGGCTCAGGCGAGAGTCGGCCAACCGGGCGTCCGGCCGGGGCGACCAGCAGCCGTCGCGGTCGTGGGATGCGAAGAGGGCCAGTGCAGCGAGCGGGAGCGAGGAGTCCTGGTCGTACTCGAGCCCAGGAGGATCCGAGGCAGACACGGATCAGGAAAGGGCACAGAAGGAGTTTGACGAGATGCTGGAGCGCGAGAGGCGGAGTCCGTCCGGTGGCCGGAGCTGAGACATGCGCGCAATCGTAGTAGACTGCCTACCGACCTACCCACCTGCCCATTATATCATTATTACTTTCCTCCAGGAGTCCAAAAGCCTTCATGATTCTTGATGGAACGCAAAACACTTCCCAAATGTCGATGATAACTTCAGGTGGCAATATCACCCACCACCGATCCGGACCCAAACATACATGATTTCCTTGTCCTTGGTTTAAGATACAACGGATTTAACGCCTTCCCGACTCCCTATTATGTTCCAGAATGGCCTACGCGACAAAATTCAGGTATCTGGGCACTAATTCTAACGACATAGGATGTGTCCGAACCAGGTAACCTCGTGCAGGAAAATTGCCCGAAATTTTGTATCATCTTGTACGACTGTCAAGGGGGTTCACAGTTCAGGTAGGACAAGGGTTCCAGGCCAAGCGTTGAGCATAAAAACAAAACCACCAAATACTTACATCATCCGGGCGATGATGCAATCCCATAACGCCACCCATCGCAATCGATATTGCGTGCCCGCTTCCAAGAATACATGATAGAAAACATCAGACCTCGTAAAATCCTCCTCTCTCCTATTCATAATTCCTTCCCTTTTTCATGAGCAGAAACCCCGTACCGTGGATCCCCGTCCAAGCCAGTTCTGATGGCCAATCTCGGGGCCGCGGGCTTTAAATGGTAAGTATACTCCAAATCAGCGCGCCCACCGTCGAAACGCAGGTATATCAGTTCGCCATCGAAGCCATTCCAGAGGTCGGGAACATGCCGTACATGCCCTCGTCGTCGCTGCTCTCGTCGCCGTCGCCATCTGCATCCATGTCGCCGTCGCCGTCGCCGTCTCCGCTCTGGCTGCCGGGGCTCTGCATGCCACTCATATCGACGCCCCGCATCCCGTTAAAGGCTCCAAACGTTGAGCCCCCGACGCCCAAGCCCATACCCATTCCCATCCCCATACCCATGCTCGTATCCATCATCATCCTCGAGCCCCCGACCGAGGAGCCTGGGACGGGGACGCCTCCCGGCGGGCCCCTCCCGCTGACACCGGTCCCTAGGGCCAGCAGGCTCTGGTGGCGGACCCCGTCAATGTCGGCGGCCGACGCACTCCTGCTGAGGGACGGCTTCTCGGGCAGCTTCTTGAGCAGGCCCGTGCTGATGTCGAGCATACCCATGGCGAACTCGGTCAGCCCCTTGCCCTCTCCGGGCTTGGAGCTTACCGACAGCGTCCAGCGGTACTCGCCCAGCCGCCGCCTGTACCAGTCGCCCTCCTCGCGCCCGGGCGACGTGGCCCACAGGAGCGACCCGAACGTGCCGATGAGGGCAAAGTTAGTCTTGGAGGCAAAGTACCAGAAGGCCCGCAGGTGGCTGGGCGTCAGCCGGTTGACAAAGTCCATGGCCGAGATGAGCCGCGCCTTGGCCGCGTTGCGGCAGATGTGCTGCACGTACGGGTCCCCGGCTCCCGGCGACGCCGCCACCGGCCCAGTGCCACCGGCCCCTCCTCCCGCCGCCTGCGCCGCCATCTCCTCGGTGGCCGCCAGAGATCTTATTATGCGCCGGTGGAGCGTTATCTCGGTCGCGAAGTAGGCAAGGTGCAGGTAGCCTATGCTCGTGAGCCGCCCTGCGCTGCCGCCGCTGAGCCCGGCGGACAAGGACGTCAGCGACGCCGAGGACGCACTACCGCTACTTGAGTCCATGCGGACCGCGGCCGGCAGCGAGCTATGCCACTCCTTGAGCTTGATCTGGATCGGCTTGGCCAGCGAGAGCACGAGGTGCGTGCCCTGGACGCCGGCGTTGGTCACGTTCTGCATCGCCTGGAGCGTGTAGAAGGTCTCGAGCGTCTCGGCCAGGATCTGCGACAACTGCACCATCTGAGCGAAGACGATGCGGCCGCGCTCCATCTCAGCCTGGTCGTCGGTGTCGTCTTCGTCGTCCCACTCGCCCTCGGGAAAGTCGTTGGGTGTCAGCTGCGGCACGGCCCAGTTGGACGCAAAGATGTGTGACGGCCGGCCGTGGACAAGGGCACCCCACTTGTCCTGCATGTACAATGCCCAGGCGAGCCTCTTGCGCAAGCCCTTCTCCCAGGCGGGTATCTTCCAACCTGACGCGTCGAGGTGTAGGCCGAGCTCCTGCGCGATGGCCACAAGCTGTGCCGTCGGTGCCCACTGGTCGCCCTCGGGCCGTTGGGACAAAAGCAGCCCTGCCTGCACCGTCGACAGCTTGGGCCGGTACATGGCGTCGACGAGTGTCACACGCACTAGCCGCTCCAGTTCGCGCACGTTGGGACGGGGCAGCGGAGCCAGCTCCTCGTCGTGATCCCACCAGTTGATAGCCAGAATGTACATGGCGGCCAGCAACGGAGGGGAGAACTCATGGCGGTCCCGCTCATACTTCTCATAAAAAACCGTCTTCTGAATTATGGGGAAGCCCGGGTGCACGACGCGGAAGTACAGGTCGACTAGTCGTCGGCCGTGCGGCGCCACGAGCCTCTCGATCTCGTCGACATCCTCGGTCTGGTGTTCGTGACCGGGTGTGTTGTAGTCGGGAAGAAGTAGGAAGGTGTCGTGTTCGCTGACTTTGCGCAACGTGCCCCTGGCCAGCAGGCTCTCGTCGTGCGGATCGAAGGGGGAGAGGTTGATAAGTGACGGCTCGAAGTCGGTCGTCGGCCCAATGTACTGGCTGTAGCGATCCTTCTGGAGCCCTAGGCTTCGCTTCAGCAAGGTTGGGCCGCCGAAATTGGCCATCTCCTCTATCAGCGAGCTGCTGGCAGCGGTGCTGGAAAGGCTGGCCTGGTGTTGTTGCCGTCTTCGGTTATCGGACTGTCCTGGCGAGCTGCGTGTGGGGATGACCAATCAGCTTCCAGAACACTCCAGAGACGCCAAACAGGCGGGAGGCAGAGCTCTTGGTAGAGCCCCGACAGAAGGCGTTCTTATCCCCCAACCTCCCCTCCTCGTCTGCCGCGGCCCCGGCAGCTGGGTGTTCAGCTGTACAAAGTAAGAGAACCGGAAAAGAGAGAGGAGGGTGGGGGTAAAAGTCCAGGCCAGAAAAAGCAAGGTGTCAAGCGATGAATGGCTTCTCGTTGGGCCAGACAGTGCAGTGGAACACCGGAACAGCCGACGCCACAATACGCAGAAGCACCACACCTGTGCCCGCGGACAAGACGAAGATGGCCATGCTGGACAGTACATAGCGTCCAGGGTCTGCACAAGCCGGCGGCAGAAAGACTAGGCATAAGAGAGACTAAATCTGCACTAGGGCGGCCTAAGTCGAAGGATGGGGAGCACCAGGATGGCTGCTTCCACTACCACCAAGACACGGACACGCTCACACGACGGGCTACAAGACGAGGGGAAATGATAGGGGCCGGTAGGTCCGGGCCTTTGCTCTCTCACCTTCTTTTACTATGGCTGACTTCGAGATCACCGTTTAGTTTGCGCTTCCGCGGCTGGGGACTTTCGGCGAGTGAGCAGTCGAGGCGGGTTGCTTGACATGATATGCAGCTGCTGTCGTCATCGTCTTCGCTCATGATGCACTTGATGCGGCGGCGCAAGCATGCGTCACAGGGCATGGCCGGCTGCACGCTGAGCGGTGAATCGGAGCCGGGGGATGTCAGGCCGCTCATGCTGTGCGGATAGGCGTCGAGGATGGTGCTCCCTTGGCGGCTGGGGGGCTGCCGTGAGGGCTTGGGGGCAATAGGGATGGGAGCCGTCCTTGCGACGGCGATAGGCGTGGACATGATGTCAGTCAAGGTGCGTCGCAGCAGGGCGGGTGTGGGAAGTGCCGTCGCCGGCGCCCGTGCTGGGCGTGGTACGCTCTGCTGAGAACAGGCAGAGGATGTATGGTGTCCTGGTGATAAGTGGGATGGGGGTCACCGAGGCTAGAGTAAGAGATTCGTAAGGCGAAACAGGGGGACGAAGGTACTGCTGCTCCGAATGCAGGCTGGAGAGGTACAAGCGGGCGCGTGACCGCTACGGTACCGGTAAAACCGTTACGTTTGGATGGTGTCAGCCCAGACGAGGCGCAGGCAGGAGCAATCCAAAGAAGGCCGCGGTGGCAGGAGGAAATGTCCCAAGAGGTTTGCCGATACTAGAAGGCCCCACGCGCTGCGGTGACGAACAGGCCAGGTCGGGCAGGCCTGAGAGGGGTATCAACCGAGCAGATGAATACGGAGATGGTTGGCCGATAAGGGGCGCTCCACAGATTTGCTAGGAGTGATGTTCACGGAAGGTTGACGGCCGAGTACGTGCTCGGCGCTTAGTGAAGGGCCAGGTTTGCGGCCTGAGGGAAGGTATTTCGTATGTATTTTGATGTCAAATGGTCGAGTCTGACCCCAGATGATAAGCCCTGCGTCGAGATAAGGTCAGACAAGGGCACTGGAGGCGGCGGACCGGTCCAGGAGGAAGGGGTGTGTGAACGACAGCCATAGGGGGTGTCTATACGACGTTATCATCCCTGGGACAAACCTACGTGGTAAAACGGCCAACGCAGATAGCAGTGAGCTTTGTATTTCCGATTCACTCCCCAGGGTTGGTCAAGCCAGGGTCGAGGGTGCGCCCGGTTGTTTATCTTGACCCCGTAGCGGCCGGCGGGCTCCGCGTCGACCTTGCCTGGGAAGTGCGGGCAAGGTGGCTGGCGGCACAGAAGGCTGAGAACCCGGCTGAGACGGCCGAGGTGAAGGCAAGCTGACGGTGGCGGCGGAATCAAGGCCCAGAGCGACAGTAGGCTATCTGGAAAATAGACTGCTGGCCTCGCCAGTCGGAAGATTCCGTATCTATGTGATGATGGAGGCAAGGATGAGATACTCTCGACTTGTCAACGTCATTTGAGGGCCACGAGTTGTTGCGAGGGTTTCAGTCTCGGTCTCGTTCTGCTGCCCTGGATTGTTTTCGCTCTCCCCGCCAGAATGCACTCGTGTAGCGACTTGGGTGCGAAGGTCTTTATTCAAAAGCGAAGCAGGTGCTGTACAGAGGCACTAGAGGAGAGGGAACCGGTGTCGAGCAGACCGCAAGGCTTATGCCTCGACCGCCATCTAACTGTAGAGAGAAAGGGCGTATGGTTACGTAGGCTGTGTGTGTGTGGTTTATGCGAGGAACAGGGACGCCAGAGCTGGGACGGGGCGTCTGATGCTACTTCGTTGCCTGTGGGTGTGTGGTTTTTCCTGCTTCTGTCTCCCCTTTTTCTGCGTTTATTTTTTTGGGCCTGGGTTGGTCCGGGGTTGGTTGAGATGTGTTGGATGTTTGGGTGGAGGCGGGAGAGAGATAAGGACAGCCTGGGGGGGGCTTATGCGTGATGGGAAGTCACCAGCCAGCACACCTTGGTACCTTGGGTAGCTTCAGTGCCGCGTGGTCGGTACCTGGCGTAGTGGAAGTACCGATCTCGACAACCCTGAGGTAGGGAGTGCCTTGTTTCTCTGCTATGCACCTTCAGACTGTAAGGAAGCTGAGTGAAGGGGGAAACGCTTGTCCGGGGAGAAAAGTAAAAATAAAGAGACGAAGAAAACAGGGACGTCAGATTTGAAGTCCGGGAAGCCCAAGACAAGAAGGGACAGGGAAAAGGATGGGAGAGTAGAATGGCAGCAGGGAGAGAACATCGACATCCCTACACAGTACCTCGAGGTACTTGCCTAGATACTGTAGGTACTTGCCTGCCTTGGCCAAACCTGCCTAGGTAATTGCTCGGGTGCTCTGCAAAAAGCATGGCCACCGACGCGGCCAAGATGCGGTTAAAGCCACGGGCCAAGGAGGCTTTGGCTGGCGGATGGAGCCTTTCTTGCTAAGGCCAAGGGCAAAACAGGCCCAGACCCTGGGCGCAGCGAACGGCAGGGCAGAGGCGCATCGCACGCGACTGCAACTCATGATAAGGCGGCTTGGGCTGGGGCGGCTGGGGCCTTCTTATCAGCGGATTTGCATGTGCATTGGACAACAGAAATACATAATGGGAAACAGCCCTTGCTCCATGGCGCCGCTTTGGGCATGACGGGCTTGGGCTGGGCTGGGATGCCGCTGTGGTGCAGCAGGAAAAGGACAGGAAGGAGAGAGAAAAGGCTTGCACAAGGCGGGCGCGGATTGGGTGGGCAGGGAATGCATGTGCGTGCTGCAAAGCTTAGGTATCGTCGCACGCAGGACGGGACCGATTTTTTTCTCGATTTACTTGGACGAGGCGCACACCAGACATCAAGCACTGTGGAGAGGACCCAAATCCGTCGTGGGGCAGTGGCTCCGGACTCGCAGCCAGCGCGCAGACAAGCCGGTCCATGTATGCGCCGAATGGAGGGCCATTACCAAATAGAAAAGGACCCCTAGTCGGCTTCCCGCCTCAGTCAATACCTTTAACGTAATGGCGCACGCCCGAAGCCCGTGGGAGCTGTGTCTCGCCGACTCTCTAGCGCGGGGCTCCATCCTCGATATTGGATGCGAGGGCGACCACCAGCAAGAAAAAAAAAAACGCCATAGACGACGTCTCAGACAGACAGAAATGCCTGACATTCGAGTACCTGCGAGTACTTCCTGCGAGTTCCTCCATCTCACCCTCTCATATTCCCCGGTGGGGTCACACAACAACGCCCGGCGACGGCGGGCGCGAGATCACCCGAGCCTGGGGAAGCGACCGAAGCGAGTCCCGTCGTCCGGTGCGCGCTGGCTGGCGGCCCTGCCCTCCACGCAGATCAGCACGCATACATATGCGGGCAAGGCGTCGCGCCGCCGATAACACTGTGCTGGTGAAGGGGTCGGGTCATGCAGGCAACCGGGTTGGCTAGGGTGCCAGGCTGCTGGAGCCAGTCAGACTGCGTGGAAATATCGAGCCAATTAGCGTTGCGGGTGTGTGTTGCCTGCATGGACCCCCACATTGCTCTCGCATGTGAGGTGGGATGAGGGGCATTCACGATGGACCAAGATGAACGGGCGACTGGAGGCGCACACGTGATGACGGTCCCAAATCGGCCCCAACCTCCACTGTAGGAAATGAGAATAAGAATAAAATGTCGTCATTCCGAGTAAGTGACGGCGAGGTGTCAAGCGAGCATTGGTGCCAGCCACCAGCCACAACCACTTGGAGCCAGCCCCTCACCGCAGGGGTTAAAGTTGTCACATGTCTTTGCTTGAACCGGCGCGAGCCGCACCGCCGGCTGACCTGCTCAACCCGTCTTGGTTGGCCGCCACACCATGCAGATCTCGCGGTAGTCCTCGGTCGGCTCCGCCGAGCCTCTCTTTGGGATATCCATGCCAAAGCCGCCCAGGGTCACAAACCCGAGACGCTTGTATAGCGCTGCCGCCACGGTGGTGCTCTCGAGGTAAACTGGAAGCATGCCGTCCGCCTGTGCCGCAGCCATCACGGCACGCGTGAGCGCCTCCCCGGCGCCCATGCGCTGGAACTGAGGGTCGGTGCAGACAAATTCCAGGTCTGCTCTTGGTGGACTTCGGTGCGACCAGGTCGGTCACCGTCGGCAGATTAGTCAAGATGGTGATTCTCCATCCCTTCTTATCTCCCCGACGTCGCCTCGGGGATCGGTATGGGGACTCAACCGGGGACTCGACTGGGGATCGGGCATGGATGGAAACCAGGGACTTGGGGATGAGGGGATACCCCGGGAAGATGGGTTGCGATGCCTGAGTCGAGCACATGGCAGACGAGCAGGGATAAGGAACCTAGACAAAAAGGGCCGAACACTGTCTTCACCGCTTTCGACTCACGGTAGCATTTTTCGCCCTTGAGTGCCTCCACCGCGGCGCTGGCCGAAAGCGCCGCATAGTTCTCTAGGTACTGCTTCTGGCAGCCCTTTAGCTTTGTGATGTCACCGCTCTCGAGCCTCTCCTCCTCGGCCACCTCACCGGCCTCCACCTCGGCCGGCACGTCCCAGGCGGCGAAGCTGACGATCTGACGTGAGGGCAAGTGCCGGGCGACCAGGGCCCGAGACCGTCCTGGACTCCTTGGTGCTATGGTGGACTCGTAGTGCCCTGCCAGGAAAACCTCGAGACGGCGGATGCTGTCGACGGTTGGAAATTGCGCGTGCAGGAGCGGGTTTGCGTCCATCGCCCGCACGTGGATCTCAGCCATGCGGCGACAGTCGCCGGTTGCTGGCGCGGACAATTCGAACATATTAGCCGTCACCACCCGTGCTGTACTGGCAGGCTTTCTCGTTGCTCCAAAAGGCACATAACCGTGGGCGGCTGACGATGTGAGGTTTGGTGTTTTCGTGCCCACCTCGCAGTTCACCTCGCAATCCACCCACGCCACCGTCTGGAGCACCCAATCAACGCAAGGCGTCATGTGACCGAGTCGGTGGCTCGGAAGCGTCCCGAAACCGCACTACCTACGACCTGGGCACCTAGGTAACCTTTGTCCCGGCGTCGACCGGCTTCATGGCAACTCCCTTTCCGGGGCACGGGGCTTCGACCTAGGCTGCCAACTAGCCACAGTGCCGTGATAAGCCCCGGAGATGTCAATGACGACCTGCATCTGTCCGGAAGGCCCACCTCTTTCCCAGGATCCGGAATAATGATCTGGAGTACGTACCAGTATGGCGATAAATAATCGAATTGTCATAGGCCATATATAGAGGCGAGCTGTTTTCTTTCGTACTCCGAAGACGCTATGGAGTTAGTTGTTACCGAACCTCAAATCGGTCATGGGCCTTGTAACGTCACGAATGACTATGGGCCTGAAAGACGTCACGAACGGCGCTAGCATCTACTAGGTAGATGATACAGACATAACTATGCCACTATGATGTAACGTCGACATCGGTAAAAGTAGGATGGATGGGCATTTAAAAAAGAGCCAGGCCAGTTCTCAGAAAGCGAGACCGGGAAATGCGTTCTGCTCAACATCCAATCCAAGAAACGTTGGTTAATCATCCAACACCAACAAGGACGAACCGCAGATAAACCAGGCATATTCAACATGGGGTATCCAGACACTTTCGAGGGCTTCTGCGTCGATTCACCCAAGACCTGGAACAAGTTTTACAAGCATGAGTTGAAGCCCAAGCCTTTCGAGGAGAACGACATCGACGTCAAGATCGAGGCGTGCGGAGTTTGCGGGTCCGGTGTTCACAGTGAGTTGAAGACTGTTGGACAACACCACAAATGCCAGTAGTTGATATTAATGTACTGACAAAAACCTTACCATATAGCTCTCACAGGCGGAAGGGGCGACTTTGAGGGTGTGAGTATAGCTTTCTATGGTCGTATCCTGGGTCCACACGATAGGTCGATTAGACTAACCGCCGGATGATAGCCCCTGTACGTCGGTCATGAAGTAGTCGGGTAAGTTTATATCTACAATTGGATAACTGCCATTGGTCGGCTGACAGCGTTGTGTCCCAAAAGCCGCGCCGTCAAAGTAGGAAAAAATGTCAAGAACATCCGCGAAGGCGACAGGGTCGGGCCGGGCAAGAAGGTGGCCGTCGTCGGGCTCGGCGGCCTCGGGCACCTGGGCCTGCAGTTCGCCGTGGCCATGGGCGCCGAGGCCTACCTCATCACGCACCCGCCCCGGAAGGCCGAGGACGCGCGGACGCTCGGGGCCAAGGACGTCATCGTGAGCGGCGAGGAGGGCTAGCACGAGAAGTAGGCCTTCACCTTCAACTTCTTCCTCAACACGGCCGACGCCCTGGACCAGTTCGACCTGGCGCAGTACTTTGGGACGGTGCGGGTGGGCGGCCAGTTCCACACCGTCGGGATCTCGGACAAGCCCTTCCCGGAGCTGACGGCGTTTGCCTTTGCGTCTAACGCGGCTAAGCTGACGGGCAGTCACTTGGGGAATCACCAGGAGATGGACGACATGCTGAAGCTCGCGGCGGAGAAGAAGCTCAGGCTGTTACGGGACCAGACCAAGGTAATACCCGTTACACCAAGGCAAAAGAGGAACGTTGTTGTAGCTGGGGCTACAACCCATGCGAGGTCCTTATAAGCGACTGTACCGTGATACAGGCCGTGGGTGCAGACCATCGATGTCTCCGAGGATGGCTGTAGGGAGGCGGTGGAGAAGGTCAAGAACAACGACGTCCGGTATCCGTTCACGCTGGTGAACTTTGACAAAGCTTTTGGCAGCCGTTGAGTCTGTAAGACATGCGTGAAGGGCGATGATTGTGTGCGAATAGCCAGCACGGGAAGCGAAATGGGGGTTGAGAAGTCAATTGGGGCCCCGCAGTGGCCGCACGATGACCTCAGCGCGTGTCTCTAAATGCAATTAAACCCTCGTATTCACAGACGGCCTGTGCAGACGAGACGGGAGGAAATCGGACCGTCCCTCGAGCTGGCCTTGGTTTTGATATGGGACGCGTCTCTAGCTTGAGGACGTGCGGTGCAGGGTGAGTGCGCATTTGACGCCCTTTGGCTGCTCTGACGCGTTCACATCATGCTCATGATCAAACGAGCGGAACGGCTTGTGGCGCTTAAAGAGTTAGAACGCCCGCCAGCCAAGCGAGCCGTTTGTAGTAAAACACGAGATGCAGAATGGAGACGATCTTGACGTTTGAAATCACACGCAACGGCCACGACGAATGGTGGCAGCATTTGGATTTAGATGACTGACGCGCGCGGCTCGTCAAGGATTATGGGCCTATTTACAGCGGCTCAGCGAGGAGCCCACCCCTGTTCACCCCACTCTAGGTGCCACTGCCGACGCGCTGTCAGCCTCAGGGTGCTTCCAGAAGCCTGCACTACTGGATTGACCCTGGTCAAGCAAGACTCGAGGAAGACCATGGTCTGCCTGCCGCCTGTGGTTTGACCCGGCCTCGATTTCGCATGTTTGTGTTTTGTTCTGGACCGTGATTGTAGGGGCAACACCTAAACAGACTGGGCGTCGTCGGCTGGGCTTCCAAACATCATCATCCATCGCCACGCTGGAACCATCGCCCCCTCCCGCAAGCCACTCCCGCGCCGTCCATGTGTGACCTGAGACATTGGGCGGGAATCCTGATCGAGTTTTGAGTCGACGAGCGGCAAGCTCTTGGCGACCCCATCCCGACCTGGCCTCGACGGGCAGCAACCAAGAGCAAGAGACGCAATACCTGCAACGGCAACGGCCCGGCCACACCTGGCAGCTAATATGACATGGACACGTCGGCAAGGTCCATAGGGGTTGAAGCGGGACTGAGCGACGTGGCCGTGACTGACACCGCCGACGGCTCGACGCAGCGCGGGGGCCGGCCTTCAGGAGACTCTGCTGCCGAGCCGTCGCCCATGTCCAAGACCAGGTCTCTCTCCGATGGCGGAGGCACGCCAGCCACCAAGCTGACGCCATCGCCGCTCACCATCGACGCCGCCCGCCGCACCTCCAAGGACGACAGCGCCATCCGGAGCCCCGCCATCCCAGCCCTGCCCGTCACCCCGAGCCGCGCCGGTTTCGCCCACCGCGGGAGCAGCGGCCTCGCCCAGTCACTACGCCTTCCGCACCAGGGAGCCGGCATGGCCGGAGCAGCAGCAGCAACCGCCGCCGCCGCCACCGCAGGCCAGTCGTCGCCGGCCAAGCCAGCACCTCTATCGCCCAAACTCGACCACTCGCACATCTACGCCTCCCCCTCGAGCGCCCTGCCCCGTAGGTCTCGCGGCCTCGACTTCTCTCGCGCCGCCACCAGCCTCCACCACTCGACCCTCGCCGAGCAGTCCTCGCCGGACTCGTCCCCGACCATCGGCGGCCGGGGCGCCATGAACATACCGGGTGGCGGCGGCGGCGCCCGGCGCCATGGCGACTTTGGGCCCGCCGAGACGACCACGTCCCTGTGGTCCATGATGGGCAACCACGAGAAGATGCACATATCCAGCTCCGTCGGCAGCAGCGCCAACCACATGCTCGGCTCCGACTCATCCTCAAGCTCCGACGGCGACGACCTGATGGACGAGGACACGGACGAGCCCTACATCACGACCCCGCAGATACAAAAGACCACGCCGCACCCGGGGCTCGGCGGCCCCCCGCCCTGGGCCCCCGCGGGCTCGCCCGCCTTCAACAGTCTGCTCTCTTTCCAGCAACGTCAGCGACCCCGGAAGCAGCATAAGAAGCGCCTGCGAGGTCCGATCGGGCTTGGGTTTAGCTCCATCGTCGGGGGCGGCGCCCTGACCGCCTCCAAGTCGCCCCCGAGCTCGCTGGGCGCCAGAGAACCCTCGAACCAGCACCCACGCCGCGAGAGCATCAGCTGGGCTGCCAACCAGCTCAACATCTCGGGCAACGAGAGTGACGACGGCATGAGGCCCCCGATCATGGAGAGCGTCGAATCCGTCTTGGGGACGCCCAGCAGGGACGGCCAGACCGAGGCCGTCCGGCGCGTCGTCACTCGTCGTGGGAACCTAATGGTAAGCTTTATCCTCGGCCGAACGCGTCCGAGCAGTCTAGCCTCCCGACCCCCGTCTAACACTTGCTTCTCCCTACATAGCCCAAGACCAAGGCGTTTGCCCGAATGCGCGCCGCCCTCGCCGAGGAGGGCACTCCCGTCGACAGCGAGGTGCGGCGCGAGGCTGAGGTGGTGCGACAGGTGCGCGAGAGCGACGTGGACCACCACCGGCCGTTGCCGTCGACCGAGACCGTGGCCGTCCTGTCGAGCCCGAACCTGGGCACGCTCGAGGTGGACGACGCGGCGCTCGCCGACGACGCCATGATGGTGGACTCGTCGGCCCTGCAGGGCGGCGGCGGCGGCCTCTCGTCGAGCTACAAGCTGCGCGCGCTGCGCAACCTCCGCGGCGGCAGGGCCGTCTGGGACACCTTTTCTGACACGTCGAGCACGGGTGCGGGGGTCACGACGCCACCGCCGCCACCACCGCCACCCTCGCTGCTGCCCAGGGGCTCGTCATCGGCCATGACCGTTGGCAGCAACACGGACGACATGTCGATGGACTCGCCCTCGACCGCCTCGGGCGGCATCTTCCCCATGTCGCTGAACACTCGGAGCAGCTCCGGGGGCGACACGCCACAGCAGCAACAGCAGCAACTACAACAACAACAGGCGGGCGGCGTCGGGACGGCGGCGGCGACGGCAGCGGCAGCAGCGGCAGCGGCAGTGCCGAGCGCGGCCGAGATCACGCGGCGCATCAACAGCAAGCGGCGGCGCGACGACGACCTGGACCCCGTCAGCTTCAAGCGGCGCGCCGTCTCGCCCGGCGTCAGCGCGCACGGCTCGCCCGTCATGCAGAGCCCGCTGCAGCGCGACATGGTCCCCTGGGGCTCGCGGCCCGGCAGCAACGGCCACGACAGGCCCGGCAGCGGCGCCCCCAGCGAGAGCGGCGGGAGCCAGAGCGGTGGCGGCCGGGGCGGGGGCGGAGGCGGCAAGGGCCGCGTCGGTTACCAGGGCATGGTGGACACCAACGACGGCATCACCAAGCTCAGTATCGACTGAGGGCGGTCGTGGGGTTGGAATGTAGGGGTGTCTGTGTGTGTGTGTGTGTGTGTGTGTGTGTAGTTGGTTGACCTGGACGCTGCTTTTTTTGCTAGGTGGCGTGTGGCGCGTGACGCTTGGCGAGAGACCAGATGTGCTTATATTTCAAGATCATGCCATGACATATCCTACACACAGTCTCTTGTTTGTGATCCCGCTCAGCTCAAAGCCCTTTGCTGTTGCCGAGCGGTGAAGGAAAGGCGTGTCGGTTGGTTGAGATGTGACGAGGTGTTGTCCGGCGCACGCGATGGCTTCGTGATTCCTGAGGGATTAGAGTGACAGCATTTTGGGTACTCATGTCGATTTTCCGATTTTCTTTTTTTTGCAAAGTCATATTTTTATTAATCCAAATGCGCGTGCCCCGAGTCTTTCATTGCCTCGCGCACTCATACCCCGTATAAAATAACCATGATTATACCGGACACCCTCCAAATCGGCGTCCCGGCTCCCTATTGCGTGTATCGGCCATGCTTCCCGGGGTGCTCTGTTACGCCATCGCCATGTAGTGGTTGATTAAACATGGGGATGGACTATTGCTCGTCAATGGCTCTGCGTATGGCTTCGGACCAACTCGCTGTGCAAATGGGCGATATGATAGCGGGCCTATGGGGCGTCTCGTTCCAAAATATCTCTATACTCCCCTTTTACCACAAAGAAACACACACAGAATGACAATACTTGCACCAAAAGACGTCGCCGTCTGTCATGAGCTACTGGTCTTTCTTCCTTTCTTTTTTTTTTCCACTCTCGCCATGGGACTTTGAGAGTGCTCCCAACTCATCGCGCCTCTAGAGAGCACCCGGCGCCCTCGTCAGGGACCCAGAGCGTGTCGAGCCTCTCGTCGAGCCACCGGGCCAGCTCCTCGGTGTGTCGGCGTGTCAAGCCGGCGGCGGCGGCACCGACGCTGGTGGCGGTGGTGGACGGCGCGGCGCTAGTGCCACTCAGCACACTCGTCGTCTCCGACGGCGACCCCACTACCGCCGCCGACGTGGGTGCCTGTGGTGCTAGACTGTTGCTGCCCCCGTCCGTGCCCGGTGCGACAGCTGGGTGGGCAGGGGTTGTGTTGGACTGCTGCTCGCCTGCCGATGTCGAGGGGCCCTCTCGTTCTGCCTCGTCTCTAGGCCCGTCGACGTGCACAGAAGCGGGAGCGGCGGCGGCGGCACCGGTTTGCGCGGCAGACGGACCAGCGTCTCCGCCGCCGCCGCCGCCGCCGGCCGCGGACCCGAGGACCAATGCAGATGAACAGCAGAGGGCTCTTGAGCGGTCTTATGACGACAACGGCGCCCGAGAGCTGGACGGTTATGCTGGCCGGCCGGCCGGCGCGTGCGATGTCGACGGACTCTGCGGACGCCGATGGCGGGAGGGCGGCGGCGAGGGCGCTCCCGGTCGGCCTGCTGCCCCTCGCGCCGGCTGTGTCGTCGCTGCCGGGGCTCTCATCGCGGTCGTCGTTGTCGTCGGCGCTGCTCGCGCTGCTGCTGCTGCGGTCGCGGGCGCCGGCGCGTGCTCGTGCGCGGCCTCTTGCGGCGGCCGAGGCGGAGCTCGGGGTGGTGGCGGCGGTCGAGGGCGGGGTCGCGGCGGACTGGATGGCCCAGATGGAGGCGGCGACGGTGCACTGGGTGCGCAGGGTGCTGACGGGGTGGCGGGAGGCGTAGGCCAGCAGCTTGCCCGACAGGGTGGTGACGATGGCTGAGTGGATCTGGGGCGAGAGGCTCGACTGCAGAAAGCCCGAGAGGCGCTTCGTGTAAAGTAGTGGAGGGGGTCCGGCGGCGAGAGGGGCGTGCTGCTGCTGCGCCTGCATCGCCGGCATGTCTCCCTCGCGAGGGCTACGACGTGGTGCTGGCGAAGGCCCCGAGGTTGGCGGTGGTAGCTGGCGGTGCGCCGTCGTCTCGGTGCCTGGAGCCGGGTGTCTGGAGTCCCGCGCCCGCGGGCGGTGGTTTTGGCGGGTGGTGAGAAGAAAGAAGTGGTCGCGGTTGTCGATGGCGTCGCCGGCTGGTCGGTAGATGAATGGGGAGGGAGGGGCTCAAGCTGTCGGCTGACGAACGATTGGTGTTTGAGAAGACGGTGTCCTGTCTGGTGCACTGGTGCACTGGTGCTGACCCAGCCCGCTGGACTCAGCTAATTGTTTGCGTCTGCAGGCGCTACCTAACCTGGTACTTTAGGCGGCGCGGGCCAATGGAATTTGGGCTGAAATCGGTGGTAATCAGCGGCGGCTTGGGCTCGTTATGGTGTGCTTCATCAAATAGGGAAGGCACTATCAGGAATTGACCAAGGCTGGCACTTGCTAGGAAAGGCTACTCCGGCAAGATACATTCGAGTGGGACCCGCATTCAACGACCCGATTAAAGTGCAATTTCTAATTTAAAACCTGACACTACCACCTCGTATCTTGGGCAATATCTGCCCAACCCAAACAGCAGCATAGCTCACTCAGTCAAGCAGAGAAATCCGCAGGGGTGAGCCCTCCCGCTGGCGCTGAGCGGCTGCGGCATACTCAATGCCCCAGCGGCGGTGCAGGTCGTCCTCGAGCGTCACAAACATGCGCCCGTCCGGGTCCTTGAGCCGCCACTGCTCAAAGGCCTCCTGCGCCATCCTGTACACCTCCCACGTCGCCGGACACTCAGTGCTGCGGTGGTACTGGAGCAAGTCACCCACCACCTCGTCCAGCCCGGCGTACTCGGCCAGCAGCCCGTCGAACAGCTCGCGGCCCTTGCTCACGTCGACTGCCCCCTTGCAGTCGTGGACGCACGCCGGCGCATCTGGGTCGAGGTGTAGGCACCCGCAGCCCGGGCACTCGTCCGGGTCCGGTAGCTCGTGGAACGTCATCATGCGGTACAGGAGCGCGCCGACCGCGAACAGCTCGCTGCCTTGGGTGTACGGCCGCTTGTCCTGAGGAGTGCCCGGCGCACGACGTGTCAGCAGACTGCATGGTGTATCGTGTGTGGAGATCTATCTGATCATGGGGGGGTATTCGGGTTCAAGTACCTTGGGTTCGCTGCGTATGGCTGCCTTGCCCTTGAGCAGCTGCAGCCACATGCCCATGACGGGAGCGTCGCCCCTCTCGGGTGCGACCACCACGCCCTTGACGGACCGGGCGTTGACGTGGCCCGAGACGTGGATGTGGGAGTAGTTGCCGAGCTTGCAGAGGCCGTACGACTCGATGCCCCGCGGCTGCTGGAAGAAGACGTTTTCGGGCGTGATGGCGCGGTGTAGTATGGGCATCCAGTCCGGATCCGCAACGAAGGGGCGCGCGTGGCGCTGGACGCCCAGCCGGGGGTCGTCACCGAAGCGCACGTCGGCCATGTGCCGGTCAACCATGTAGGCCGCCTCATCCTCGCGGTAGCCGTCGTGCAGCCACGCGAGCCCGCGGAGCAGCGACAGGACCACGTGCCAGCACAGCGACGCCGGCAGGAAGCCCCCCGAGCGCGGCAGCACGGGCGGGTCCCGGAAGAGCAGCTCGAGCGTGCCGGCGTCGCAGTAGTCCCACGCCATGAACCGGGCCGTCTTGCCCCGCTCGGCGCCGGCCTCGGGGTCGGTGGTGGAGACGTAGCCGGCTATGGAGACGAGGTTTTCGTGGTTGAGCAGGTTCTCCAATATCTCGCCGAAGCCGCTGTCGACGATCGCCTTGATCCGCGCGGGCCGCCCCTCGCCCTCGAGAGTCTGGGCCAGCAGCACCTCGCCGTCGCTCTTGCGGTGGATAAGCACCTTGGCATATCCTTTCCTATCGGTCAGAACCTTGGTGATGTCAAGGCCGTCGGACGAATCCGTGATTCGCGTCGAGGATGACATCTTTGGCGTCCGGGTAAGTGGCCCCGTCTCGAAAGCCTTGCAAGTTAGATCTGTTGCTAGTGTCTAGGCCCAGAATCCAAGCATCACATCCTCCGCCTCTGCTTGGGAGGAAGTCAAGTTTTCTTCCGGGGGAGAAGACAAAGAAGGCGACGAACGCCGCGCCATTTCCTGCCATTTCCTGCCATTTCCTCTCTTTCTTTGTTGTGATGCCATCTCCCTGGAATGCTGCCATCCCTTTCCGGCCTCCCTCTAGGAAGGCAAGTGCAAGGCACCACCAGTTGGCACACCGAGTTGGGCGACTTGGCATGTACGAAAAGAGGGCAAGCTCCCTTGCATACTGCCTGGGCCCCCGGCGCAAATCGATGCCAGGAATGCCGATACCATGGCTTCGTTTTGCGTTCGTCGATCAGAGAAACGTTTTCCCAACTAGTCGGATGGTTTTCTTGGCCATACTTGGCGTTTTCTACCCATCTTTGTGTTTCTGCAAGTACGCGCGCGCATTCTTGCATCGTGGCTGCCAAGACTTGTAGAGTCTCCCTAATATGCCACCTACTTTTGTCTTCCTTGCGACGCATCAAAATGCTCGCTCCTATTGCCAGTCATCCACCCCCCGCCTCCCCGTTCGTGCTCGTCTTTGGTGTTACGAGACCGCATCTCCTTGTCCAAATCGGGCCCATCCAGCCGCCAAGAGGCCCCGAGGCTTCTAGAAGTAACTCAAAAGTGTGTGCTGGGGCGGGGGCGGGCGGGGGCTCAGGAGTGAGAGAGGCAGAAGGTTTCAAGGGCCAGCCTCCGTCACCGTGTCAAAAAGACGTCGCCTCGACCTTTTGATACCTGCCAAGAAGATCAAATTGGACATGTCTCAATGGCTATTCCAGCTATCGGCCGGCCTCGGTTAAAACACGCCACGGAAATAACAACGTCGACATGCTATCGCCCCGAACAGGTATGAACTGCCGGGCGGATGCATCACCTTCCAACGCACCACACCGCACAGCGAGTGGCAGAAGTGGTACCTACTACACCTCATCCACCCCGGCCGGCACCGTGACACACTGATCGTTGATGTTGCCGATCTTCGGTGCGTGCGGCCGGAAACACGCGTCAGCCTCATGTAGCCGAAAGGAGCCCCTTGGACAGAATCCTGCTGCGATCTCCGACAAGAGACAAGTTCATCCCAAATATTCATTTTTTTCTTCTTCTTTTAAGTTCCTTGTCCTTTCTTGCACACGGGCGTGTGCCGTCTATTCCTTCCTTGCCGTCCTTCTGCCTTCCCCCGTTGCGCATGAAGCCGTCCAGGTGTTCACATCGGATGTCACTGACGATCGCGGCTTGATTCGTCACCATCCCTTTTTGTCTCTCTGCCGCGTCCCTTCCGGCATCCCCACCTATGCCTGCCCGGGACAGGATGTGATATGCGTCGTCTTTTTTTTTCGTTTTCGGGGAGGCTCTCAAAGCACCATGTACAAAATGAAAATGGTACGGCGGTGGCATGGACGACTGGCGATCGTTGATAAGAGGCCTCCCCCCACCCACACCCACACTCACACGTCCAGCGCGGAATTCGACGCTTCCGGGGGTAACGAAGATAAAGAATTTGGGAAAGGAAGCAACAGAAAGCAATGCGCTGTCGGCTGATGATCCCCAGGGGAACCAGCCCCCCATCATCCACTCCACTCACCTCCCCCGTGTCCACTGCCGCCACAGGCCGCACGAGATGCCGGGGAAACATTCGATGCGGGTCATATCTGTGTTCACTTTCCTGGCCCTCTCCACCGGACAGAGATTGAAATCCACCAGGCAGAGATGAGAAAGAAGGGTTGTGTCCATCGCGAACGGGATGCCGCCCCACTGCCGGCATAAATACCCACCAGTTGGTTGCCCCAGTGCCCCCCCCATGTTTCCGATGCTTGAAACATCGGCCCGGATCGAGCAAAGCTGCTGCTTTCGTCCCACTGAAACGACATATGGTTTCAGCCTACAATGGGCAAGGCCTTGAACCGGCCTTACCTGTGCTTATCGACTTTCTCTTCAACGCCACACGCACCTCTTCAACGTGCCCATCGAAGACTTGCTCTCAAAGTTGGCAACTGATGATTCTTCAACTATTAGTACAAGACCCTGGCGACCCTACCATTATGAACTGGGCGCGACCTGCAAAGTAAACAAAAACAATAGATAGCCGTAGACCTCGTGATCCAAGCTCCCTCGTGATTAACCCTCGGCCGCCGCATTGCATGAACGTTCCCGCTTGCCAAAAACCAACGCGTCTATAATGCTTGATGCTCGTGTCCGGATCTGAATGCACGCAACTTCCAAAAAAGGAAAAATGATCAAACAAAGAACGAAACCCTATTCCAACTGGACCATCCCCGAACTCCCAACACCCTTTCTTGCCTTTCGAGACACTTCGACCGCACCATTAGCGACGTGGCGGCGCGCGGTCGGTCACAGTCTGAGTCGGTCGAAAGGGGACGGGCTTCGGTCACAGGTGCGGGGATGGGATCTCGCGTCGGGAGGCAAGGTTTATACGGCTGTCTCCCGTGTCTCTCTGCGCCAGCAAGAGATGGCAAAGCCAAGAGATTGTTCAGGCAGTAAATGAGTGTGGCTCGTCTTTCCAGCTCCCAAGCCCAGGCCGGTGGGCAGGTGGGTTTGAAAAAGGAGATGTAGAAAAGAGTGTGGGGGGTTATTGAAAGATGAGAAAAAAACGTGATGTTTTTTGGGTACCCTTTCAACTTTTTTTTCTTTCTCGTTTTTTTAAGTCTTGTCTGAACGTACAACCTGTCTCCGTGGGCTTGTTGCTTGCTTGAAACCAGCTTGCCGCAAAGCACGGCTCTCCCTGCCTCTCGATCGGGTCTTTCGCCTGCGCCCAAAGTGGAATTTGGTGGTTGATTTTGGACTCGTCGATAGGGGGCAATGACTCGTGTATTTGCGGTGGGCCGCATGTCAAGCCTGCTCGCTATTTCGCTATCTAAGATGGCCAGGGGGGTCCCTCCCATCCAGACGAAGCGGGCGGCTCTTGGAAGCAGCTCGTGAATTATGCGAAAGCACCGACAATCGACATGCCCAGAGCTGTATTTTGCAGAAATTTCCAGGGTCAGTACGTGCTCGCAGCGTCGCAAATAGAGTTTAGGGGTTGCCAATCACTCACCTCCGAGAAGAACGTAGCAGAAGGCACTGATCTTCATGCTGGTGGTCATAATGGCCTGCGCCTCCTCGGAAAGGAAGTCCTCGGCGAGAAGGTCCACAAGGGCAGCGTAGATGAGCAGACCAGATGAGCTGTGGAGGGTGATGGATGGATGGTCAGTGTGGTCCTTGAAAACAGATGTCATGGCTTCGGATGGTGACGTCACTTACATGGCGTTGAAGATGCCCACGATGATGAGACCAAAGGCGCTGTCGGGGTCGTACGAGTTGCGGGCAGCGAGACCGATGGCCTGACCGATGGGGGCGGTGGAGCCGAAGGCGATGACCAGGAGCCACGGGCGGAAGCTTCCGGGAGGGTAGGGGACGGCAGCGATACGGGAACCGAGACCGAGACCCTCGAACATCTGGTGGAACAGGATGGCGACGAGCAGGATGACGAAGCCCTCGTTGGTGATGCTGATGGTCATGCCAACGAAGACGGAGTGGAACAGGATACCGCCCTCGAGCATGGTGATGTTGAGCGACATCTTGCGGTACACAAGCGGGTCCACCACCTCGCCGTTCTCGTCCAGCCAGCGGCCCGGGGGCGCCACCATGTTGGCCTTGGTGGCCGCCATCCTGGGCTCGGAGTTGGGGTCCTTCCACGAGTTCGAGGCGGCCTGGATCTGACGGCTCTGGTTTGTGTCGGTCTCGCGGATCATGTTCATCATCTCGAGCCTCTGGCGCACGTACTGCTCGTAGAAGACGACGAACCACGCCGGCATCTCCGAGTCGGAGTTGTAGCCCTTCTCCGGGTCCGCGAGGGGGCCGCGGCGCGCCGCCGACACCTTGTTCTCCTGTTCGTACATCTGCTGCGCCATGCGCTTCTCGAAGTCGGCCTGGTCCGCCTCGAAGTCGTCGGTGTTGTAGCGCGGCGGGCGCGGCGGCGAGGGCGCGGCGCCGTGGGAGTGGCCGTGGGAGTGGCCGGAGTTCAGATCGCTTCCGGTCGGTCCGCCGTGCGAGTGGCCTCCGGTCTTGGCGTTGAGGTACATCTCGATGACGAACAGGCAGAAGAGAGATGTCATCATGATGACTCCGGGCAGGGGTGGGTAGTCGTCGGTGAAGAGATCGGGCAGGCATGGGTTGGACAAGCTGAAGAAGGCGGTCGGTAGGAGATGCACAAAGGCCGTTGCTATCAGGACACCGGTTCCGAAGTGCTTGCAAGCAAAGAAGACCTTGGGTGGGATCTTCAGCCACTTGACCTTTTTGGCTGTTACGGGGAATCCAGCGCCAAAGCTAGAGGCGGCGAAAACCATGACTGTTTGGGTCGAGCAGGGCAGGTGGTTAGCAGCCCGGCTCCCGACGCTTGTTGCCTCAGTCGTAGGGGCGGCGGCACTTACAGACGGCGGCGACGTGGAGCGGCAGGTCGTACTCGCCCGTGTCCGCCTTGTTAGCGCCGCATATGGGCTTGACCTTTTCCATTGCTTCCGCCATGGCTTCCTATGGACCAAGTGACGGGCTCAAGGAAGTGAGAAGAGACTAGAAAAGGATGGCAACAAACGAAGCCGTCCTGCAGCCTCGGTGTTGTAGAAAGGAAAAGAAATAAGAAAAGGGCAAGGGAAAAGGGACGACTAAGCGTCAAGAGAAGTGAAGAAAATGGGGTGAAGAGAAGAGAACATGAAAGTCAAGAGAAAATGACAAGAAACGAAGTACACCCTGGACCATCATATGCAAAGACGGCCAGGCATGATCTCAGCAAGAAATGGCTGGGTGGTATTTTGGGAGATCAACCGTCTTAATACAAGCTTATCGCACACGACAGCGTTCCATCTTGCAGGGCAAGAATATCCGCGCTTGGCGTCGAGGCGTTTTCTTCTTCTTCCTCTCTTCGACAGGCAAGTGGAAGAGCGATAGGGTTCCACAATTGCACTTGTGACCAGAGACCAGGGAGGCTTGCGCCGCTTGGAGGGTCTGGAAGGTTGCGATGTGCGTCCAGGAAAGGCAATGGACGATAAAGAAGCCAAAAAAAAACACGGCCGCGCGTGTAGGGGAGAAAAAAAGGGGCCAGCCGAGGGAACGGGGCCAGGCATGTTTTGGCTGGGAGACAGGGAGTTGGGAAACAAGGGCCTCTGCAACTGGGGGAGACATTCCCGGTGGCGCACGCCCCTTTGGTCGGCCTCGATCCCTGCGCGATGCTGGCCAGGAAGCACGGATGCGCCCACTGCCCGTCCATAAATTCTCTACAATTGTGAGACTGGGCACGAAGAGGGCAGCACAGACCAGGGCTCCCCAGCTCGGGCGAGGCGGGTGACATGGGGTGCGTTTCCGGGGCCTGCGCGCTTGGGGCGAGGAAAGGGCGAAAGCGAAGAGGGCAGCATGGTTTCGCACCGAGCTAAGCTTCATCGCCAGCTTCACACCATGGCTTGGCACAGAGACATGACAGCCCGGGAAGGCAGGGCGAGGCGGCTGGCGGCGGCGGCTTGGTTCTGTGGAGGGCGGCAGATGAGCAGACGAGCATGCGCACGCGAGCCAAGGTTTTGGCTTGGCGCTCGGTGTCCGTCCCATCGCATTTCATCCAACAGGCTCGGCTCGAGTGACGTTTGCTTCTTGTCTTGTTGGCTTTCTGTGCAGCTTGCCGCTCATGGAGTCGCCATGGCGGGCGGCTCCTGGCACAAGGCAGGCCGTGGCCAGGGACTCCCGCAACCAATGGGGTCGCGGGGAGTTTTGTCGAGTTGTTTCGACGGCAACTAAGGCGAGAACAATGTTGAAAGTGTCCGACAGAACTGCCGGAGCGTGCGTCGAACAGGGACTGCAGGGACTGGAGCTGAAGGTAGCCGATGAAATTTGAAATACCTGGAGTGGAGAGGCTGCCGTGTGAAACAGCGCGCCCCACGCGACGCCAGCTGGGCCGGTACCTACTGTGCCGTTCCTGCCTTGGGTTCCTCCAGTCCTAGATATCCACAACAGGCCGTTTGCTGGCACCCGCCGTGTGCCGTACCGGGCTTTATTTGATGGAGGCCGGCACTTTGCTCGGTGTCTGGTGGGCCTTAGCCTCGAACTCAATGCTCCCGGCTGCTTTTTAACTTTTTTTTTTGTGTGTGTCCTCGGCCTGTTTCGTTAGGCGTGTCTATATGCGCGGCGCGCAAAAGGCAATCAATCATCAATTGTTGGTTCTTGTTATAAGATAAAAGCCACCTGGAGCATCCCGACAAATCGACAAGTCCCAGGGATATCTCCAGACACCAAGACCTGGGGGAGGCCAAGTCGGCAATGGCGCGTCTTGGTGCAGACGATCCAGATCTCGCTGCATTTGCTTAGCTCTCTTGGCCGCCTGGGCGAAAATGGAAAGATATAGCGTGACTAGTTTCCCCAAGGGGCAAATCCTGTGCCATGGAGTCTGGCTGGACCCCTTCTAGTGGGGGTTTAGTGAAGGTGGGGGAGATACTCCAGCCTGGCCCAGCCGTCATCATCATGCACAGTAAACAGTTGGGCTCCTCTCCCTCCTGTCCCCAGAGTGGACTCCTCCGGTCGGAAAACCAACTCGGTCGGAGTGGATGGTTTGCCCCCGGCCGTGTCCTGTGTAAGAGCACGGGGTGAGCGGTGCTAGAGCCAGGAAGATGAAATGCTTCAAACACAAGATCGGCCTTGGCGGCCAGCATTGGTGCTGCTCGTGCCCTCCGTTTGCCACCCGAAGAGCCTCCTCTGACGCTTGGCAGCCCCACCCAGCACGGGTTGCCCGTCTTCCGGCCGAAACAGACAACTGCATATAACACACTATTGGTTGGTATCTTTGCGCTGCAGCCCCAGGGGAAAGAAAATGCACGTTTTTGTTTTTTTTGGTGTCCCGCCGCCGCTGCTCGCAGCCCCTGCCTGGGCCATTCTTTTTGTGTTGAACAAGTCGTGCTTGCCGCCATCTCCGAGTCTCGGCTGCTCTTGCTCCATGGATGTCATGTTATATTGCTTGTTTTTGCTTGCCGGTTGTCGCTGATCCACCGCGCCGGGCTGTCTCTCCAATCTGGTGGACCGCAATGACACCACGCGACCCAAGGTCATGTCAATCGCCTCTCAAGTCGCCAATTGGAGATTCCCACTCTGGTGGGAACGGTCGTGTGCTGTTTCTGCCGCGGTGCTGCAGTCGAGGCCCAGGCGTTGGGTTGCCAAGGCCAGAGATTGCTATCACGACCCCATATCGATGCCAGATATGGGATGTGGCCCTGGGACCCCTGCCGTTGTCGGCTAGACTTGACCGATTTTTGGCTCCCCAGTGCCTCACTTAAGAGCTCTATCGAGAGCTCCAGAGCGAGCACACCACCCACATGGCCAAACACAAGCGCTGTGATTTGCTCGCGACAGCACCTGCGGCCAGGGGCCCCTTCCCTGTCGCCCCCTCTTTCGGTGTTCGTAGCGACCGCGTGGGCGTCATTCCCCCGCGTCCACTTGCCCATCGTGCCATCGTCGCCGCCTTGCCGTGCAGTACCGGTCATTAGCGTGACGGGATCGAGGTGGCCGCTCGTCAGATTGCATGGCTCGCATGGGGGAACGGGGCTGCAATCGAGCTATAGGACATGGCAAAATTTCCTTCTTTGCCTCCTTGGCCGGAGGTCTGGCTCCTCCTTTTGCGGCCGGCACCAGTGGTGCTTGTTCGTTGATAAGCGTGCGAGATCCAGCTCCGGCCCCTTGGGTCTGGCCTTTAGCGCCCTCCCGTCTCCCGCTGTTCTTTTCCCTTCACGACTTCTCGAGATCGAAGCAGACACCCGGCGCTTCTAAGCCGTGCTAGCCCGAAGACCCGTATCGTTACCGAGCTGAGCCTGGTCGATATGTCCACCCAGCCGGGAAAAGCTTCCACGGCCGCAGGTATGTGCAATAGGCACGGAACAGACCCAGTTCGTCTTGTCGTCTTGGCACGGCTGCGCTGGCCATTTTCTGCTGTCTTTCCTCTTTGTTTCTACTTTGTCCACTGTTCTTAATCGTAAACATCGGATACGTTTCGAGCTGGGGCTTATCAAGGCCAAGTCGTTCACTGCCACACTTGCCAAAGCCGCGCCTCTCTGCCTTGGCCCAACCTTCTCTACCCTCGTCCCGGGCGACATGCCCGACAGGCAAATCACCGTTGATCACTTGCCACAAGACGAGTCGTCGGCACGTTGCTGACCAGGAGGATCCCACAGCTGCCGCTACCGCTGCCGCCCAGGATGACTCCATCCGCCCAGCAAGCCCCGGCATGGGAGCCGCGCCGTCCGCAGGGAACACCGCAGACGCCGGCGGCGGCCCGGAGCCGACCCTGGTACACGAGAAGAAGAAGAACTTTAACGCTCCGTCGGTTCGCGCCGACACGAGCGGCAGCACCACCGTCATATCCGACCCCCTGAACTTTGGCCAGCACCGCCGCGCCAACGTCAGCCAGCGCCAGATGAAGATTGACCACCCCAACGGCAACAAGAGGAAGCTCAAGAAGTTCTACACCAGACAGAACGATCTGATCGACCAGTATGTCTGCCTCCAGTTTCGTCCTTCTCTTCCTGCCGTGACCGCCATGTGATTTATCGCATTTGGCAAGGCCCTTCGTCCTATCTCGTACGTTTGGTGGGCTTGCGCGTCTTGCTTAGAGTCGGCGCAAAAGCGAGACGGCCAAGGTGACGTGCGGCCGGAATCTGCAGAATGCTAAGAATAGCCACTTGAAAAAGGTTCCTTGGCGCCGACGATGAGGAGCAGAACACACTCGAGGAAGGTGCCCGCGTGGCGCCCAAGATCAAGTTCGCCGTCAACGCCTCCTTCACCGTCAACTTTTGCCTCTTCGTCATCCAGCTTTATGCTGCCATCTCGACGGGATCACTTTCGGTAACTTGCCACTGTCCCCTGGACTGGGGAAGACCGACCGTACGGATACGCTGTTGACCAGTGACGTTCTTGTGTGACCTTTTTAGCTTTTTGCCACGACCGCCGATGCATTTGTAGGTTTACTGTCTGACAGAAAGTCCCCTGAGTGTAGTCCCATCAGCAGCTTGTTAACACAGTGGTTGATATCGACAGATGGACCTCGTCTCATCCTTCGTAATGCTCATCACGTCGCGGCTGGCTGCAAGGCCCAGCATTTACAAATACCCAGTTGTTAGTGCTACCCACCTGGCTGCCGTCTGCCAAGTTTGGACACCAACGCGAGCGTTTGCCGGGATCTCCGTCCTTGGTGCCCATGACTATGCTGGCAAGAGTCGTTGAGCTAACCTGGACGCCGTCTTTGCGTCTGACAGGGCCGCACCCGAATCGAGACCATTGGGATCATCCTATTTTGCGCCCTCATGACTACTGTTGCCATCCAGCTTCTTGTAAGAACAGCCCCTGCCACCAGGCCGACCCCTGGCAATCCCGATACCTTCACCCCAGACTGCAATGCACTCTGTGGGGCGTCGAGCTGACCTGCGATCACGTTCAGATTGAATCGGGTCGGACGCTGGGAAGAGGCGCGCATGACTCCGAGGAGCTGAAGATCATTCCAATCGTCTTTATTGCTATTGCCAGTAAGTTTATCATTATGGGACCGCCGCCCATAGGGGGGGTTACGCATGAACGGATGCATTACTCACCCGGGGCCTCTGTCTGTTTTAGTCTTTGCCAAGGGTTCTCTGATGATCTTCTGCATGTTTTACCGCAAGTACCCATCAGTCCATGTCTTCTACGTAAGTTTTTTTCTCCTGCCCGAGTCGGGCCCTCCCGCCGTGCGCCACGAACGCCCGACTCTGACTAAGGGGCCTGCGCGTTATCAGATCGACCATCGCAACGATATCGCTGTCAACTCGTTTGGTCTGATCATGGCCATCGTGGGCGAGAAGGTCGTGTGGTACCTGGATCCGATCGGCGCCATCTGCATCGCGCTCCTAATCCTCTTCTCGTGGGTCGCAAACGCCTTTGAGCAGGTCTGGCTGCTGGTCGGCAAGTCCGCGCCCAGGGACTTCATCTCCAAGCTCATCTACATGTCCATGACTCACGACGAGCAGATCCTCAAGGTCGATACGGTAAGCTTATCTGTTCCCCACGCACACGGGCTACCTTTGATCCGATGTGTGACGGAGACTTGGGGGGGGGGGTCCACAGTCCGGCTGACACGACAAAAACAGTGCCGTGCGTACCACGCCGGGCAGCGGTACTACGTCGAGGTGGACATTGTCATGAACGACGAGACCCCGCTCAGGATATCGCACGACGTCAGCCAGTCGCTGCAGCGCAAGCTCGAGGGCCTGGCCGACGTCGAGCGGGCCTTTGTGCACGTCGACTACGAGCACGAGCACGACATCCACGAGGAGCACAAGCCCCTCTACGAGACCAAGGAGAAGAATAACAAGAGGACCCTGCGCGAGATCTTCCTGGGGGCCAAGACCAAGGTCGCCGCCGGCGACGCCACCGCCGTCTCCGCGGCCGCCTCCAAGAAGGCATGACGGCGGTGATGCCCACGGCGGGAGGCCCCCTAGGTGGCGTGGGAGATGGGCGTGCCAAGAATGTGCGTTTTGATCAGCCACCGCCCGGGGGAGGGATGACTGTTGGATTCCAAAAGAGAAACGAGGAATTGATACCACACAGGCTATGATTTTTGTTTACTTATTTAATTTAGACGTGTCACTATAGATAGATGGAGCTTTCCAGCTTGCGCAGGCTTGTAAGACAGAGGCTTCAGCATTACTTGGTCGATTTATGCTTTCTGTGTTCCCAATGCTCCTCGGAATCTCGACCTTGGCTCGCCGCTGCATCGCCAGTAGGGGGCTGGCCCAGATTGGTCCGAGACTTAGCAGCAGCCCGCGCCCGCTCTGTCTAGGCTTTAATCCCGCCGTCCGGCCTAGTCCAGCTTCAGGCGGGAGCGTTCTAGGCCCTACAATTCTACCAATGAAGTAAAGCCGGCGAGAGTGCTCCTGTGAGGAGGGAGAAGGGGTCGGGATGACACAGCGAGATGACTAAAGCTTCCGCTTCCTTCAAGCATGTTACACTGAAGGAGGACGATTGTAAAAATGGGCCTCCAGGGCCATTAAAGTCTGGTTGCAATGACTTCTTCCTAAAGTGAAATGGTGGTTTGAGGAGTAAGAAAAGAATAGATCAAGCAATGTAACAACTGGAAGAAACGAGCATGGAAGCTCCCCGAGGCCGGTAGTGTCAAGGACTCCAAGAGGATGATTGAAAAGACGGACAAGTAAAAATGAGAGATGCTAGCTTGAGCTCAATTCCAAAGTCTTGTTGTTCGACGCCGCTAGTGCTAAATCCGTCACCATAAAATGCAAACCCCTATTTTACCCAAGAAAGCCGCAGAATTTCCTAAACTCCAAAGCTCCTGTAAGTCACATGCCGCGCTAGAACCTCGAATTCGCCAATGAGACCACAAAATCCAACCCGATGCTGTCACAAGCAGTATCACCTGGTCATTTCTCGACAGGCTCGAAATCCCCCCC